TGATTTTTCCACAAAGTTATAGAGGTCGGGAAGTCGGGGAAAGGTCAAAAAATTCATCTACTCTTTGATTCGGACCCAGTTTCACCCCTTTTTTTTAAGGGTGTTATTTAAATTGATGATTTTCTTGACCGGTGCCCCGATTCCGCATTTCTACGTATCAAGACGAAGAGAATGAGCCCTCAATTATTAAAATCGGAGTACTTTTATTTTTTGGCCTAAAAAAATGGAAAGGGGTACCACTTGCCATTTTTTCGGGTCGAAAAATCAAAGTTGTCCGATTTTCAAGTTCGACCACTCATTCTCTTCGTCTCAATGCCTAGAAATGCGGAATCGGTCAAACTTTAAAAAATTATTTATTTCACTCCTAAAATGGGGTAAAACCGGAAATTGCTTCAATTTTAGTGAAGAATTTTAAATGCTTTTAGTTGATTGTAAAAATGCTATAGTTTGTTTATGGTCTTTGATATTGTAAATAATTAGGTGTGTTATTATTAAACACTTAGAGTATTTTATCACTAAACACTCGAATTTAGCTGGATTTGTAGATATCTTGAACTATGATATTCATCAAAATCTCCATCTCTGTTTCCTGACATCAATAAATTTTGAGTTATGACTATCTTTCAGTAAATGAATGATACTATTGAATTTTGGATATGCTTCCCATCATGTAGATTAATGTAATATATAATCTCAATATGTATGTAATACGATCAACTAATTAAATTTTTCGGTACGTTATGATTGATGATTTATCAAATTTTGTCTATCTGTCTGATTCAGGAATTCTAATCTCAATAGTAAAGTGTATTTATGCTTCAATCGTTCATGTTCAGACATTACATAAAAATTAATACATGTTCACGTAATTATTCAAATTTCAATTAAAAGGTAGATAATAATTAATAATATGCTGTCCATATTAGCTGTAATATTATTGTAGACATAAATAATTGATGGAATTTCAAAAATAACTTCTATTCTTAGATAGCTGAGGATGTTGATGAATTAATTATTAAGTTAATAAAACAGATATCAATAAAAAAATATTACACAGATGTGTGCACCATATATTTTGAACAGCCACGCACTTAATAAACGTCAAAAATGAGATGAAATCACATGAGATAAAAAAAAATACTTACAAAATCACAGCAAGCACACTTTTGCTAGCAAAATATCTGTAGCACTAAAGATTTCTTCTAAATGGCGTTGGAAGAACATTTCTAGCAACATCGTATCATCAGTTTTGTTACGGTCCTCATTTTACCCTACCTTCTTCTCTATATTATTCACAGAATTTTCATGTAACTACAATTCGTTAAAATAATTAAAGAGTTTTAATTTATGCAACTTCAATTCTGAGTCTACTCTAATAGGATTAGAGTTCATAAAAATAGGATATATTATGAATGTAAATATTTCGAATAAAGCTTGATGAATGTATAGTTCTAATTTAGAATAATTGTATTGTGAACAAGTTGTGATCACTGTACTATATTAATATTACTTTTAACTTTCTATAGAACGTATAATAATATCTAATCCTTTCATACTTTTCTCTCTGTCACTTGATAGATAACAAAATATTCCATTTCAAATCCGTAAAAATAAATTAAATTGAAGATGTTTATTTAGTAGGGATTTTTGTTTGATAGAAGTACATAAAAAATGAGGCAATTTGAGAGACATCTTATGTGAATAAAGCTAAAAAAAAAATAGAATTATTTCGTATTGATGTCAATTTTTTGTTTAATGATCTTTTTAGTAATATTGAAAATAATAAAAAATATTCTTTCTCAAAGAAGAAAAAAAATTTAATTAAATTCTTATCATGTATTACTTTTTTCTTTCAATTACATCAAAATTTATCAAACTATTTTTTTGAGAATAAAAATATTAAAACATGATTTATCTGAGGAAATTATATTTATAAGAGTGGCTATAAAAATACTACAAAATGCCTTTTAAATAAAGTATTAGTCACTACTTGCTGCTATTAAAAAGAAAAGGGGAATAAAAAACTGTATTTTGTACGGGTTATTACTATCAGCAACTCTGAATAGTATCGCTACAGACAGTTCAAGAAAGAAAAATTCAAGGATAAAAAGAAGAACAAAAAAATATATATATATAAGTTAGAAGAAAAAAAAAGAGCAAAATCTTAACTTTCAAGAGCAATACTACGTGACTTCAATTTTTCCAACAAACTTTTTACCAAAAACTTTTTATGAGTATCGTAATGATAAATCAATATATTCACATAACAACTGACAAAATATTTCGATTTTTATTTTATAACAATACACAATAATTGTTAGCAACCTACTTTTTTTTTAATTACTTTGAAGTTTAAATTTTAAAAATAATTCATCTGTTTTTCATTAGGGACTCTCAAATGAACCACCTGACTTTGGTATCTGAATTAATAAATGAAGAGTGATTAATTTTTTTCATTAGTCGGTAAATATTAGAAATGATCACTTTTTGGTTTGATTAAAGAGAAATTATTATAATTAGTCACAAAAAATTAATATTCAATTATTTTGAGAAAAAGCTGATGGAAAAGAAGACTTTCTTTTATACTTGATCAGGATGATTATTGTCATCGAAATATTGTGTTCGGAAGTTAATTAATATTAAGACTGTTCGATTAGTAAAGCTAAATTTAAAATATTATTGAACGAATCTTGAGAAAATTTAATTAATTTATTTTTACTATAAATTAACTCCAAAATAATCATTTCTCATCCTGATGAAAATATATTTTAAGTAAAAAAAAAAGCAAAAAACGGTGCTTTTATTTTTATAAGACAATTTTTCATTGCAAGTGTTGCAAAGTTTCTCGGTGAAATTGTAATCAAATAATTCCTACATTTTTTTTTTTAATTATCAAGATAAAAAAATGATAAAGTTTGTTTCTTTAATACTTTAACACCTGAAATGATTGAGTTAATTTTAAAATCATTCATTCTAATTATTTTACTCGATTTTTATTAACGAATGTGTGTATTTTTTTTTTTGTAGAATCAATAAAATTTTCATTTAGCGATTCAGTAGCGCGAATCGACTTTGTTTTTATTGTAATACCATTATTCGAATGTTCCCATGAGTCCTTTGCTTCGATAACCTCCCCCACTAACATAGCTGCATCAACAAGATATCATACGAGTTGTGTTATATTCTGGAAGGTAAAATAACGAAGAATAACAAATAAATATAAGTTGATTAATTATAATGGAATGATAAAACAAAACAAAAAATAAAACTTTCTTTGTTATCTATTTATTCACTTAATCACAATTAAATAATTCTATAAATTCATTTTATATTTGATTAAACAAAATTATTGAATTATTCACATAAATATTTCAATTTAATTCAATTAAATATCTATTCATTTATTTTGTATATTTTTATTTTTATATACAAATATAAAACTGGCATGAAAACTACTGAACTTATTTTGATAAAACTTGCACAGTTCTGAAGTAGAAAGTAGGAATGAAAAAGTGGAATATGTGTCAGTGTCGTAGGGGGATTGAGATAGAAAATTGTAACTCGTACAATTGACAATGAGTTAAAACGGTATATTTTAAACAAAGAGGTGAATAAGTATACTTTTATTTTTTACTTCAAACAATAGACGAATTATGCTTTTCTTAGAATAACTATTTCTGAATGAACAGTAACTCAAATTTTTAATACATTTCTCTAGTCTCTCCAAATAATATCATTGTTTTTGAATCATATTTTAATATATTATTTATTAATAATTAATTTTTAACATTAAATTGTTTTAGTAATTATTACCTTACTATTAAAATATCCCTAGTGTACAATTATTTTGTAATATTCTTAAAATAAAAAAAATTATCTCAAAATACTCACAATATTTTTTTTCAATTAAATTCGTCATACTATCAATAATTTATTACCACATTAATTTTAATTTAATGAAGTATTCTGTTAAACGTATGAAATCAGCAATAAAACAATTACTGTTATTAAAAAGGAAATACAATAGTTTTTTAGAAATTATTAAATGAAAGTTACTCCAAAATAATAAATATCTAATATCTAGCAATAATTTTTACTAGTAGGTTTTTAAAAAAATGTGAACAGAATATTTTTATTAATATATGCTTTTCATAAATTTATCATCAATGTTCTTTGAATATCAAACTAGACAGATTTTGAAAGAGAAGTAAAGGAATCAAATAGAGTTAGTTTCCCTTGAGATACGAAGCACTTTCCTCATGGTTCCAGTGCAGATTTGGAAACAGGCTTACGTAAGTCTGACCTAAGTCTTGCATTAGACATTTGCTTGATGCCGAACTTAAGCCAGACTTAGAGCAACCTACAGCACAAGAACTCAACTACTAAAGTTAAGAAAAAAAATTCGAAAATTATTTTACAAGTTAAAGGATAATATTATTTTATCAATAAAAGCTTTATAATTTATTCAGGGAGATTATGTTATTTTTAATTCCTAAAAAAAAAGTGTCATCGAAAAGAAATATTTGGTAATTAATTATATCAGCTGTGGTCTATAAAATCTAGAATGAATGGCTTTATATAATAAAATACCTCTATAACCACTAGTTTCGTGATTCGCATATCAAACGATCTTTAATTCATGTGTATAAAGTGTAATACGCTGCATGTAACACATGTGTCAATTGCTAATTGGTTGCTAACTACCATCAAAATTGATAGAGTGCTTTACAGAGTATTTTGCATTCTACAGACAAATATACATCCATAAACGCTGAAGTAATTACACATCAAGCTCCTTTTAATATCATCCTAGTTCAGTTATATATTCAGCTTTTGATTCAATATAGAAATTCATGATCGTTTTATCAGCATCATTTTTTATTGCACTTAGTTTCATAGTGATGTTTTCTATGTCCTTTTCACTGTTGAGGTCTAAATACATTTGATAATGACACTGAATAGCAGTATTGATGTCTTATGTATTGTCATTATGATTTCAGGGTCACGTGGAAAACCGTAGCTCATCAGTAAAAGCTGCAAGGGGTACTAGTACTGATCTTGGTAGGTCGCAGTCGTCGCCGATACGCGGAGGGAGGCATAATGCAACCGAAAGCTCTCGAGAAGACACTGATCTTTTGGCACATGCTGCCTCTGCACTTCGTCGGCTCAATTTCGTATCAGCAGGTGGTAGTCGCAGCTGTCGCTCTGTACCTAAGGTCATGATCATGGGCTCAAGTACTGCCTCGGAAACAACCATCAACACAAGCACAGATAGTGCAAACACAATGGTTACTGTGGTAAATATTTGTTTCTTCTAACTCACTTTTGCATCTTAAATTATCTTATAAATATTTACATTACAAGTTAACTTGCCATTTTGTTTTTTTTTATCATCATGTTGACATTAGGTGATCATTGAATAATAACTCTATAAAGAGATAATTAGAAAAAAAAACTTGTACAACGATGTGACTGTCATAAATCAATAACCTGAGTTGTAATACAGAGAACAAAAAAAAAGTTTCTTCCTATGGGAATACTACTTGTATTGTGACGATGGTTTTTATGATGGATTTGAACTACATCCTATGATGCTTGAAAAGTATCACACTAACTGTATTATAAAAATGTCCTTGTTTTACAACACTAGGTTGTCTTGAAGCATGAAGAGATAGATTTTTATTTATTCATAAGACATGAAATGAAGAACATACAACATATCATAATTATTGATTTAGATATGATGAATAGAACGAAAATTGTTTTATCTCTACCTGTGTCATTACATTTCATACATCTCATGACTTGATATTTTTACGACGGCCAAAAGTTTTAGTTTTTTTCTAGTGGAAATTTTTTTATTCAAGCAGTTGTGAAAAAAAGTTATTTAGTTCATCATTTTACGTAATAAACTTTCAAGACATTTCATTTATTTTCTGAAAAATGTTATTAATTAGTCAACAGATTCATGAAGTCTGAGTGTATCAAATAGTATAAAAGAGTTTGTCTTAACTTTACCGACTAACATTTATTGCTTTGAAATAGATAATTATCAATAATAAGAGTTGAGAAGGAGATTCATTATTGATATAAAAAAATTTGAAATGTGTTAAAGATGACAACTACAGACAGCGAGCAGCATGATGACAGCATGGATTTAGCCGACGAACCCTCAGAATTGTCTCCACCAGCTTCCTCAATGAACTCCATGTTGCCTTCAACAAAGAATGGAACAAATAATTTGGAAACAATTACGAAGAATAGAACAATTGCCATTACCCAATGTACCACTGCCCCAATGGTTCAGTCCCCTCCAATAGAAGCAACATTAAATACGAACATAAATCCAATAAATGGCATTGATGCTTCCTCCCCTACTCCTCCTGCAAACATTCGCCGAGAAACGAAGTTTCCTTTTGCATCTGGACGGATTCCTGCACTTCCTGATCTCCGAACCGCCGAATTTTTTAGGTAAAGCTCTTTATTATTACAACATCTTCTATCTTTTCGGAACCCTTTTGAGAAACAGACTTAAGCTTTGAAGATTAATATCAGATTGTTGTTTTAAATTAAATTATAATAAAGGTGATTTTGATCCTTTGTATTGTGAAGGTTTAATACAATACGTCTATAAAGTCAAAGAATAAGATTTTAAGGTTGTTAATTTACATAATTAGTTGTAGTGAAAAAAAAATTAATAATAAATAAATTAACTAAGTCAATTTTTTGATGGAAGGAAATGGATGATCTTGTAGGATATAGCATCCACCAAGTGTATTAGATGAATTAGTTGACTTATAAGGAATTAAAACTTCCACAAAAATGCAAATTAATTCCATTAATACAAGTGTTTGCCACCACTTTGTAAAGTAATTAATCCAAGATTGTATGCTTTATTGATATGAAAAAAAAACTTTAATTGGAATTTATTCATTTTAGAGATTAATTTCCAATCATTTTACTTGTAATGGAAAATAAAATAGAATAGTTAATAATGTTAGAAATATTCTTTTTAAGTATTCTTGTAAAAACCCGTATAAAAAAATTTGTCGACATATTGGCGAAAAACTGAGAAGCATAGAAATGTGTATAACTTCTAGGCTAATGATGCTGGCAAGTTGATTGAGGGCTCAAATGAAAGATGAGGACAAGAGGGAAAAAGTCAATATAGTAGAAATCATAATTGGAGCATAATTCATGCTAAAATTGAAGCAATTTTCGGTTTTACCCCATTTTAGGAGTGAAGAAATAAATTTTTCAAATATTAGACCCGATTCCGCATTTCTACGCATTGAGACGAAGAGAATGAGTGGTCGAACTTAAAAATCGGACAACTTTGATTTTTCACCCCAAAAAAATGGCAAGTGGTACCCCTTTCCATTTTTTTCACCCAAAAAATAAAAGTATTCCGATTCTAATGATTGAGGGCTCATTCTCTTCGTCTTGATGTGTAGGAATGCGGAATCGGGGCACCGGTCAAGAAAATTCACTTTAACACCCTTAAAAACGGGTTACACTAAATACAACTTACGAATTATCATCCCCTTGACTTTAAACTCCTATAACTCTTGAACGGACGGTCCAATAACCGTTTTTACGGACGTTTTAAAAAGCTTGAAATCCAAGCTAAACATCCATATCCATGAAAATTGTTTAAAAAATTTCCTTCACCCTTAAAATCGCTAAAATATAAAAAAAAATCACATTTTTTTGAGACTTTGCCAACTATTTTGGCCATTTTGAGAATGGAATAAATTTCTTTTAAGTTTTTTATGGATATGTTTTTTTAGCTTAGATTCTGAAGTTTCTAAATACCCCTTAAAAATCATCATATAATGATTTTTTCACGAGTTATGAAGGTCGGAAGTCGAGGAAAAGTGAAAACATTACCTTCTCTTCGACTTTGAACCTCTATAACTTGTGAAAAAATCATTATATGATGATTTTTAAGGGGTATTTAGAAACTCCAGAATCTAAGCTAGAAATAAATATCCATGAAACATGTTAAAAAAATTTATTACACCCTCAAAATGGCCAAAATAGTTGGCAACTTCCCAAAAAAATGTGATTTTTTTTATATTTTAGCGATTTTAAGGGTGAAGGAAATTTTTTAAACAATTTTCATGGATATGGATGTTTACCTTGGATTTCAAGCTTTTTAAAACGTCCCTAAAAACGGTTATTGGACCGTCCGTTCAAGAGTTATAGGGGTTTAAAGTCAAGGGGATGATGGTTTTTAATTTGTATCCAATTTTACCCCTTTTTAAGGTTGTTAAAGTCAATTTTTTCTACCGGTGCCCCGATTCCGCATTCCTACACATCAAGACGAAGAGAATGAGCCCTCAATCATTAGAATCGGAATACTTTTATTTTTTGGGTGAAAAAAATGGAAAGGGGTACCACTTGCCATTTTTTTGGGGTGAAAAATCAAAGTTGTCCGATTTTTAAGTTCGACCACTCATTCTCTTCGTCTCAATGCGTAGAAATGCGGAATCGGGTCTAATATTTGAAAAATTTATTTCTTCACTCCTAAAATGGGGTAAAACCGAAAATTGCTTCAATTTTAGCATGAATTATGCTCCAATTATGATTTCTACTATATTGACTTTTTCCCTCTTGTCCTCATCTTTCATTTGAGCCCTCAATCAACTTGCCAGCATCATTAGCCTAGAAGTTATACACATTTCTATGCTCCTCAGTTTTCGCCAATATGTGATTATTTTCATTATGTATATTATTTTTGCAAGTAAAAACCATTCAAAATACATTCGAAGTAGAGACGAAAAATTCTCAAAAAAAAAAAAACAAAATTTTGTTCCTCGAACGTTTTCCACGAGGGGAACTTCGGGTAACCTTTGCGAAACGAAATTTTCTTACACGAAAAACGTCTGATTTTAGTACTCCTGTAAGAGGATCAGTAGATGCAGGACAACCAGATCCTCATCAGGTAAATTCAATGCTTACTTTACTAGCAGCAAAAGAGAGAATATCATCGATGGAAGAGTCGAAAGCAAATCATATTGACACCAGGAACGATTTCAAGAAAGAATCAGATTTACAAGTCCTAGAGAAAGATAAGATTGAAGATAGTTGTGGAAAAATGCTAAAAAATGCCAAACCAAATATAAATGTCACCACAAATCCTTTGGATATCTCTCTATGTGGATCACAGTCACCCTGCTCAACAACACAACCGTCCACGGGCACCAGGGGAAGTCGTAAAATACCAGGTATGTTGTAAATACTTTATTAAATATTCTTCACGTAGCTAGAAAGTTATAAATTTGTTATAGGAGTTTACAATCATTCAAGGAATCTGCTTGGGAATATACATATGTAATTATGAATATTTTTTTTTCATGAACGAAAATGTTTCCTCATGAAAAAAATCGTTAATTAAGGTGAAATATCTTTGGTGGTACCAGACTGCCATTTTTTCCTTTTTTCGTACTCCTTTAATTAAAAATTCACCTTCTTTTACTTTATATTGGATTTATTAAATATTCAGAACAGAAAGAAAGAGAGAAAGTATTTTAAAAATTTCAATTGGTTTCTAACAGCAACATAATTGATATCAAAATATTTTTCAGGTAATCTTGCAACCAGAATCATTGTTTAATTGTTTCCAGTATCAAATAAATATTAACAGTAAAATAGAATATGCGAAACATTTTTTTCATGAGAATCCAAGAGAGAGAATGAACGAGGAAAGAGAGAGAAAAAGTAGAACTATTAGGTAGTAATAAGAATTTCCAAAGGAAACTGAATTGATGTTCTTTCTTTCAGAAGCTCATCCCCTTGTTTCCGCCATTCATTCATGGGTCAGGGTCTTTTTCCCGTTTTGCGCAATAGGTACAGTCACCTGTATCCTAAAAAGACTCCTGGAAATGTGCAATAAAATCATAATTATTGATACAAATTTTATTTATCCGTATAAGTGTTATACTTTTGTTATTATTCACCTGTATCACTAGGTAATAATACATAGAGACATAATGCAATGGTTTGATGCAAAAATTTGTATATTTATTCCAACTATTTTCTTTTAAAATCAATTGGCTCCAATGTCCATACTTTGATAAGTCAAAAAAATAAACTGAACTTTGTTTTTTATTCTTCATCTCCATCAATATTGGTTTGGAATAATAAAACTGCTTGGAGTAAACTGGTCTGACTTGATGGTATTGATAATTAAACCATTCAATGTAGTTCATTTAAAGTTTAATGACTTATTTTATGTGTTGGCACTAAATGGACCATAACTAGGATCCTTTAAATACAATAGTTCAATAATAAAGCCAGGAAGTTAGAGTACTTGATGGAGAAAAAAAATGTTAGTTTAATAAGATTGATTGATAGTAAATGATAGAAATAGAAGTAAAGCAGGTTTATGTTTTTTTGAGAATTATTTTATATATTTTTTTATTGAAGTACTAAAAAATATCAATAAATTTTTTATATGATAAAATTTTGCATCAATCCACTTGATTTCTTCTTTCTCATCATATTGACGAGCAAATATTTATAGATGTTGTGTGTTGACACAAATAGACGATATCTATTTTCAGGGGTCTTTCCTTAGGGTATCAAAGTAAACATTGGTGATCAAATAATGCTCTTAATTATGCTTTTGAAGCTTCAAAAATTTCTTATTATGTTCGATTCTTGTTGCTAGCATTTTGTGTTGTACACATATACGAAATCTAGTTGAAAATGCTCTAATTGATATCAGAAAGCTGCTATTTTATTTTGATGTTCTGAATGTACATTCAGTTCTCTCATTAGTGTATGCTTTGTGTTTAATGTCTCAGGATAAAAATTTTGTCGTCATTGGTTACATTGATACTTGTTTATCTAGTTCATTTGTCAATCATTTCGCACTTGAACACCTTTTCAAATTTTTTTTTAATCACTGATTAAATCATTTTTGTTTTTATTTCAGTACTGAGCCATTCAGTTGTTAAAATCATTGAGATTGAGGTTTATTTTTTGAATGAAAGAATGATTATTAGTGATATGAAGAAATGGGAAGTGTTAACGACACAATCGTTATTTTATTTAGATATTGGATTCATGAGTTCCACACGACTAACTTCCCAGTGGAAAAAATAAAAATACTATATATTCTATTGATCATTGTTACTGCTTTACTATAATTAAAACAATCGAATTATTATTAATAATAATCATTAATTACAATAAATATTTAATTCTTACAAATAATATTGGATTATTATTGACAATAATTTTTCACTGTTAGAGCGTTTTAATTTTTGAATTTTGCACAAAAATGCTTGGACCGATTTTGCTGAAAACAAGTTTAGTTGCGTGATTAATTATGCGTCGAATACAAGATGTGTCAAAATTTGGGACTTATAAAGTCGGACCCATTGCAATAACTTGCCACTTGAAAGTAAAAAATTAATTTTATCATTAATCAATAATTTTTTTTTCTTTATTTAATTAATGATAGAATATTGGAATGAAACTAATTGAATTCTGACATATTTATATGTACACAGTATATATACAATATAAAAATAATCGATATAAAATTCCAGTCGAATGCTAACGTGTTCTATTCTTCTGAGATAACAACGTGTGATCAGGTGCGTTGAGCATGAATAAAGTCGATTGTGTACCAAAGCCGCGAAAAAGACACGAATGGGTGCACTAACAAGACTATTGAGTCTGTATCCTTTATATGCAATATTTAGGTTTCGTAACTCAAAGATAAAATAATAGAGGGCTTTTTGTCAATTAGTATTTTCGCTAATTCAATTGTCACTTTCATTTTTGCACATCTATCAATGATTTATTTAATTATTTCCCCTCTCTCTTTCTCATATTTTTCTCTCCCCCCCTCTTATACACACACATACACTCTCTTTCTCTCATTCTCTGCTCTTGAACCTTCATAGGCTGCAGATTTCAATTACGTACAATACCACGTTAGGGAATAATAGGCTTTCGATCAATGGTCGTGTTTCCTCGTTGACACTTCCTGTTTCTCTGTGTCGATTGTAATCAGAATGTACTTGCACATAACATAGATGTATCGAAGCGACCAAACACAACAATCACTTAAGTCTATTGAAAATAAATTTTCTTTGAACAAGAAAGCTTGGTGCAATGGCTTTGAAACAAAGAATTTTTTGAAATAATAAAAAAAAAATGCGCCAAATTTGAACGATAAAATTTCTGAGGAAAAATGGGTTGAAATAATAAATTATTAATGATTTATTTATTTTCGAATATTTTTATTGTGAATGTTGATTAATTAATCAGATGATTGTCATTGATCCTTCAGGTTCTTTGCAATAATTTACAATTAAATGATGTACATTTTAAAGGGTTAATGTTATAATATTGATAATAATTGTTATTATTACCTTTCAATAATTTAAAATTATCGTTAATTCTCATGAGTCTCTTTATCGAGCTTAGTTACAATTTATCTCAAATCAATTTGAATTTAATTAATATTAAAAACTGACCTCAACATCAAAATCAATGATTGCTGAAATTTGATGATAATCTTAATCACGATAGCTATAATTGATGCTCGATTTAAATTTAATTTGAGAGTACTTACTAAATAGCAATAGTGTATAAATCCTAATTATCGAGATGCGTCAGAACAAAACCGGATTATTCCACTTTTTATTAAAATTGATCGGATTTCAGTTCGACTCTTCAGGAAGGAGCTTAAGTTTGAGGTCGAATTTTTTTGTGGCCATTGATTGATTTTTTGCTCAGTCAAATTTATTATACTTAAATTTGATTGGCTTTATTTTATTGACAGATATTTAGCTGGTTTAAATATATTCATTTTTGTTAATACAATAATAATTAATACAACAACAATAATAACAATTATTTGACAATAATTAACTAGTTTGGGTTAGAATTATTATTAATAATTTATTCCTTTAGCAATAATACGATAAAACTTGATTTTTTTTTCTACAAAGTATTCATTACAAATGTATTAACACTGTTACGTCTGACTTATTAATTTAATAAATTAAATTAATAGCAATTATTTGATTAATAAAAATGATTATAAAATTTTAATATCAATACAGATCCAAAAAAAAAAGGAAAAATTGGTTGCTATTTAACAATATTAAATAATTTTTGTGTAATAACACTACCTAATTATTTTACAAAAAAATAAAGAACCGGTTTTAAATAAATGTTATAAAACGAAGTCTTGTAATTAATTATAATTGGTTTAAATGAAGAGAACAATCAATTTTGATTGCAAATAACTCGAGTTTAAAATAATTGATCAATTTTTTTTTTATTCAAACAAACGTTTCAATTTCTAATAATCTTTAATTGTAATGTATTAAAAAAAAAACCTTAAAAAAAAATTAATCTCAATCGAAATACCTTAGCTGGTTAAACAAATGGTTTAATAAGAGAGTTTAAATGAAGTAATTTGTGAGCGAGTCATCTTTAATGCCTGACATTATCTAGTAATTACAAAATAGGTAGAATTTAATTAATAGTCCAATTTAACTCATTTTTTCTCATGTTTTCAATAAAATTATTGAATACTATTTTTTTATGAAGAATGAATTATGTTGATATGTGCTAAATAAGAGAGATTTTTACATTGATTTTACATCGAACAAATAGAAGTGTTGTTTTAAGATATATATAAAAATTAACACTCTTGGAAATTGTGACTCTTTTTGTTTACTTAATAAAATAAACAGTAGAGTGATGAATCATAAAAAATCACAAATATTTACATAAATGTAATGAAAACAACAAATATTAAATTATTTTATCTTTTACTTATTATACAACATTGTACATAATCAACAAATGTTCATTACAATTTTAATATTAATAGTTTTTTTTATTAATTATTTAAATTTTATTTACAAATATATCGTTTTAATTGGATATTCTTCCAACTCAATTTATGAAAACAAAAAGTTTTATTTCAATACATAAATGTTAAGTAAATCAATCAAATAATTCTGACATTCTTACCAATTTATTCAGATTTGATGTATAAAAATCATTTAAACAATTGATTTATTTAAAATAATTCTAACTTTTATTTATTTATTTTTTTTATTTCACCGAAACATTTAATCAAAAGAGTTATTGAAAAAGAACAGTTATCAAATTTAAATCTGTTATAAAAAAAAATACCATCAATTTTATAATTTTCATCCGAGGTTAAAATGCGAAGTTTTTTTTCAGTAGAAAAAAATATTGAAGATAAATTGTTCACTTGGTGAAAATTATTTTTATATAAAACAAACTTTTTATTTTTATTTTTTTTTTCAATGTAAAAATCGCTCTGTGTTTTTGATGATATACATAGGAAATTTGAAAGAATTGATAATTAAAATAATTGTTTAAATACCTGAAATAATTTGGTTTGAAAGGTGGTAGTAGTGGAGGGACCAAAAGAACAACTCAAGCAACAATTGTCGTTCAACAGCCATCACTTACTCTAGAAGCCCCCGCAGCGACGATCCTTCTTCGTCCTGAAGCAGATGCACGACGTCGAGAGGAAAATATGCGACAGTTGCTTGATGTCACTCATACACTGACTCTTCAAGAAATTCACGACTTTGAGATGAGGTTAGTAACGACATAGCAACATAGCTTCTAGCTCTATAGTTTTATTAATCTCGAGTTTAACGAACAAAGAAGCGAAAAATTTATAAGATTCTTATTCTTATTGCCTCTTGACTCACTTCCTTTTTTGTATCAAAATTTATGTAATACATTTAACTAGATCTGCAATCATCTTGTTCGGTTTATTGTTAATATAAAACAATAAAGAAGTAATTCTATTTCCATTTATTATGTTGTTGAAAAAAATGACATAAAGAGAGTCGTAGGTCTTTTATTGAAAATGTGAACAAATTGGATGAAAGATATTATTATGAGAGATATTATTTGATCATCAAGCTGCTAATAAAGTTACAATTAGAGGACATTCTCACTTTTTTGATTGTTTAACACATATAGAAGATTCCACAAGTAGCGGATATTCTCAAAAAAACTATGACATTAAACTTTAGAAACTTTGAAATGTGGAGATATGTTAGAATTTAGAAGTTACAAAAATTGAACCCGTTACGACTATTTCCCACTGGGAAATTAAATATGCATAGGATCTATGGTAATGATGGTATAAGGTTGATCGAGGGCTCGTATAGAAGATCTGGACAAAAGGAAGATATTCAACGACCCCCTTACCTAAGAACCCTGTCGGAAATCCCGTATCTCTCATAGTTTCCGAGCTATGAGAGTTTAAAGGTTTTTTTTAAGCTTTGCTGCAGCATTATATAGTTTTCTGCTGATAACTCAGGATCTATAAGGATTACATGGACAAATGAGGATATCAATGAATTTGAGAGAATGAGATCTTCGTATTGCATTAGTCAAAATCATAATTGGAGCATAATTTATGCTGAAAATTAGAGCAATTTCCGGTTTTACCCCATTTTAGGGGTGAAGGAATTAATTTTTCAAATGTTTGACCTGATTCCGCATTTCTACGCATTGAGACGAAGAGAATGAGTGGTCGAACTTGAAAATCGGACAACTTTGATTTTTCACCCCCAAAAAATGGCAAAGAGGTATTTAGAAACTTCAGAATCTTAGCTAGACATACATATCCATAAAAAACATCTAAAAAATTTATTTTACCCTCAAAATGGCCAAAATAGTTGGCAACTTCCCAAAAAAATGTGATTTTTTTTATATTTCAGCGATTTAAAGGGTGAAGCAAATTTTTAAAACGTTTTTTATGAATATGCATATTTACCTTGGATTTTAAGGTCTCTAAAACGTCCGTAAAAACGGTTATTAGACTGTCCGTTCAAGAGTTATAGGGGTTTGAAGTCAAGGGGATGATGTTTCTTAATGTGTATCCAGTTTTACCCCTTTTTAAGGGTGTTAAAGTGAATTTTCTCGACCGGTGCCGCGATTCCGCATTTCTACGCATCAAGACGAAGAGAATGAGTGGTCAATCATCAAAATCGGAGTACTTTTATTTTTTGGCCAAAAAAAATGGAAAGGGGTACCACTTGCCATTTTTTGGGGGTGAAAAATCAAAGTTGTCCGATTTTCAAGTTCGACCACTCATTCTCTTCGTCTCAATGCGTAGAAATGCGGAATCAGGTCAAACATTTGAAAAATTAATTCCTTCACCCCTAAAATGGGGTAAAACCGGAAATTGCTCTAATTTTCAGCATAAATTATGCTCCAATTATGATTTTGACTAATGCAATACGAAGATCTCATTCTCTCAAATTCATTGATATCCTCATTTGTCCATGTAATCCTTATAGATCCTGAGTTATCAGCAGAAAACTATATAATGCTGCAGCAAAGCTTAAAAAAAACCTTTAAACTCTCATAGCTCGGAAACTATGAGAGATACGGGATTTCCGACAGGGTTCTTAGGTAAGGGGGTCGTTGAATATCTTCCTTTTGTCCAGATCTTCTATACGAGCCCTCGATCAACCTTATACCATCATTACCATAGATCCTATGCATATTTAATTTCCCAGTGGGAAATAGTCGTCACGCATATTTAATTCTTTGCCGAAAATCTTTCTTTTTAAATTTCGATGAATCTTCAAATATGACTTCGACTAATTGATCGAAAATCTGTTGTTTTTTTTTGTGTGATAATTCATTAAAACAAATGTTAGTGGTACTCCACAGTCATATACCAGCTTCTTTTACAATACACATATAAGATAAAATAATTTATATAACAGTAGATAATAATCAATAGCAAAATGAAAAGACAATGATTGGATATTAAATCCGCAAGACATGAATACGATAAAGAAAAAATAATATATTTTTCCTTATTCCGAGAAAAACAAAGAAAGAAGATAGTGACATCAAAGAATCGATACTTGAACGCCTTCTGTACTTGAGTGAATGAAATCTCTCGAGAGAATATGACCTGAATCTCTCGTTCATTCTTGTTTGAACGGCTCAAGATCAATTTCATCGTTAGATTCAACTCTTTCGTCTTGAGCTATTGACATATCATCAAAAATGTTAAATTTCACCATGACAATCACAATAGTTGACGTAAATATTCGATTGATCCTATTTTGGATTCACTAAGTCAAGTATTTCCTCAAATATTCTAAAACCCAGATCTAATGCTCTTAATGGAAATACTAAGTAAAATCACTAAGTTTATCAAATGTCAAAGCTTCTTGCATAATCGTGATCTAGGATAATTTATTTCACGTCTAATTTCAGTCAACTGACGTGATGAGTGTGAAAATAATACGCATCAAGTATGTCTTGTAGAATAAAGCTTAGATAAACACTAGTGATATTAAAACACATCAGAATAGATTACAAGTTTTTTTTTGCATTTATACTTAATAAGTAGTTTTATCAATGATTTTACATGACTCTAAACAATGGTGTATTGTTTATAACAATAGCAATATGCTATAAACAAAAAAAAACTAATGTTTTGATCGATGAAATATTGTTTAATATATAATTTATGATAAATTGACTGCGCATAATGTCGAAAGTATTCAAAAAATGTATCTTTAAGCACACTGATCCCAAATAGTCCGACACTAAAAGAAATGAGAAGGAAAAGAGCGAGATCTTGAGGTAACTCATCTGAAAACTGTCGACTGAACAATTTTTTTTCGTTTGTCTATTTCTTTCTTCCACACGTGACAGTTTTACTAAATGGGCTTAGCCATAAGTCGAAAATAAGTTGCCTCAAGCTCGTGGGATTAAAGGAAGGGTAAATTTGATGGTGCTACAAATGAAGGATAATATCCACCACACTAACGTTGAGAAATGGATACTTAGAATTTTGAACATTATTCATTTCCTCTTATTCCACTGAATAAAGGTATAACAATGATTTGTTTATCATCAACAACAAAAGATTATCCATATGGCATTTTCATTTCAACATTTCACGTACTTTATTGTGTTATTCTCATGTTATTCGAGAAGAATTGAAATGAAATTATTGATCAATGTTTACTTGACGTTTTATTTTCAATTTTTTTCAAAAATGTATATACAAAATAGAACACATGCCGTCAAGCAAATCCGAATATGCTTTTGTGTTATTGGCATCTCAACTTTATATACTTTTCATTTTTCCGCTTTCTTTCGAAATCGAAAACGGGTTATTGTTTTCGCTTCAAAAATCCCCATCTTCCGGCTTGTGAACATTTTACATTTGATACATTTTATTCATTCTTTGCATAAAATAGCAACAATCAGTTAAAAACACTCGAGTGAACAAGAACATGACTTTTCTTGTTAAATTCACGTAGCTTCTAAAAAATTTGAGTCCCATGAATTAAAGAATTAATGCATCAACTCTCATGCACGTCTGATAAGAATTTGAAGATACTTAGAGCCTGGGGAAATGAAAAAATTAGAATTCTAGAAGTGCATTGAGGTTACATCAAGAAAAAATAGTGATATGTTTAATTTTAATGAGCTTTTTAGATCAATTTTGATTCCCTTTAGGTAAAAAAAAAAATTGGTCCTTTCTTTATTTAATATTTTACGTTTCTTTCTAAAGTTGAAAATTACATAGATATTAGATATTATGAGATAAATATATTTAATACTATTATCAACTTGAATGAAAGCATCACACCTAATTGTTGATGATAAAAAATAAATATGAGTCTTCAATATGATCAAATAATCGAAGCTGATGCTTTTAAATTGTCTAAAAGGATATAAAGAGCACGTGGTACTTTGCGGATGTGCTGTTTATGATATAATTACTGCAATTTTGTTACAGCATTGTCAGAAGTAATTTAAGTCCTACAGCCCTCTAGTGAACAAGATTTTTTTTTCACAATAGGAATAGTATCGCGAGAAAAAAACTTTTTATTCAGTGGACTTGAGAGTCTAGAGTTGATTGCAGAGTTCTTTTTATATCAAGCAATTATATTTATCAAATAAAAAATTTTTTTAAAAGAGATGGCAATTAATTAAATAGAGATGAAAACGAAATTCTTGATGCAAAAGAAATAAGTGATTTTAATAAAATATCATCTTCTGTACAAAATTAATAATAAATTATTCCATTAGACTAAATATTCATTTTTTTTTATTTTTATACTTTTATAGTTTTATCTTTGAGATTAATATACGATGTAATTTACTTAAAAAATGGATGAAAAGTCAGAAATTAGACACAAGTGTGAGATACACTACGTGATATAAATGTTGTCTCAATTTGGAATAGAATGGTATAGAAAATCACATGTTTTTAATTTGTTCTTCTGATATTCATAGTGATATTTTTATCAGAATTATTTTTATTTATCGAAAAAGCCACATTTGATTAAATTAAACGCACTTTTTTTTAAATCATTAGAAAAAAGAAATTGATAAGTAGAATACTTTTATTTTAGTCCGACAACCGAACTTTTTTAACATTCATATATATTTTGTTTTTAAAATTTTAAAAGAATTTTATTTAATCTTTAAAAATAATTAAACGAATATGAAGATAAATTCACCGAAGAAAAGATAATTTTAATATTTTTCAATGAATAAAAACTTTTAGTTATTTTAAATCCGATTTTCTGTGTGAAAAATGGAATTTCGGTGAATTAGAATGCATTTCTAGTTCTTCAACTTTCAGTCAACTACGAATTTTTTCCCGCAAAGTTTAAACAAATAGTGATTTGTAGATTTCAACAAAATTTTTGATATCAAGAATGACGAAGCAAAAATTTTTGAACTGAATATCAATAAAACGAAAACTTTAAAAATGAAAAAAAGAAAATCAATAAAACTACTTTATTTTAGATATTCAAAAAAAATTTTTTCCGATCATTTCAGATACGGAAGCCCGCATCATAGTAGATCGCAATCAGTTAAAACTCCCGGGAGCAAATCCTCAGGACGTCCAAACTATTTATGTCTTCCACAACAAAGGTCGAGGGTTGCTAGCATGCCGAATACTGGTGTAGAAGAAGAATATTACATACTAAGGCATTTCAGCATAACAGGCAAAGGTATCGTGAACCGAGGTGATTCCCTCAAAAGCCGGAGATCTCGTTCTAACAACAGTGTAGCCTCTAGCAACTCTAGGTAAGTACTGTTGAGAATTTTATTTCCTTGAATGCGTTTCATCTCAAACCATTATCACTGAATCTTTGTCGTAAGACTCTTATTCTTTTCCGTCAGAAAAAAACGAAAAAAAAAATTTAACGCAACACCAACTTGGTTTGCAAATTATTACCTCTGGTTAAATTTTAGTTTCATCATTTATATTTTTAAACTCCACTCTACATCAATCCTATTCTCTTAATTTTTTTCCTCAATAAACAACTAACTTTACGTGACATGCCAAAGACAAAAGAACTTTTTTTCAATGAAATTGAAAAATAGAAAAGAACAATAATAAAATTTAAAAAGAACATTTTAAAGCAATTTATTTTCAAAACTTTTTTAACGAATAGCACAATTGACTTGAAAGAAAATTAAAATTAAAACAAGACAATTGTTATTGTGAGTCATAAAAAATGGATAATTTGTCAATAAATGTAATCGACCTGAGTTGTTTGGTTGTTGTGTATCTATCAGGTCTGTTTACTTGAACTACTGAAGTATTGCTGAAATCGTCGGTTGTTCACCAAATAGAAGAGGTACTAGATTTTTATATGCCCCAAGTTGCTGTGAGAGTCGGAGTCTAATGTTACAGTTGCACGAAAACAAGTGCAACAATCACATAAGTTTTCGTGAGCAAGCATTATAAGACTTCGACGAGTGTTGAAACTCTAACTATGTCATGATTCATTTTGTTTCCAACAAAATTTAGTCTCTATTTCATGCAAAACCTGCTCAGAGAACAAGTATTGCATAATAAGACATCAGTAGTAAAACATAATGATGATAAATAAATTTAAAATCAGCGAATGTTGAATTTTATTTTAATTAATAAATAATTAATAATATTAATACAATAAATAATGGTTTTATCATCAACATATGTTGGAGTAAAAATTCAAGTCACGCTATAACACTTACAATACTTATGTAAATTTTGATGTAACGATTATAGTAATCCATTAGTAATAGCATTGAAGAATTATCCATTAATCATTTTAAGTTTTATCATCTAAAGGGGAGAGTTGATTTTTTAAAAAAACGTTTCAAACGTTAAAAATTCTTATCCTTGCTATGAATAATATTTGATCAAATATCAATATTTAAAAAGTGATAAATAAGCTTTATTTTAAAATTTTTTATGATAGTATCTTTATATTCAGTGCTGTTTTAATATTGCTGAATAATTATTTTCAATCTTTTTGTAGATTACAATACCTTTTGAAGAATCTAGTGTTCATTATTATTCAGAATTTGTACAGATTATGATTAAACAGTTTGTAATGGTAAATTTTTTGAACAAAGTTCCGGTTAGGGGACATATTCAAAATTAAAAAAGTGGAGATGTCTTCTAATAAGAACTTTATTCAATTTTTTATGTTATTAAGATATTTTTATTTCTTTTGTAAATAAATTATAAACTAAAAAACTTTTCTATTTACTGTTAAGCTTTATTTTATTTTGTAAACTCATCAATTTCATTGAAAAGAAATTCAAATTGCTATTACCTACTGATCTAGTTGATACAAAAGACCATTTCAAGTGAAAATAAATTCCTTTTAATCCTTCTTAATGTCATTAATGAAAACACTCAATCAAATAGTGTTTTCTTTTTTTTATTTAAAATATGCAATACAATTCAGACTAATAATCTGTCAGTCATTTACTCACAAATAAACAAGTTAACATATAAATGATTTTCATTAAATCGTGTGCATTGGATTTTCTCACATTCACAACCTATTTGAGTTGATTTAATTTCTCTGAAGAATGAAGTCTTGAGCTCTCGTGCAAGTGTGTATAGAGACGTAAATTAAATCAACTTTTGTGGTTCACTCTGGTAAAGTATACAAGCATCTTGGGGTTATATCTACCAGAGTGTAATACTGGCTACTGTGTACAGATCTTATTTTAGACGTTTCTTACGATCCAAGAAAACTAGTCAAATAAAAAAATATAGACAAGAAAACGGAGAAGAAGAAGAAGAGAAATAGCACCGACCTCTAGACTATCTTTCTGTTAATGTAACATTTTCTAACAAAAATTTATAAAAGTTTTTTTAACATACAATTAAAATGTTGACCCAATTTTAGAAACTCGTTTTTTATCTTACAATTTTCGTGATGAATTCGGTTTTGAGATTTTTTTTTAAACATAATTGTTTATAGTGAATCCATACACCACAATCTGAAAGTGCTGATGCAAAGTGCACACAAAGTGCCCTATTGAATCAATTATTGTGATGGAGATATTACGTTAGGAAACACATAGTAGGATCGTGATATAAAGTGGGACATTGCACAAATTATGAAAACCTTAGTCATTAATAACTCTTAGTTTCTCTTCACGTCTTAAAGACTCTGGTTTATATTAAGCTCACTAAGTATAGATAAGTTTTAATACTCTATTTTAATCCTATATAACAACATTTAGTGCTCAAATCTTGTCGATTTATCCTTAAGGATTTTATGAGTTAAGATTGAAGAGAAAAATATTAGAGACAGTGATAAATGGATAAAGTAATAATTATATTCTGTCATTAAACTTATAAGATATGTATAAGATAAAATAATTATGAGATAACATGAATTTGTCTTATTATTACTTGCGTACACGTGAGATCACTTTATTTATTGCTAAAACAAATATTAAGCTATGATAGATCAAGTGTCTATGAATGAACGTAACGAATTTTTGCTATAGAGAAAAAATATTTTATTGTAATTATTCAAGGTTTTAATTTTATTATTAAAAAAAAACATTACTTGTTCATAGTCAATTTTTTTCTCAGTATAAAATATAAGTCATCTTATCTAATTTTTCCTTTTGTTTTCAAAACGTAATTATGAGAGGAAAAAAAATAATTTATTTTTGCACAATTTAATTCAGCATATTTATCGAATAATTTATAGTATAGTGACTGCTTAACCAAATCATTCAAATAGTTGAATAAATTTTTGTATAATTAATTATATAATATCTTCATGAATGAAAGCATAAACTTATAACCATATATTTATAAATTCATAACATCGATTTGAATCTAAATAAATAAGTATGTACTTATGAATATAAGATTGAATAAGAACTTTTTATTACCAATTTAAAAAAGATATTCAATTTATTATTATTTTTCTTCTGCAAACACTAAAATATTTTTGATGTATTCATTATTCTTATTGATAGAGGATATTATTTGGATTGAAAAAATTCACTAATATTCCATCGTAATAGAAAGTATTTTTATTATTTTTTTTTTCAACTCTAGTTTGCTCTGGATTCTAGATTCTGAAGGGTTATGTTCGAAGGGTTTTATTGGTTTTATTGGAATTTATTAATAGAGGTTTGTTTTTCTATTGAAATGAAATTTTTATATGCTGAAAAATGTTTCAGCAACAGGCTTTAGAGATAATGTATTCCATATTTGTGTCATGCAAATCATGTTAAATAAAATAACTTCTCTCGATTGTGTACATATTAATTATGGTATTAACAGTCTATTTCACAGCTGAAAATTCAATAAATGTATTTGTCTCAAATGAATTTTTGTATTAATGGTGCATAAGAATATATAAAAAGTCCATAACTAATGTTTAGTAAAAAAAAAAAGTTAATATTTATATAAATTTTTTATTTGGACAGTCGTAAATCAATAGCATATTTCATAGAAAAGCTCTCTGAATAAAAAATAAAACAAGTTTGAATGATTTTGTCTTTATTTTAGCAGAGTTAGAAAATACAATTGATAAATAATTCATAATAAATATCAGATTTAAAATATATATCCTAGTTTATGAGAATTCAATTATTGATTTAAAAAAAGAAAACTATTTAAAAACTTTTAATTGTCGAAATTGTATGATTGAAATGAAAATAATGAAAGAAAATGTGATATCCAACATGTAAAAGCTGAGTGCAAGTATAAATATGGCCAAAATATAATTCTTGATTATATTTGAATAACTAAAATTAACATTTTTACTTTTATGCATACCATACCCTAGGAATAAGCAGTCTATGGTAAATTTGCACCAAATGCTCTGAAGCTCTTTCAAAAATCAGTGATAAAGGTTTTGCATTCACATTTGAGACATATTGTCTACAAAAAAAATTACAAATTCACTTTGCAAATACAATAAGATAAAAATCTATGAGATCTACATACAGGAAATGTATGTTATTATTGTAAATTGTTATGGATTTTTATTCTGAAGCCTTGATGTACCTAGTTTGTTGCATTTTCCTTCATTTCCTGTAGACTTAATGGAGATTGTTCATCAACAGATCATCAATCTCTTGATTATTCAGACTAAAGTATACATTTATGGCAATAAAAATACTTGCCCTTAGTTTATTTATCATAATAATAATCTTTAACTTCTTACTTAAAAAAATATTACTACTGACAGAAGTGAAAACTTTAAACTATAAAATAACTTATTAAAATTAAACTTATTGAACAAGGTTTTTTGCGTTTTTTTTTTACCATTCTTGCCTTCTTCAACCCGTAAATTTTTATCAATAATTTTTCAATTATGTAAAAATCGACGATATTTTATTGGACATTTCTTCTTCCCTACTGCCTCATGAAGATTTCTGTCACCTCACTTGTCTTATTTTTCAAATATCTTCTTGACATTCTCATGTAATTTTAAATTTAAAAAAACTTTGGTCCAAAATAGGAGATTCGATTTTCTATTACTCTTATTTTATTTGCACCTTTGCTGGACTATCAAAGCATCTAAAGAAGTTTTCACTTAAAAAATAGTGCAAATATTTTTCTAAGTCAATATAAAAGCCCATAATGTTGAACAAAATTACATATAACATAATAATATTTCTGTGTCAACATAAATTATTTTTCTAAAAGTTTTAAAATTCATTATTGTACTCAAACTTTTTAGAATGCACCTCAATCTACAATAGAGTATAATCTAAAATGTAAAACGACATATACGACACATTTTATAGTTCAATAAATGTAAAAACTTTATGTAACATGTTCACTTGAATATAAAAATTTACATTACATTGTTAAAACAAAAAACGTGGATTCATCAAGGAATAGATGCCATTCTTTCACTCACAAATGATTGGAGAAGCTGATGGACGTTGAAAAGTGGAAGGAATGAAGAAGCAAAGAACAATTAACGGATATGCTCTAGACTCTGGATCGAACTCGTGAGTTTACGAGTGACACTTGAGGTAACGTAGACCCACGTGTTAGACCCTAGAGTGTGGTCCATGACCATCGAATTTGCGGTTAAGTAATTTCCTCAGTCATGAACAGTGTTTGCTTTGGTTTTGCAGAAGGTGACGTTTATCCATCAACTACGAATGTCTACAGTGTTATTGACACTAACATAATTGAAATTTTAGTTACGTTCAAATTCACTTTATTATTCAGCACATTTTGAAATAAATTCGCTTTTATTGTATTATTAATTAATTATCTTTAAAATGATGTTTGAAATATTCAACTGATATATCTGCAGGAACCGATTGAACGCTGGAAGTGTACCTGCAGATATCATCACCCCATCAAATCAGGGATTTAGCGACAATAAAAGCTTTCTGTGAGCATTGTTTGTTTATAATTAAATTAAGTTTATTTTTTTAATAGTTATTGAAAGTTAAATTATTCAAACATTTTAAGTCTCGTCAATTTATTAGAAAAATCGAATCAAATTATTCGATTTATTTGTATTAATTTCATTGTCAAAAGCTTATGGATTTGATTATGTTGTTTGACAGCAAATAATGATCTGCGACCTTCATATGACGAGAATTAAATTCAATTATCATAGTATTTGGAGACATTTTTTAAAATTCTTATTAAATGTACTTATTTATTTACTGTGGAGTTAAATTGTTTATGAATAAATTTATAAATATGCTGATAAATAATTTTTTTCTATCGTTATTATTATCATGAACTCATAATGTTATTTATGTTCAAGTGATATTTATTGTGAATTATTTATTTACTTACTTTATAAAAATGATTAATGGCAAGAAAGCTCGTGTAGTGTACCCGTATAAAAAAAATTTTTTCCCTGAGGTTCCCCTTTGGGACTATGAGCAACGTTTGGGAACAAAATTTTTTTTTGTTTTTTAATTTTACCTCTCTACCCAGATGTACTTTAAATAGTATTTACTTGCAAAAATGATATACATAATGCAATTAATGAAATAAGGATATATTAGCAAAAAACTGTAAAATATGAAAATGTGCATAACTTCTATGCTAATGATGCTACGGGATTCGTCGAGGGCTCATATAAAAGATCTGGACGAAAGGAAACAAGTCGATATAATGCAGAATCATAATTGGAGCATAATTTATGCTAAAATTAGAGCAACTTCCTGTTTTACCCCATTTTAGGGGTGAAGGAATTAATTTTTTAAATGTTGGACCCGATTCCGCATTTCTACGCATTGAGACGAAGAGAATGAGTGGTCGAACTTGAAAATCGGACAACTTTGATTTTTCACCCTCAAAAAATGGCAAGTGGTCGCAAGTCAACTAAAGGTAAAAAAATCATCTACTCTTTGATTTTGGATCTTTATAACTCGTGAAAAAATCATTATATGATGATTTTTAAGAAGTATTTGGAAACTTTAGAATCTAAGCTAAAGATACATATCCATGAAAAACGTCAAAAAAATTTATCACACCTTCAAAATGGCCAAAACAGTTGGCAACTTCGCAAAAAAATGTGATTTTTTTTTATATTTCAGCGATTTTAAAGGGTGGAAGCAAATTTTTTGAAACCTACTTTATGGATATGCATATGTAGCTTAGATTTTTGAGTTTCTAAAACGTCCCTAAAAACGGTTATTGGACCGTCCGTTCAAGAGTTATAGGGGTTTAAAGTCAAGGGGATGATAATTTTGAATTTGTATCCAGTTTTCCCCTTTTAAGGGTGTTAAAGTGAATTTTCTTGACCGGTGCCCCGATTCCGCATTTCTACGCATCAAGACGAAGAGAATGAGCCCTCAATCATTAAAATCGGAATACTTTTATTTTTTGGCGAAAAAAATGGAAAGGGGTACCACTTGCCATTTTTTGGGGTCGAAAAATCAAAGTTGTCCGATTTTCAAGTTCGACCACTCATTCTCTTCGTCTCAATGCGTAGAAATGCGGAATCGGGTCCAACATTTAAAAAATTAATTCCTTCACCCCTAAAATGGGGTAAAACAGGAAGTTGCTCTAATTTTAGCATAAATTATGCTCCAATTATGATTTTGACTAATGCAATTGAAAGCTCTTACTCTCACGAATCTATTGATATGCGTATTTTCTACATAGGCCTAATAGATCTCGAGTTATTAGCAAAAAACCAAGTCATACTAATATGTCATTATTTCATTAGTTTCATCATACATACATTATTTTCGCAAGCAGAAAACGTTCAAAGTTCGTTAGGAATAGAGAGAAACAATTATTTATACGGGTCAGCTTTTAAAGTCATTTTTTACTTTTTTTGAAGTTTGTTATTCGAATATACACTTCTAACTGTGTTTCTATGATACACATGTCCGAGAGTTTTGTGTTAAATTAACTTACGAATAAAAATAGTAAAAATAAATATTTTATTAGAAAAAATTTTGTTTAAATGTTTTTGTGTGCGTAGAAATAACACACATAAATTTGTAGTGTAGGTCATTTTTATTTATATGAATTTGCAGTGTAAACATAGTTTTACTTTTTATACTATGGAGTTAATAAAAAATATTACGATTCGACTAAAGTCTTTCGTAAAAACAAAGAAATGTGGACTTCGTATGGAGACTATGTATCTTTTATGATAATGCACTGAGAGAAAAATTGACTGTGAACAAGTAATATTTTTCTTTAATAATAAAATCAAAACGTTGAATAGTTGCTATGAAATATTATTATAGATTTATTTCCGATGGTTACTTGAAATAATTAATTTTAAAAAGTACATTTTTTTGTGCTCAATAATTTTGAATACAATTATCTGAGTATTGTTTTATTAAATTAATCTTTTTTTTTTCTAAGATTCATGGTGGAATTAATTTAATGTCACTTGATCTTTAACCAAATATTAAAATGAATAATCTAAATAAAATATTTTAAATTCTTTTTATTTATTAAATTAACATTTGTTTGTACAGCAATAATATTTCTCTTAGTGTAATAATATAATATTTAAACTCTTCCTATCATGCAATACTTTTTTCGTGACAGAAATGAAACTTGTGCATAAAATAATTATTTACTTACATCTATAGATATTGAGACTTTAAAGCATCTTTATGTTTACAATTTGTAGTTACAGAAGTTCAAAGCAGATCATTATTTGATTTTCAATCAACATTATTTACATATCTAAATCATGTAATATCATATAAATTGACGAAATAAATTACCTAACAATTATTCTCTTCATACTTTTTTAAAAATTTATATTTCTTACCAGCATAAATTTAATTATAAAATTTTGTATTTAATTTTAATCTTAAGCTTTCACAAAATATATATTTTATAACCACCACATCTTCTTATATCTGCTAATACTGGTTACGAAATTGAGCTTTTCTGAATGTTTCTTTTTTTAATAATGAAACAAGTAGAAGATTATTTATACTGTTATTTTTATCAAAGAACACACCTACGTGAAGGGTAATTTTATTAATTACCATCAACTAATTATTATCAAAATTCATTTGTGTTCAAAAAATTATGCTTCAGCTATGTTTGATTTAAATAAACTTGTACTACTTGGTTGAATGACAGAGAAAGAACCAAAGTTGATTTTAGTGTGATGTTAAATATTTATTGAACGCTATGTGATTCAATCATGGACTTGTACCGTCAAAAAAGCGTAGGTGACAATAGAGTTGTACATTTCATTTAATAATAAAATAAAATAAAAATAATGATTCAATTACTTTATCATTTTTTCCAATTTATTTCATTTTTATTTGTCAATAAAGATTAATTGATTTCACACTAATTGTAATACATGATTTTGACTGCGGTTGGTCAATTTAATTATTGATAATTAATCCAATAAAAAGGTGTAATTGCTAATTGCAAACATAAAGTTACTCTTCATGTATTGTCATCTTTATTACAGACAAAAAAATACAATATTTTAAGTCAAAATTCTTTCATAATTTTGATGCTGAATTGACTGAATAAACAAGAGTATCAAACAGAAGAGCTATAAAAAAGTAATACACTCAAGTTTATCGGAAGATAAATAAAAGAACACAGTTAATTCACAAAAGTTACCAATTTTTTGTTAATTAGTAAATATTTGCTTAGAACATTTTGTAGTCATTTGGTGGTCTGTTTACTCTGAGTAGTTACTTGTTTACTCATTTTTCTCCGTTTACCTTTTTCCTTCGTTGACAAAAAAAAAAATAAAAACACATATTGGACATTATTGTTCCAATAACATCTATAAATATTTTCTACTAATAAAATCATACTAAATGAACTATTCTTTCTCTGTCGTAGTTTAACTCAATTTTATAAATATTTCATTCATTTTATTATTGTTATGTGTATTGAATTTTTAATTAATTTTAAAAATAAGTACTTTATTATATAAACTGTAAATTTACTTCTTTTTATATAAGTCATAAATAAATTTAAAATGATTGTTATTTTATATTGTTAATAAAATAAGAAAGAGCATGAAGTTGAGGAGATTTTCCCATTGAATCAGTTTAAAAGTTTATTAATCTAAATAATTTCAAAATAACAAAAAATAAAATCAAAATTACTACTCAATTTGGGCGAAAGAAATTGAAAAGTATCAACACCTGGTCAACGGTTCTATAAATTATCTCGATTGGCCATCTCTCCCTATATAGCCATCTACCCGAACTCACCCTAAAAAATTAAAAAATGACCCTGGCTTTCTACCTCTTCTGGACCTGATTTAACTCCTTCATGAGTACCATATCCAACGATGTGTTTCAAAAATTAATTGGGCCATGTTCAGGACTATGAATTGTGAATACCCGGAATGCACTACTCAATACAAATAAGCTCCAAAAAGAAACATCTTCCAATCGACCAACTTTAAGTACTTAGAAAAACGTTGACTCAATGTAAATACACTTGTTTTTTATCCACAAATAAATATTTTTTTTCATTCGAGTTTTAATTACAACTTAAACTCATTCAAAACTGTTGCTTTCATTCTTTTCAGTGCTGACTCAGTGACAGTGAGGTTTTATTATTTTTTTCGTCATTTAGTAGCAAAAAATTCATCAGTAACAAGTCCAAATTGCCTATCATCATATCAAAGTAGCCTGCATTGTTGAATCTATCGATTTTCAAATTACTATGAGTGGTAGAAAATAAAGCTGATTATTTCACTGAACTGATGGTCTTTTTTTTGTTCGTTTTATAAAACTTCAACCACAGATTTCTTATTGAATAAAAGTATGAAAATTTAATGACACTTGAATGACCAAAGATAATTTTTATTCTGATTCATGGGAATATCTCTTTAAAAATCCTTTTTTTATTCAGCCTTCATTCTTACTAAAATAAAATACTCTTGACTTCTATTAATTGAATTTCCTCAAAATTGGTTTAATAATATTTTTAATTTATTTTTCAAGCCTTCACCAACAGTTTGAATATTAATGAACTTTCAAACACAACAATTCGATTATAGCCAAATTACATATATCCTTTTTTCAGTGAATGAAATGCAATGAGAATTAACTATTTACAAAAAGTTGGCTTGAATAGGCTTGAATAATAAACAATAAATTTAACTTTTATTATATAATTTTAATTTATCAACATATATTGACATACTAATGTTGATGTTATTGAAATATATTTAATGTAATTAATAAATAATTAATAATAACTTCTCCCTTAGATCAAAATGTGTTATTGTAATGGAAGACTTCAAAATCTATTTTGATTCTTCAAGCAACAAATTATCTCAATGTTGAATAAAAAATTTTTTTATTTCCAAAAAATCGTTTAAGCTGTTATTGAATGAGTATCCGACATGTAATGTTTCAGCACGGAACATTTAACCGCCTCTTATCCTGGCTCAGCGCGGAATTCAGCTGCAGGCTCGTTAGCAAGCTCGAGAGGAAGCAGTGCATCACAAGGATCAGTACCTTATAAAGTCTTAATGCTTGGAGCACCAGCCGTCGGCAAGAGTTCCCTTGTTTCACAATTTATGACTTCTGAGTACCTGCATGCTTATCATACTTCCATTGGTAAGTTTTAAATTAGCCATTTTATTTTACTTACTGATCTCTCGTTATTTTAATTTCCTTCTTTTTTTCAAGCACGAAGAAACATTATTATATTATTAGTGATGGAAGAATTTTTATTTTCATAAATTGAAGTTCAAAAATTTTATCTCTAAAATAAATTATGAGCTGCTCTGCTAGGGAACAGAAGAGCTTTTTTGCAAAAAAAAAAAAGTTTCCAATGAAACCCTAAAAATTGTGGATAAAAAAAGATAGATGTGACATCAAGAGCTAATCTCTAACATTTGGAATATTTTTAAAAAATTTCATCCGACTTTAGTTTGAGAATTGGCAACATTTTACACAATGTCAAAACATTAATTCCAAAAAAAACTGTGGGGTGAATCATATTAAAATTTAATTTAAATATATTTCAAGTATTTCGTATTACAGTTCTCTAATCAATCGAATAATACCAATAAATTTGAGTAATAACTAAAAATAAAATTAAATGTAAAAAAGTGAGGTACCTTAAATGTTCCTTAAAGTATAAGGAAAAAATTTTTCGTCAACTTCCGGTAAAAATGAATAAAGTTAGTCATAAAAGCTCGTGTATTGTTGTACCACTTGAAGTAATTATTTCTCCTAAACCATGTGATAAAAAAATCTTTTCTTGTCTCTCTTAACTCATAGGAAAATGATCTTTCAGATCAATTAAAAAAAGGTTTGCTAACTGTAAGCCTCTTTTAATGTCAATCTTCCTTAAAAATAAATGAATAAAAAAGATTGTGAAATTTTTATTGGAAAATAGAGCAATGAAAAATTCTTAATCATGAATAATGAAGAGATTAATGAATAATAAAAATAGTAAATACACCAGGAAAAAAATTCTTAATGGGATTAAACTAAATTTTGAATGATGATAACCGTAGTATGTGAAGTATGAATGTATATTTCATGAGCTAATGGCTCATAGGAGAATCCTTATCGTAGTAAATAAAGGGGCGTAGATTTGATTCTTGGTTGAATAAACATATTTTCATAGTCATCATTTACTTCCCTAGTTCAATTAATATTACCAGAGAATTAGGTATTACGAGTAAGCATCAATAGAATTTTAATGCTCCGGAAGTCAAGTTCTATAAATTGACTGTTAGTAAACGTTCTTATTAATCAAGTTCTTTTTTTTATTATTTCTCAGAAAAAAATAATATTTAAAGACATGGTAAATAAATGTTTAATTATCCTTATCATTTTCATAGACATTTGAGTATAATTCTTCCATTTAAATATTTATTTTATGATCTATTTTTTTTTTAAATATTTGAATATCATTACAATCTTTGTAATCCCTATGTTCATTTTTTTTGTCTGAGTAAATTGAATGATTTTAAAATTTGACTTCCTGAATAAGTTGAAGTTAGTTTGGTAATGTGCGTATTTCCTTACTTCTTCAAACTACTTTTTGATTCTATTAAAAATGGATTATTCCACGTTTGCCAATGAGTAAAAACACCTTTCATCTTAAATGTAAAATCTCCTATGATTTTCTTTCAGACTTTCTGATTTTTAAATTCACTAGAATAAAGATTGCAAGTAAAGTTTTCGAGAATTTACTGATTTCAATGTAAGCCAGATCTGTCAACTTAACCTAAATACATGTATATTTTCTACTATTTTCGACCAATCTCTTATTTAGATAGTATTTTATTAAATTCCTCCAATACTACTTTTTTTTTGTTAGTTTTTGAATAAAATCATGGACTCATTGCTATGGCAAAAAGTTGTATAGCCTTTTTAAAAGTATCACTTAATAAACTGATACATAATTCAGCTTTATTTTATTTAAGAGTCAATTCTATTGTATTATAAATAGGTGTATATATTGCAGATGAGTCTGGCGAGAAAACTGTGAGTGTCTTACTTGCTGGAGAAGAATCAGAAATGACATTTATTGATCATCCCTCTTCTGAAATGACGGTAAGTACTTTTACATATTGTATTTATTTTAGTAAATAAATATATATTGGTACGTTAAATTTAAAATTGCATGCTATTTATTATCTGTTGCTGTGAAAAAATAGGAATTGTAATTAACATGTTGAAAAACATAATAATATTCAAGCATAGAATTCATAATAAAGCTCATTTGTCAACTAGTTCTCCTGTGCGTATTTGAATACACTACTCTGTCAATAAAAATTGCCAACTGTCATCAAAATTTCCGAAAGTTTCGGAACTTTGATCAGGAAATGTTTGGTGGAAAATCAAGTCGATCGATATGTTTAATATATGTTCAAGATTAGAGAATGAAATCCGACATATTGACAGATACATAGACACGAATGTAAATTGACAAACAGACATGTTGACAATACTTGGGTAATTAGATTAATTAAAAAAGATTGTTAGATGGTATTTTTTTATTTAGTGTCTTTAAAAAAAAATTGAACTTTTAATTGTATTTAAAATTTGATGAAATATAAAATACGATAGTTTTGTTTTTATTGACAAATAAACAAGTACATGATGGTGAAGAGTATTTGTTGTATAAGTGATTCAGAAGATCTGATAGATTCTAAGTGTGTTGGAAATTAGGGAGAAAGTCTCTTATTTAAAGGATTGACCAAAAGGTCCAGGAGAGAAGTTGGATCCTTGCTTTGGATTTCCTCATGTTGGAGAAATCTGAAAGAGTCCAAAGTTCAAGTCTTAGAAATCATGGATGATGTAAAAGGGGTTTTCTATGAAGGACTTGGAATATCCATAAAAAAATGGGCTTTTCCTGTAGAGAAATCTTAACTTTATAAAACTATAAAACTAATGTTTCTCAAGAAACACACATATACACATAAGTAGATAGGTAAAGTATATAAAAAAGCTAGTAAAATTCTTTTAGATGAAATTCAAAAGAAAAAAGGAAATAAATCTGCCACATGAATAGAAAAAATTTTTCATTGCAAGTATGTCATAAATGACATTGTATGTAAAAAAAATAGATTTACCCACTGAAAAGTTATAACGAAAGATGTAGCTTTTTATTGAGAGATTATTTTTAAAATTTTTTATTTTTTAATATTAAATGACTTCAATATTTAATTTTTACATTAATAAATGAGTGAATTAAAATTTTTCAAGCTATTGAAATTACATTTTGCAATATCTTTAAAATTTTCAATGAATGGAAGATTGATAAGCAATTTTTTAATTGAAGTTTTTTAAATTAAAGTATAAAATATTGAATATAATGAAAAAAATTCCTTCATTACAGTTTAATCTATAGATTTCAAAATTATATTAAATTATTAATCACGACAAAAATTTATCTGCTCATGAAATCAGCGAAAACGAGTTATAAAAAAAATATAAAAATAAATTTGTCATATCCCTACATAATATATTTATTGGTTTAATTTTTTTATTCAGCAACAAAATATTGATTCTTTCATAATCGAATCATTTGAATCTTAAACGATTATTCATCGGAAGTTTAATTGATGCAAAAAGAGAATTAACAGGAAGAGATTTTAAATAATTGTTCAACCATATTATTTCAAATGTAGAAAATTTAAAAAAATAACTGATATCACTGAGAAAAAGAATTTTGTGGCTTCAGTATAATCAATTGGATGACGTGACACGGATAAAAGTGATTGTAAAAATGATAGAATAAAGGGATAAAAACCCCGAAGATAGGTATGGTTAGAGACAAACGATGGACAGTATTGAAGCTTCCAATACAGTAATCTAGGTCACTTCATGTACTGAAGTAATTTATACATATGATAAAAAAACGAACGAGTGCCAACTGGATTGGCAAATTCAAAAACTGTATATCTCTTTTATCAGGATATTTTGAAATTTGCAAAATAACATGCCAGTTACCATAAATAAGCAAAAATATCTAGCTATTGTTGACATTCGTCCTTGAAAAGCAGGTGCTGAAATGTTGATACACTAATATGAAAGGATTCAGTATTGGCAATGCATTATCTTTCTGCTATACTCTAATAGAAGAGAAGGATGGCAGCTAGCCAGCTGCTATCTAGGACCACTAGACTTACTATAATACTTGTTTAGTTTTAGTAGGTTTAATCCAGTTGTGGTTGACCAACTTCGAGGAAAAACCTAGCTTATGGTTTTGAATGATTTCAATTAATTTTATTATAAAAACTCTATCTATAAACGTTAAATTTCCAATCATCTTATCATCGTTTAAGTATCAGCTCCATCAACATAGTGGACCATCAACCACTTATAGCTCGCACTTTATCCAATAATAACTTCTGAGTCACATTGATATTGAATTTATACTAGGTTATACTTTAATTGTATAAAATACTAGGTTGTACTTTAATTTTGAAATTATTATCAATTAGAATAGCAAACAAATAATAAAAAGTTCAATCTTTTGAATTAGATACAACTTTTCTGGATCATCTCCACAAGGTCAAGTTATGTAACATGGAATAACTGCAGTAGAACCAAGAACTTTCTTAACTAAGAAATGGAAAAGATTAAGATGAAAAACAAATAATAAAAATAAATCAGCAGCTAAGTAATAGGAATGCCAAATTAAGTTTTAAATTTATACAGAAGACTGTCTTAAATAATTATAAAGCTATGTTGAACTGAAATCAATGAGAAATTTTGATAATATTTTATGTGCCTCATTACGAATAAATTTAGTCTGTAAATTGTTATAAACAGTAATTGGTTCATCACCTCTGACATTTACTTAATCATCAATAATATTAAACACATATTAAATATGTTCAGAGCTTCATCACAGTGACCAATTAATGGAACAACATGAACCTAAAACGTTCCTTAAGCACTTTAGACATAACCACATGCCACTCAATAGCGTTATAAAGATATCCCAAAAATATATTAGCTTGTTTGGTAATAAAATTAATAGTTTATTTTTGATCATGATTGTTTAAACATTATTATCATGGTTGAGCACATGATATGATGCATGCAGATTACACTAATGGAACTGATTCAGAATAGATAAAAAGATAATAAAGTGCGGATTAATTTAGTTATTTTATACAGGTTCCAAGTTGATAAAGTTGAATAAATTTATTGACTTTGTTCAAACACTGGTGTCACGAGTAAAGGATTCATGCTGTGTTGTTGGTTTAAGGCTTGACATTCAATAAGCCAGTGGTGTACTGATCCATGGCTTAGTCGACATATATGTTATTTATTTGAAGTAGGTAAAACTTCTATAAGAAACATGAGAATCAAATAATTTTATATTTAAAGTAGTTCTTAAGATCAGTCTTTGTGTATAGATTTCAATAAGGGCTCACTTGATTCTTTTCAAGTTAATAAAAAGCGACAAACGATTTTAATGAATTGCTTGATAAAGGAAGTCAAAGAAGACCAGTTTTGAAAGTTTATTGAAACTCGAACACTTGAAGTACAGTTTGTCAAAAAAAAAAAAAAACCTAATTTCCTCCAGTGATTTTTTTTTTTTTATAAAAAAAATTCTCTTAATTTGAATGTGTATAGTCATTAAAATCACTACATTGGCTTCTAGAAAAAAGAACATGCAAAGGTAGATTTTTTAATTTAAGTCTTTAAAGCTTGTTAATTACGTTGATATCCTTCAGAACTACGACAAAAAAATCTAACAAAAGAACCTAAGAATTGAACTTAAGTTTGTCATGTTTTTTTCTAGGAATAAAATTTAGTGTTAATCTTAGTTGTATAATAGGTATAGAATTCATTTTGGACAAGTTAGATCTAGTTTTTTTTTGTTTTCTTCTGAATTGCCTTAAGCTGAACTCCCTAGTCTGAATACGATATGAAAAGTTTGATAGAATGTTAATACATCTAGGAGAGTAGCTTAGAATTGTAGATCGTTATTGTTTAACTTTTGTATTGTTCGTTTTCGAAATGGTGCGACCATACAATATAATAATCTGTAATGTCACAAAAGCGATTGATGTAGTGTTAAAGTAAATGTCTCAGTCTATGAGAAGCCGTGACATTGTTCAATAAAGTTCATGATAATTATAGTTGAAAGCTTGTTTAATTAATAGGTGCTAAGCAACTGAAGGATATAAAATTTCATTCCAACATTTATTTATTTGCTAAATTCATTATGTTCCTTTTTTCTTTCTCTCTCTCTCTCTCTCTCTCTTATGAGTTTCATCAACAATCGTAATTTGTTCATCAATTTGCTGGAAAGATCATCAGTTTTGTTACGGTCCCCATCTTACTCCACTTGCTTTAATATTTTTTTTTTCTATCACAAGCATTGTTTCAGAAAATTAACTAAAATAATAATAATTCAGTAGTTATAGTAAAAAAAAATAAACATAAAAAATTCAGCTGTTGCTGATTTAATTTTTTCTGATAAAATATTTTATTCTTTTTTATATAATTTTCAAGGCTATTATTTTTCACTTTTTGAAAGAATACTATATTTAAAAACAAATTTTCGATACAATTATTGTGTCATATTCTTTCATGGAATATATTTAAAAATAGATGGCAACTACTCCAAGAGCTATTGATAAACTATTCATATGGAACATATATGTTAGCTATATATTTCATTTATTGATTAATAATATTATTTTTAAAACGCTTTATAACCAAAAACGTAAATTGCTTAGATGATGTTCGACTTTATTTAACTGCTTGATAAATGAATAATCGATAACAGTTCTTTTTAAATAAAAAATTTAAAGGCCAAAAAACCAAAAAGATTTTCACATTTGAGAAGTGAGAAACATTACTGCTGATTATACATGGAAAATTTAATAGAATATTTGAAATAGTTAGAAAGTAATTTATGTACGTATTGAACCTTACTATTCCATACATCATAGCCGAATTTTTCAAATATGATATTATATGTTGGTTATATATTAGTCAAAGAACTTTCTCAAGTAATCTTAGGAATTCAATAATCTTTTCAGATCATTGCACAAATAAGTGAATGTAGCTGAGTAAAACTTGAGAAATAGACCAAAGTACCAAAGTTATATGTATGCAAAAGGTGAATTTTACTTACATTAAAGTTTGATAAGAAAAAAAATGTTATACAAAAAAAAAAATTCCCGGATCAAGAATAATTTTATTATTAATCATATTACCATAGTAGAACCTTCTTCTATATATTTTTAATATCATAAAATGATCATGAATAATAAAAAGTAGACTATACGTTACCCTGCTATATACACATAATAAGAATATTAGTCCATTCAACGCAGGAGAGAAAGTTTTTTTCATTTGTGGACTTATTTTTAGTAAAACTAGCAATTTTTAATTTTCCAATGGCAAAATATTCCTCATAAGATACTGAAAAAATGTGACCAACAACGAAAATGAAATCTCGTTTCCTTCTATTTTTTTTTAACACTTTTGTGTGTCCTATATATCTGAGCGAGACAGTGCTATACGCAGCACCATGTGTTAGAAAAGGACATACATAATAAAGAGTAGATAATTTGTTTCCAATGGGTAAACCATGTTTCTTACATTTCATTTTTGTTTTCAACTTTTTAAGAAACAAGAAAAAAAATGGATTCAGTCGTGTAGTGACAATTGCATCAAGAATGAAAAAGAATCACTTTTTTTTTCTTTCAATAATTCATCGAAGTTAATTATATTCATTATTATTGAAATAAAAAGGAGTGATTCCTTTGCTGCTCATGCTTCTTTCTGATTCTTGTTATATTGAGTAACTCATTGTGAATTTGGAAAAGTCAGAGTGAAATTCGTAATGATAAAGACTAACAGACAAAAATCCTAAGGAGTTCAATAAACGTCCGAGTCAATTTTTCAATTATTTTAAATAAGAATATCTTGACAACAAGGAGAATAGCCATTTTTAAGTAAAAATAGATTCAAAGCACTTTTTTGTTCTATGAATAAAAACTGCTATTTTTTACGCGTCTATAGAAGGCTTTCAGAAAAACTCATTGAAAAAAACCGCATTAAGTTAAAAGAAAGAGAAATGGCTAAGTAGAACAACTACAAATAAACCAAAAAGGATAAAATACAATTCTTTTGTAATCAAAGAAATATCTTTAGCTTTTTATTTTTTTTTATCTTTTGATACCGGTTGAACGTCTTTAAAATTGAGTAGTCACATTAATCGTACTCTTTTTTTTACAGTCTTCAATAAAATTTCTAAACATCAAGTAGTACAGTTTACAATTAATCAGCCCTTTTTTCGTACTACTTTTACTTTCTCTTGGGCAAAAATTTTTTTTTTTATTTTTTCAATTCAATAGAAAAAAAAAAATTGCGAACAAAAAATCCTGAATAGAACAAATCCCATTTGAGAAAACCTTACTGAAAAAATATCCTACCAAAAAAAAAATTTATGAATCTAGTGGTTATTCTAGTCTACGTTGATATACATCCAAAATGAATAGGACATTTGGATAAATTTATAGGTGACGTTACTGTTATTTTCTGGTTTACTGCACTACCAGCATTTTGTTTACTAAATCTAAACAAAAAAAAAAAAAGTCTAATTTGAAATATTCATGCATATTTTTGATTCATCACAAGGTAAAGAATTTTTTTTTTATCAACGAAAAATATGATTTTGACTTACAATTGTTAATAATATTTATAATGATTTAACAAGTTTATACAAAGTATTATTCACTTAAAAAACAGTTAAGCGCATGAAAAAATGTTTAGAATAAAATTTCCGACAAATTTTATGCTCTATAATTTTGATAATAGATGTTAACATCATTTCCTATAGCTATAAAAACCAAAACAATTGCGAAAAATTGGTTTTCGTGACTGCTGTTTAATTTTCCTACACCCTCCTATACAAAAAAACTCAGCAATAATTGACTTTCCAAGAAAAAATTTTTTTATACGACCATATGTAGGTAACTGGCTTTACATGGTTTATATATGGAACATATATGATTTTATATGGATTGTGTATGTTACTTTTTTGGCCATATATGTTACGTATACGATCTTATACGTTCCATATACAATCCATATAAAATCGTATACGGCCCATATAAAATCATAAATTTTTCATTTATGAACCATATAAGACCAATTTCCCATATACGATCATATAAAAAAAATTTTTCCCGAGTTGCCACTAGTACATTGAGTCCTTATTTCATAATTCACTGAAATATTCTTCTCAGAATAAATTACATAAATATATGTTTCTTTTTAACTGCTAAAAATAAATTCACAAAATATTCAAGCTCGATGGTGAATTTTAAATAGCAAACTAGATGTTTGTGAACAAGTTACAGTTGATATGAAGTCATTTCATCAACAAAGTCAACTTCATTTTATAAACTTCAACTCGTCGTCATTTGCAGTTTATCGTTAATTACGTAAAGAGAAGTTTATTGACAATTTGATCTTTGAGTGAAATCATCTTCAAAAAGTATCAGAATATGTAAAGAGATCTTCTTATACCACGTTCCTTAATAAAATTTGACCTATCAATTAAAGTGAAGGTTTAATTACATATTTTTCAGTGAAATTAATTAAGACTCAAGTATTTATAATTTGAAAAAAAAAAAATTAATTGAATATGCTTCAGAAGAGAAATAAGAAAAAGAAATTGAAGTACTCTTTCTTAAGTTCCAAGAAGAGCATAAATTTCAAATTCAACTTCTGGCGTTGAATAATCATCAGAAAACAACTAAGAAGTATTTCTTTGTCGACATCCAGCGATTTTCGACTGTCTAGATTAATGCTTTATACTGACACCGGATGTCTTGGAAATATTTCTCTTGGGCATAGCCTCCAAAAAGATGGTCTTAGGGTCTACCAGGTATTTTAAAGATATTTTTCTTAGGTTAAATTTGCGAAGTGATGTTTTTAAACTTCACTAGGTGACTTAGAAACATTTTACAAGTTTAAGTCAAGAGAAATTTATCCGAATCAATCTATCTCAAAATAAAAGTATTTTTTAAGACTTAGTAAAGAAATATATAAATTTAAAACCCATTTTTTTCAAACATATTTACTGATAAAAAATGAATGAAATGAATAGCTTTTGATTTGAGAATATTTTTGAATGTTTGAGCATATGTTATATGTGATAAAATAGCTAAAGAATGAATATTTGTACTAAGCGACGATCAAAGAAGGAATTCCGAAGGTAAAGTAAACATTGAAAACCGTGGATTCAGTTTAAAATTTTAATCACTATATAGAGTCCAAACATCCATTCAAATTCTGTTCTCACAGTTGACATGGTTGAATTGATCCATTATTACTGACTATTCTAAATAAAAACTGTGATGAATTATATGAAATTTCACAGTTTAGTAAAAATTTATGAATTCTGTATTTACATGTAAATTGAAAGCTCCACATCTCACCTGAATAGTTGAATATCAAATACTATTTAAAAGAAAAGAATAATGAAAGCCTATTACTTGAGGTGGTAAAATAATTTGTTAGAGTAGGATTTTCAATTATAAGATAATTGAATTCAGTCATAAGTTCTAAGATTGACTTTATAATAGAGACATGGGGAAACTGGTATTTCTATCTAATGTTGTATATTCAGACTTGATCTGAATCAAGCTTAGAACAGCTATAATCAACTTTTCTGAATTATTCGCTATGAGTTTATTGTCAATTGATTCGTTTAACACAAATTATGCATAAATAATTTAGTTTCAATACCGTTAGAAAGGTTATTATTTTGCTTTAAGTAAAATTTAATTATGAAAGATTTTATTTTTAATTATCATTTTATGTTTATAACATTTATTTTGTAAACATTTCTTTTTTAATTTCAGAAACTCCAGGCTTCCCTTCATTAGGAAGTTGAAAATTTCCATTTCCGCAATTAAAATTTTTTTTCAAACAAACAGGACTAATTTTAGGATTGTTTTATATTTTAAAAATAAAATGATGATCTTAGCTTCAAAAAGAAGCAAGTAAGAAGAAAAATAATCGAACATTTAGTTCACCCTATTGATACTTTCCATGTACGATGTCACGTCAGATTGAAGAATGTAAAATCAGAAAACCAGAAGGCGTAAAGCTACTTGATATCACAACAGTGATAACCTTTAAATCTACCATTATCACTGGATTCACGAAAATGGCGATATATATTTTTTGAAAAGATCACTTTCCTTGAGAAATATCAGTATCAAGATATATTCATCTAGACGTATTATATCCCAATAAATCTAGCTTTCTCTTCAGTGATGTGATTTAAAAAGTGAAGTACTTGAGAAATTGATCGTATTATTGTGATCTCACTAACACCATCGATTATACTTTGAAGTTGAAATATATTTCAAGTGAGACTTTACAACTGTTAATCGAAAATGTAGCATCTTTTAAATGAAGATAAGAGCTTTTAATTGAAATCTCAATGACTGAAGTTACAGAGTCAATCTAATTTTGCAGTTAGTTTGATAGAGTAAACTTTACTTGATAAATATCGACTACTATCAAGTTCGTATCTGTTCATGTTACTTTATTTTTATGTTTCAGCCGGAAAATTGCATCACCGCGTATGAGCCACATGCTTATTGTGTCGTTTACTCTACAACAGATCGAGCATCTGCACGTGTGGCAGAAAATGTTCTTCAGACACTTTGGCGAAGTGATCTCGTCTCTACACGAGCAGTTATTCTAGTTGGAAATAAAGCTGATCTTGCAAGAAGTCGCACTGTACGAACAGAAGGTACGTTTATTCACCAATTTGACGTCGATTACATCAAATGATTTTTATCGATTTTTTCCTTTTTTTTTTTTTTTATTTTTCAACTTGGAAATTTATGCTTCTTCTTGAAGGGAGGAAAAAAAGCTATGCTATTTCCAAAATGACTCTTTTACTTTTATTGAATTCTCCCCTGGAGGCAATTGAAGGAAACAGTAGAAAACTGCCGACAATTATCTTAAGAAACTTGAATATTAAACTGTGATAAGGGTGGAATTAAAACAGAGTAGGAATAAATGAAAATGGAGTTATAATTAAAAAAAAAAAAAGGAAGAAATAGAAAAAAGGTCGATCAGGAGATTCAGAAGTCTTCATTCAGCAGTTTTACTTCTTTAATTCTGATTTATTATGAAAGATTTATATTTAAATTTAAATAATTCTTTCATTTATTTGATTTATTTTTTAATTACTTAAATTCATTCTTTTTTATTAACAATAAAAGCAAACTGTGTCTCTTTTATGACTGAAGATGAATCATTTTAAGAAAGATATATAAACTCTGCAGCAAATATTCGTGATATACTTGGGTTTGGATTAAACTTTATGTAAAGTTTGTAGATCTTTGAATCCTTAGATGCTCAGTCCACTGCTTTAAATTGAACCTCATGAAGAACTTGAGTTCAGTTACGAGTTCTGATTGTTGTTTACACTTTTCCAGTTCAGTTATTTCTAAACTGAACACATATTGTGACAGTTTATTATTTTGTGTGTTTTTAATTAAATAAAAGTTCATTATGTGTTAATTATTGGCAATAAAAAACATTGATATTGAAATAAATTCAATGATAGTTAAAAATATATGTAGATAATTAAAAAAACCATTGGAAAAGTTCAATTTGCTATGTAAAGATTCTTCCATTGATAACGTCCGTGGATGAAATGATCAAACAACGGAAATGATAAAGCAAAAAATTTTTAAACTTGACAACGCTATTAACTGACAATGTTAAAAAAAACTTTGCATGTTTTTGTTTTTTTCTATTTTACAAATCAATGTGATTGCATGAAGTTAAATTGACTGAATACACTTTTATTCTTTTTCCAATGGCCTTATGAAAAGCGATTATGTATGGAATATTTTTTAAAATGTGAATCTAAACGCACTTTGTACTTTGACGACGAACTTCGTATTTATTGGAAATATTTATTTAATATTTTCCAAAAATAAAAATTTTTAGAAATTAATTTTCCTTTAATAATTAAACTTTATTCACGAAAAAAGTCTTAAACTTACATAATAAAATATTCATAATATTGCAAAAAAGTTTTTACCAAAATTTGATTGGCATTTGCAGAGGGCCAATCCATGGCTGGTTCATATGATTGCAAGTTTATTGAAACATCTGTGGGAATAAACCACAACGTAGATGAACTTCTTGTGGGTTTGCTGACGCAAATACGTCTGAAGCTGGAAAACCCTGAAAGGACACGCGATCTTTTCCGTAAGAGGTCGAGGAAAAACCGCAGCCGATCACCACTTGGTTCATTTTCGGAAAATAATTCACCTAAGAAATACCGTGGTAGTCGCACAAGTGCAAGTCTCAAAGTGCGAAATTTATTGGGTAAAGTTTGGGCAAGAGATAGTAAATCTAAAAGTTGCGAAAATCTTCATGTTCTATAAAAATTCATTTGAATGTTACCGATTGCGTGTGTCTTGGAACCTAAGCATTCATTATGACCAAAATAAATTTTATTTTCATTTTTTCTTTATACCAAAGACTGAATTTAATTAATGGTGATGAAAAAAAAAAGAATAATAACCATTTTTACCTACTATAACTCCTCTTAATGTTATTGATTTTAATCTTATTATTCCTGTTAAAAATTTTCAAGTCCACAATAGATTTGTGGAAACTTTGTCCCATAGTCTATTCAAAGTCTGTATTATGTAACAATTGTGAACTTCAAAGGAACTTTGTAAAGTAGTTAGTTAAATTTTTGATCAAATTAATCTGTGATGAATACACTACTTTAAATAGCAAAAATGCTCAAATGTGATTAAACGATGTATAGAACTGGTAGTGGAGAAAATCATCTAAAATACAGAATAATGATTGTAGATATATCAACATAACATCAAGACCACTCCAACACAAAAGTACACAATACAATGAGTTATTCTTGCAGTATGCCATATTCAACATAAAATACACTATTCAACAACTTGATGAAAATAATTAGTTATCAAACACCAGACTTACTTGTCAAACACAAAATTCTACCACGATTTTCAGCAAATGATATATGTGGTTAAATGGTGATGATCTCAGAGGTTTTTACTTGGATAACTAGAATTTATGTATCACAGGATTGAGATGATCATTTGGAATTGAATCTCAACAAGAATAGAGCATAAATTTTTTTTCTAATTCAATAGTTCAAACTGGTAAATAAATTTAAATTATTATTATATTAAAAATGAAATGGTCAAGAAAGAGTGATAAATAAGTTGGTTGAAGTTGATAACTTTTTGATAAGACAGACTTTTGATTTGGTGACCAAGTCTCCATGAATCAATGATAGACATGAAATATTTTCTACAGGTTGCTATTGATAGTTTTTAAATTTAGGAGTCGAAAGCATAAAAAATCAGTCATGTATTTTTTCTACTTTTAACATATAATTAAATTGATGAAATCATAAGTATAGGTTTTATTTATAAAATAAACATTGATGCATTTGATTTTAATTTTTTAAACAAACAACACATGTTCTTGTTTTAATAGATCATTTATTAGTAATAAATGGATCAAGCTTGTCGAATAAAATAAATGCTTTTTCATTGAATAATAAATTTTGCTAATTGTATTATTAACAGCTGTTACCTTAAAAAAGGAGCTGCAATGTGAATTGTGGAGAATTCGATAGATTGTGTGTAAAATGATAGAAAAAATACTTTATTATTAACAAAACATCTTCTCTAAAGAGAACCCGGTAAAGCTTTTAATAGTCCAATCAATCTTCAATCTCCTATTGTATGCAGTGGCATGGCCTAAATCTAGAAAGATTGAAGCCAAGGTTTCTTATATGTTGATAAATAAACATATATCATACACTCTAACTAGAAGTATAGAATTGAAAGATCTATTTTCTGATTCAATAAGAATCAGGAGATGTATTTATTTATTTTAAACTTGAAAAGATGGTGAATTTTCGATGGCATTTAGATTACATTGAATCTCAAGATTGGAAAAAATATAAATTGTGAAGATGAGTTAATTTTTAATTATTTGAACAATTTACTTCACTTGTTATAACTTTGTATTGAAAAGTTAAATAAGTGAGAATTAGATACAACTTTTTTTATAGAAAACTTGATGCTAAACAAAAGTTTAAGAATGTTGAAGTCAACTAACAAATAAATGAACAACTTTTAATGAATTGACAACTTTTTTCGTCAATTGACATTAAAGAGTATCAGTTCAATAAATCCTGGAACTTAGGGGAAGGTGGGGTAAAACGGGGACTTCAAGGTATTCCATAAATAAAACCCTTAATTTTGAATTTCACAATGTTGGAAGTTTTATTGAAAAAATAATCAGTCATTCTTTTTTTAAATTCTAATGAGTCAGAATAAAAAAATATAATTATTCTTATGTAAATATCAACTTGAAAAAAATAACTAAAGTTCCCCATCTTGCCTCATTTTTAGGGCAAAACGGTGTACCTCTTTACCCCACCTTTACTTTTTCTACCACAAGTATTGTTTTAAACAATTAACTTAAATGATAATTGAGTGACAATGAACCATTCGTTGTCAATTTACTCAATATGTCTAGCTTTGATCCATATATATGGACGTTGATAAAATGGATTTAGAAGGTTATATTGCTGATATACAGCATCATAAGTTTCAAAATGTATGTGATATACATATTTTTTAATATTCATAGTGAAGTTATGATTGAGAATATGTGTTATTTATTTTTAAATGAAACACTTTCAATCAAAAAGTGATATGAGAGAATTGAAATTAAAAATTCAAACAAAATTGTAGAAAGAGTTATTAAAAATGAAAATGAATATTTTTTCCTCCGTCAAGATTCATTGTATATCAACATCACAATCTCACAATACATAGGACGTTTTGTACATTGATTGAACTATACGAAGAAAAAAAAATAAAGAAGAAAATGTGAAAAGGGGAATGTAAGAGAAAGTAAACGGAGGGAAATTATATTATTAAGTAACAAGAAATAGTTTTTGGTAAATTTTTAAGCCCCCAATCATTCCCAATACGCTTAAATTAAAAAGTGATCGATTTGACGTAATGTAATCAACACTTGACAACAAAATGATATTTAAAATGTATAAAATATCGTATACAATACGTGTGTATGGAAATTATAATTATAAATTAAAATATATTATAGTAAATCCTCATGTAGACAAAAAATTTATAATGTAGTTTCATCAATTGTGTGTATATGAATTTATATAATTTTTTACTTCACAATTTTGTACATCTTACGGAAAAAAAAAAAAACAAAATAGAACATGAGCTGCATCGTCGGATCACAATGATAATGGACCGAAAAATTTGGAATACAAATAATCATATTGAATAACGATTGTATTTTAAATGTTACAAAAAAAAAAAAAAATTGATTAATTAAATTTTAATAACTAAATGTATTGAAATAATTATCGAAAATTTAACATCTAAGGTCCATGCGAAAATCATTTCTGCAGATAAAAATATTTCTCAATAAAAAGAGTCTTTTTTTGAGTAAGTGCAATAAGCAATGTATATTTGATGTCATTTGTATAGAATTCGTTGCTATTTGTGTAATAAATTTATTGAACCCTTGAATCTTATATATGTGATGTAAGGACGGATTATCAAGTGTCATTATCCCGAAATTATTATTACAATACTGAAAGACTTCAATTAACAACGTAAAAATTTATAATAAAACATCTAAATGTACAGTTTTTTCTGTGTTGTGGGATAAGGAAAAAATTTTAATATCCAATTTTGGAATTAAGAAAAATTGAACAAAACCAGACATTTGCATTTTTTAATTGTCTTATTTTTTTAAATTTAAATAAATTTTATTTTTTATCTACAACAGTTTTGATGTAGTCCAGTCGTGGTGCAATTAAAAATGGAGTTAATAAAAAATCTCATTACATCATTCGAAACAGGGCATTTTCCTATCAATCAACTTACATGCGCACAAACTATCAATTTGAATTATGCGCATTCCCGCTAATTGATTGGTACACTGTAATACCGAAAAACTTACCGATGATGTTTGAGATCAAATATCTCAAAAACTAAATCGAAATTTGAAAAAATAAAGCAACCAAAATTTTTCTTAGAGTTCAAAGAATAAATTAGTTCCTATGAAGTATATTCGAATTTTGCGTCCCTGAGAAGATATAAAATAAAATATACGGCTTCGAGCCAGCAAAAGTTTATTTTTCGGAAAAAACTCTCTGACGCAGACACTTTTTTTGCTTGCGAATGATGTTTTTAAAATCAGTACACTTTTTTACATAAAAAATACTCTGATTTAAATGGTGTATTGAAATTTGCGATTAAAATTGCGCCAGGAATGGACTAATATTAGAATTTTTATTAACAATTCTAAAGAGTGGGAATTAATTAATTACAATTTTTCCACAAATGTAATATTTCATTAAAACTCATGAATTGATTTAATATTGATAAAAAAATTTTAAAATTGAACATAAACATTTTAAAATGACATAAACTGATTTGTCAATAATTCTTTTATTCCTAAAAATAAAAATTTTAAGTAGAAAAGTCTGGCTTGGTTCAGACATGCATCAGTAATATTTTTTATTAATGTACTTATTAAAAATGTCAATAAGCATTCAGTTGATTGAAATATTCTTTTCTCAGTAAGAGACCTAAGTAATGTCGATAACCCACACAATTCAACCCACATAATCTCATTAATTCAATGAATTTTTATTATCATAATCATTATTAGAAGAGTTTGAATACCATACTTTTGCTTATTGATTGGTAAGAAGAATTTATTTGATGGTATATACGATAATTAGGATAATATAAATGTCAACTTTTTATATAAATTTACTTAAATAATTTTTTAGTATTTATATTCTTATATTTAGTAGATAAAGCTTATTTATTTTACTAATTTTATAATCAGTTAACGTATAGCGATAAATACGATTTATTAAAAAGTATATAATAATGATACAATAATAATCAAAACGTTCATGAATGTTATATTATTTGGAAATACTTTCAACAATGAAATAAGAGGCATCAATCAACATGCAGCATTTATCATGATATCAGAATAACATCATTTACAAATTAATTTTTTTTTATATTTTGGGATGATTATTTCAAAAAGTTAAATAATTGAGTGTTTATATTGACAGTATTTGAGTTTATAAAGTTTAATGAATAAATTGATTTAAATTATGTAAAAAAAAAAAAAAGGGAAGTAAGATATGAGAGGAAAACTACAGTTTATGTAGAAGAGAATCAGAGGATGTCAAAAACGGGAAATCAAACAGAGATTCTACTGTAAAATAATCGGTAATTGTCTAGTATTGATACCTCCTTTAATCGTTTAAATAAAAAAATTGAAATTTTATTTTAAACACAAAATATTTTGCTGGAAATTACTCGGTATTTGGATGTCTTTAATAGCAAGAATGTCGCGAATTAAGAGGGTTATTTATAAAGATATTCAGAGAATGACTGTTATAAGATACTTTGAAAAGCAAGTTTTTTACGGGAAACACTTCAAATTTTTAAATACTCCTTAAGGTATTTTGATTGAGATTAATTTTTTCTTAAGATTTTTTTTACTCCATTAGAATAAAAGATTATTATAAAAAAAAACGTTAGTTTTAATAAAAAAAAGCATTAATATATTTTATTGAAGACAAATTAATTTTATTAATTCATTATTTAATCATTTTATTGATAATTAATGTATTATAATTTTTAACATCAACATATAAATCTTTTTAAGAAATTGGTAATTTTTCTTTTGGATTTATGATTTGTTTTTTAAACAAAATTGTTTAAAATATTAAACTCAAAATAGAACAGATGACTGAACACATGACAAATTTCAACTGTTTATTTTTGAAATAAGATAATTCTTTTATCTTGATGAAAGTTAACTTAAAATTGAGTAAGAAAGGGTATTTGAAACAAAATACAGAAGAAGGACGAAAATCTTCTTCATCTGCCATAACCAGTACTGTTCTTGGTACAAAGAAAATAATATAGCAGACAACTGTTCAAACAATAAGAGCATCCACCCGTAAAGTAAAGATTCTGATTTCGATTGCTAGTCACAAACATCTTTTTTAAGGTTGATTAAAATTTTCATTCACGCCATCAGCAAGATGATGGAAGGGTAAATATTATATTGAAATAATGGAGGTTTTCATTTAGACATTTACCAAATATTCCATTTCGACAGTAAGTAAAATAATAACTTCCTATTCGATAAAATTTATACTCTCATTGTAACATAAGTATTCATATATAAATATTATTTCCATATTCATAGACATAATAAATAATATTTTTCAGGGAAAAAAAAACTTTTTTACATTTATGCATATTCAATAAAATTTCATTTGCTTATCGAATTCATTTTAAAATGATGTTTTAAATGAATGCAAAAATGGAGATAACACTCTAATACACATCAACAGATTGAAATATGTTAGCTTCGCATGTGTATTTTATTTATTTCATATTTTCTAGCTTCACTTCTGATAATAATGATGATATTGTGAGAAATAATAGCCATAAATTACTGCAGCATAGAAATAAAAAGAAAATTAAATGGAAAGTGATTTTATGTAAAGAAAAAAGTAACACACTAGTGTCATAAACATGACGCAGTGTATTAAAAAGTAATTTAAGGTATACAAGAAGCATTGATGACCAATATTAAATGAATTTCAGTCGCTAGTAGAGACTATCAATTTTAAATATAATCAACAATTAATATCTAGTTCTTAAGCACAGGTGTGTCATGGTGGAACAATTGAATATATCAAATAATTTAAAAAGAAATATATATATATAAAATAAATATATATAAATATATATTGTCCGTAAGGAAATGGTGAGTGGATCAAGTAGATAATATAAGTTTCAATGATCGACATGAGACACGATTGTTCAGCAATTGGTGGTCGATCATTTTCCAAAACCCTTTTCCATTTAAAAATAAGAGTAGAGTTCCAATTGGAAGATATATCTGAAGATAAATTAATTGTGCAGGGTTACACTTTGATAGTGAATGATTTGATTTAAGCCAGGTATGATTTAAAGCGAAATATATAGACTGATGAGTTAGCTTAACTGGTCTAGCAGCCAGCGCGTAACTGGAAGGTCCAGGTTCGAGTCCTGGTCTTGACAGAAAATATTTTTCGCTGAAAATCTTCCTGGGCTAGTTGTATATGTGTTAAAAAATTGGAAAAGTAGAGGTGTCTTCCAATTGAAACTTTATTCAAAAATAATTCTAAATATGACCTCTTTCATCTTGATTAAATGTTCTGACGTAAACCAATAGCCTCAACTTTCTAGTTACACATTCTCCTAATGATTTGTATCGACATAAGCATATACATTGATTTATTTCATTATAATAAATACTCAATTAAATAAAGACAAATATGTTTACTGTTATCGAATGATGGATTATTACCGAAAAATTATTTTATGATAGAAACTCACTGTTAACACCAAAACAATGAAAAATAATCAATCAATTGTTATCATTATTGTTTAATTCTGTGTAATTATTTACTATTCGAATGCATTTATCTTTATAACGCTAGATCTTTAATGATATATAGACGCATCTTAGGGTTTGAATTGATTTTAAACTCAAAGGATATATAAGTTGAGTGAGAAAGGTTATTATTGTTTCATTTATAATTACAAAATCAATAGAGGAAATATTGATTAGATTAAATGTTTAATGGAAATTATAAAGTTTTAAATAACATTGTTGTTCATGCCTTTTTGAGAATAATAAAAAAATTAAAAATACTTGTGATTGTTTTTTTTCCAACAATTCAAGTTGGTTTTATGAACATTGAATGAAACTACTACATGATTATTTACATAATAAAAGTACATTTAATAATTATGTAATAAAATTAATGATAATTATTATTATAATAATGATATAATGAAATCTCTCCAATTAAAAAAAAAAAAATGAAATTGATTTTTTGTAGTTTCGAGTATTATATGTTCAATATAAAATTCATCGTTTTGTAATAAATATGAAAATATTAAAAATATTGATAATTTTTATTCATTTATCCCTGAAGATAATTTATTTAATCTGCCTTTTATTTCCTTGTTATATTAATTAAAAACTCAATAATAAAATATTTATCATTCAAATTTGTAACTGAATTATATTTAAATTTATTTTTGTCAAAAAAAATATGTATATTTGAATCACATTCAATTGGTTTAGTAGTTTGAATAAATTGGTTGAAAAAATAAAATAAGTTCTACTAATATATTCCAAATATAGATTAAAGCGTGTAAATGATGATAATGATAAAATTGTAATGTAGGAAAAATCGTATTGATAAAAAAGTAATCTCAGTTATTGGTAAAAAAAAAATGAAATAATTAAAAAAGGTAAAGCTGTAATTTACAATTACACTCTGAAGCAATAGCACTAGAGTACAATAGTCAAATTACATATACTGCAAATTTTATAATTGTATTAGCACGTAATATCTACCAAAACAAACAACGAAAAATAAAAAGTTTTAATTATTTTTCGCTCTTTTAATTCTTTATTACAAATATGAAACTTTACTAAATACCCAACTTCATCTAACAATTGGCCTAAATCCAATGAATATCTCGATCTCATTAAACTTAACATGAAACAAATTCTAATGAGTTTTCGACGGTCACGTAAATGTAACTCGGCAAAAATATATTCACGAATTAAACTGTATAAAGATATAAAAACTATCTACCTTTGCGTGTGAATAAATATGTGGCTTAATTTATTTTAGCTTTTTTTTTTGTTAAAAATAAACACTCTCACTTCTATTCATAGTTGATTGTATTTAATAGCTTTTTATTAAAGAATTGGTGAGTTTTACTTTTCTCATAAAATTTCAATCATTTTCTAATTTCCAATTAATCAATAGAAAAACCATCACAAGTTAAAAATTCAATTATAAGCCCGAATAAATTGAATTTTATATCCCCTAAGGCTACTAGTCGATGGAGTTTTTTTAAATTCATAAGACATTGCTAATTATTTTTGTCATAAAATTTTGAATAAAAATTATCATTTTCTTAATGCATTTGTTCTTTCATTCAAACCAACTTGATTAGCAATTAAGTGAACGATACTAACTAATATAATGTAAGTAGTCTACCAATAAGCTTTAGGGCATAAAATGAGCTATCATGTACAAAAATTCATTTCTCTTCTCAATGATTAGTTGTATAATTTTTCATCACATTTTTCATGTAATTTAAATGAATCAAACATTAGAAGATTACTGTTATCAGAATTCAATCAGAGGAATAATAAAAAATCTATTAAGAACATCATAGCAACTGATATTGAGGAAAGTGGACCTTGAAATCAAAAAGTCTAGAGCAAAGCTCATGTCAAACTGGAAGTTTTAGACAAAAAAGGCACTTGAAAATTATATTCTTGGGTCAAATGTGCCTTCCTGGACTTAACAAAAACCTTCTAATCCAGTCAATGTGTATTTTTAATAAGAAATTTCATGGCAAAACTCTCAAGACCAAGCTGATTTTATGGAGAAAAATGGGCTAAATCAAATTAGCCGATTTCCTGGCAAAAAATTCAGCGGCGTCATATGTTTTTTTTTCAGGACATCTGGAGATGGCACTCAGTCTTAAGAGATACTGGTCTTTATTGTTCAAGTAGTAAATAAATTGACATGTTGTCTCTATATTTTTGCTATTGTTTAAGATTCACGTAAGTAAAAAAAAGCTCTAGAATAATTGAAAATATATTAATATGAAAAATAATACTTATTTTATGTTTAATATTAGATTGTGATTACATCAATGCTACTCATTAACACATTGCTCTGGAAGCTCTTTGGTGAGACGTTTATTAATATTCATGGATCCACTTTCATCAGAATATCCTACATGACACTAATATCACACAAAGTAGGGAATGCGTTTGCTAATATTCAATCAGATTGAGTCTAATATACGTTAACACAATTATGCATGTAATGGTATCGCTCGTATATAATTAATAGTATCTATTCTGTCAAAGATAAGATTCATGAGTTAAATATAAAATTAAAAATGAAATATAAATTCAATTTATGCTGACGAAATTAACTTAAAAATTTTAAAAAGGCTTCAACATGAAAAGTTTGAAATTCCATTTCAGTTATAATATATACTTTAAGAGATTAATTAAACTGAAATTAAAGCTAAAAATTACTTTTTTGACATTCGTTTTAATTTCTATTAGTGTCTATATTTTTTACTTTTTTTTAAGTTTTATTACATCTATACGTTAATGTATTCTTAGTACATATTCAATTACTCTCACACTTGGTATGTATCGATTATAATTAAATATAAGTCAGTATGTTAAAGTAACTTAACATAACTTTAACACCTTATCTATTAAACTGTTAAATTAGTGTCAGAGGAAGTTACTTGATTTAAACCAATGCTTGAGTTCTACTAGTGTTAATTTTATTACAACCAGAGTAATAGAGATGAAAATAAATTAATGATGTAAATTAAAACGACTATTGTCATTGAAAATAAATTAAAATAAAAAATATTATTGATAAAAATTCAAAGTTCTAAAATAATCTGATATAATTGGTATTCTGAATCTTAATAAAATTTTATTTCTAAAAAGCATCTATCTAAAACACTAGAATCCATGCATGCTTGCTGACTTGTAATTAAGTAAAAAATTTATGAGTTGAAGAGGATAGGAAATCAATACTTTTAAGCTTTTCTAGGATGATTTCATGTGGAAAATCCAGAACGCTTGGTTAGAAATTTATCTCTTCTATTTTTATACAACTTTTTCATGCTTGTAATGCCTACTATATGAAATCGTTACAGTAACTATAAAGTTTTTACGAAAGTACGATGATGATTCGAACAGCAATCAAATACATAGCACATCTATTCTTTTGTTTTATTCCTTCTATGAGGTGAAATGATATTTTTCTCAATCTTATTGACAGTAAAAACCTATTAAACTGAACCAATCTATCTAAAATTTCAAAAAAAAATATAATATAAATATAATTATAAAAAACTACCTAGTATTGTTATATTTCATTTTATATAATTAATTAAATCGTATATTTTTTGAAGTAATAACTTCTTGAAAGTGTTCGATTAAAGGAGGTTTTATTGGATATGACTTCTAGGGTCAACATTATCTTAAAAATTTTTGATATTGTGTTATTTATATCAAATAATCTAAAAATGATAATTAGATAAAATTTGACATTCTTTAAGTAGAATTATTTATTCTCTATAATTTATTTGAGATAATTCAACAAAATAGTTATCTGATAATAATTACAATCATTTATCTCGTATCAGTACGTAGCTAGCGGTTGATAAACTAGAATATCAATCTGGAATTATAAATAATATTTTTATTGTTTTTTACTTACATAATTATTGGATTTATTTATACACACCACAGAGATTTACTAATCTGGCATATTCAGTATATCTCGAAAAAATTCCGAATTTGATGGGGCCGATGTATAAAGGCTTCCTGTAATTTAAATACAATTAATGAACATTTCTGTGTATTCCGACACTTTCTAATAAAAAGTCATTGATGATACAAATAATTATTAGTGTTTCATTATCGTTTGAATTATGCTTTCCAGTTATTAATAAATTTATTAATAAAATAACAAATGATTATGAAAGATAATATATTTATTAACAGTATATTATAGTTACCTCTGAATTCATTATTTTTGGTGTCATGAGTTATTACTTTACATGAATTATTTTTCAATATTTTAAAACCTATGCATCTGAATCTTTCATCAGTTTTATACAGCATACTACTTTTGTTCGGGCTGAAGTATGGTTGACCACTGAAAGGATTTATAAAATCGGCCCAGTATCCAAACAATTTCAGCTTATTGCATAGATCAGATGCTGCAAGAAGAAACTATCAACAAATTTATGTAATTAATTGTTTAATAATCTTATAAAAATTTAATTAGAAAAATGTATTGTTATATACAAAACAAAATTATCATTCTATATATTTTAAATAAGTATAATGAAAAAGAACTATAGCATGAATAATACTTAGTATATAAGTAGCTATTAATAAATATTTATATTGATGAACAATAACATAAACAATATAATGCATATGTAAACAAGTACATATATATTACATAAATCTCTATAAATAGTTGATGATATAAACAATATAATAAATTTGTCATTGATGAATACAGACAATACATTTTTTAAACAGTTAAATTCAATCAAAGTTTTTAGGAAACTTACGTATTTTGCTAGCTTCTCAGTTTCAATTTCTTTACTCCACCTTATTCTCGGATTAAGTTTTTGTGTGATGGTCACAATGGTCAACTGAGGTGACGAAGTCTCCATACAACCTGGAAATAGCTCTATGATACCCTTTCTGAGTAGTATAGGACATTCTTGAGCTATACATTGGAGAACAGGTTGATCAGGATCGATTCTTTTGTTCCTATAATTTTTACATCTACTGCTAATTTCTTCATCATCAGGTAGAATAATTGATTTCGTTTTCACATGAACTGTTGTTGATTGATCAAGCCAACCAGGTCCAATACTACCTGGTAGATAAAATCGGAAACCTTTGAGCCCAAATAACTCCCAATTTGGATTATTCCCAAATTCTCCATTATCAACATCTTCATTGATATTATTTGACTTAACTAATTTGAATGCTGATATATTTTTTGCGCTTTTTCTTGAATATTTGGCAGTACATATTGTATTGAAAGATTTTACGTAATTTCGTTGAAAAATTCTACTGTAATACATCTAAAAATAATAAAACTATATTAAAAATACGAAGAATAAATATAAAATTGATAGATACAAGTTCATTTAATTAATGTGCAAACTAAATTAAGCACATTGCACTACTATTATGAGACAAATTCCAATAAAACTGACATACTTATACCTTATACTACTTCACATGCTTAACCTTATTAGGTTTGTTAATAAAAAATGTTTATCCTCCAAAAAACTACTGTGTAAAAATAAAAGATAAATTATCTAATGTCATTTGACTACTGTTATCTCTCTCATATGTTTATATATTCCACGTGTAAGAATGCACAAGATTGCAACAGCATTTGACAAAATTATTCGCCAATTGTGGTTTCACGATTCGTCCACATTACCTCCCACTTTTTTATTACACTAGTGACATTGTGTAGTCTTTTTCAAACACCACTGCTCTGAAAATTGGAGCAGGAACAAGTAAGTCGATATATTCGGACGCATACGAAAATCATTACCGCGGTCGGTAATTGCTCTTATGATATACGGAAGGCACTAATGAAACCGAGTGCTTCTATCTAAATTATTCTTTTATCCACGTATAAATTCGCCGAATTTATTTCATGAATTTTAATGAATTGTAACATGAAAAAATAATGAATGTAAGTGTTGTTACGTTAAGAAAAGTTGTAGATTTTATATAACTAACAACCAAATGTATTTTTACAGAAATTTTGATTAGAATCATTTGATCAAATAACATAAATCTTCAAAATATGTCTCTTGTTAGACGAGCACAGGTTAGTAAAATATTTCATATTTTATTTTATAATATTTTGAAAACAAAAAATGCTAATAATTCTTTTTGATCTTAGCAATGGGGTACTCTATCAAGTATTTGGCATCTTTATGACATGAAATGGCAAGATCCTTTTTTGAGTGCTCCTTTACTAGTTAAATACCTGAAAGGACTTTATAAACCCATTTATCATCCAATGAGTGAGTGAATAAATATATTATAATAAACATCTAATTCTATCTAATTATTTATTTTAAACTCATTATCAGATCGATGTGGAGATCATGTAGTAGTAATTAACAGCAAACACATTGCCTTACGAGGAGATGACTGGACTAAAAGAGTTTACTTCCATCATACAACTTACCATGGTGGTGCTACTTGGACCCTTGCTTGGGAGCTTCATAAAAAAAATAAAAAATTAATAGTAGAAAAAGCTGTTTATCATACAATGAAGGGTAATTTACAGCGTCGTGCTACAATGGCGCGTTTATTGATATTTGAAGATGACAATGTGCCGAAGTCCATTCTTGCAAATATCAGCAACCAAATAAAACCTTTAAGAGAAGTCCCAACAAATATCGATGATATTCCACAAGAAAAAATTGAAAATTTCCCAAGAGTCATCAAGTACCCAGAGGATCATATCCTGAGATAGACATTTATTAAATAAATTTTCATTTCATGAATGTACAATTTAGTTTCGTTGACAATTCAAATCAACAATACATGTGTAATTATTTAAATAAATCATTAAAAAATGTAAGTGAGCTATATCATTCTTTTTTTAATATGTATATGAAGAAAATATTTTTATCAACATTTGACCAGAGATGAATAATATCACTTTCGAATAGTTTTAGTAGAATCATTACTTATTTTATCATTATTTATTTGTGATAGTAAAATTGTTTATTAGTGAGTGCCACCAGTCTGCCATTAATTACAACTTGAGGTCCAGTATAATAACGCCATAGTAAACTACTGCCTCGTTTGAGTTGATTCATTGATGATAAGTGACTCCAGCAATCAGTCCAAGAAATATAAATTGGCATATTCGGAGGCATTCCAGCTTCCAATCCGCTATTATTTATTGCCATACAATTGTACACAACCAACAATGGATAGGTGAAGGTTGAGGCGAGAAACTAAAATTTTAAAAAACTCATCATAGAATCATTCATCAATATAATAAACCATAATATTTAATGTAAAACGTACTGTCATTATTGTTGAAGTATACTTCTTAGTCTCACGATCATGAATGATATATTTATTAATAAAATATGTTGAATAACTAACAAGAGCGAGTGTAGAAATATGAGATATCAATCTCGGTACTAGTCCTGCGTAGTATCCCATTATTCCATTTTCTTTGTAAACTTCAACGAAAGATTGAATGACACCACTATAAGACAGAAATGAAGTATCAATAGATAATTATACAGTAATAAAATTGATGATCACAGCGAAACAATAATTTTATAAGATCCCAATCAAGTACTTGTATTTAGTTTCGCGACCAACGAATTGTGCCATCATCCTGAGAGTCACCACATCTAGAGGGTGGCAAGCAACAATTCCAACTATCTTGGTAACTATTTCTTTGATCAATTCTCGTTGATAAGCAGCTTTTCTACATTGATAAACAAACAAAAAAAAAATTAAACTGATTAATTTGTTGATACGAATGTTGATTTTCGTTGAATGAATACATGAAAAATATTAGTATTACCTTTTTTCATCGGGAAGTTCTTCAATGTCCTCATTATCACTATGGACTTGTGGATATATCTCAGTAAATAGAACAGATTCTGAGACTTTTTCCATCGCAACAGCACTTAAAGTATAAGAACACAGCTTTGGTACGAAACCACGATAACATCCAGTAAATCCATCAACGGTTTTTATATGTTTTACTAGACAGAAAAATTAACAATGATTACTCAAATATTTTTAGTATTTTTATGAAATTATATTAGTAAATATAATTGAGGTGTTAATCGTATTAAATTGAAAAAATAAATAAGACTTACCATATTGGAATATATTTGGTAAAGCTAGAGCTGGTTTACCAAATAAAGTTCTAGTTTCTCGTGGTAATATTGGCTCATGACCAATTTGAATTAAAACTCTAGCATATTCAATAGGATGTGAAATAGTATTAATTAGTATTCGTGTAACAATCCCTGACCATAATCTTTCTTCTAGAGGTTCTCTTGATAGTGACATGATTTATTTTGTTTGGTCCCTTTGACCTAATAATTGTTATATCTATTTACTATTTAAAAATTAAAGTATATATCATGAATAATTTTTTTATTACTTAAAGATAACCAAGTTATTTTTTATCAAGACTAATATAATGATAAATGTAAGTTTCAAGTTTTAAGGCTATCTAGGACTACCGCAACTTTAAACAATCAAACCTCAAGATTGCTATATAGATTGATTTACCAGCTAGGTTTACTGACAAATTTTTTGAAATTCACGTGTGTTTATCTGACTCACGTATTAATTAATCAAAAAATGGCGGAATTTTTAAATTGGAATACTTTTTTGGAGCTCAATGCCAATATGCAGTCGTTTCACGAACATTGTTACATTCAGAGTGAAAAATAATATATTTAGGTCAGATATTTTCTTTAAAAAAACAACAAAAAAAATTTTCTCTAAGCTTATTCAACCTTATGAACACTTTTGGCAGGATGTTGTTTTTTAAAATAAATATTAAAAAGACCAATGAATACAGTGAATTTATTTTTTTTTCAATAAATCTCCATAGAAAAGTACGAAGAGAAACAATACGACGAAAGCTCGAAAGCACTTCGCTTTGCTAATGTGATTGGTCGGCAAAAAAACGAGTATCCAATAGTGGTTAGTGCTTTCTTCGTGGTTTGTATAACAAGATATCCGACGTAAAAACATTTTTTATTAAATTTGTATATATTTATTAGTCAAATATCCTTATTAATTAGATTTTTTTTAATTGTTAATTATATATTAATTATAAAATAAATAGTGATCTGAATTGTAGATTATTAATAATAGTTTTACATAATTTTTATTCAATACATTGACAGAAAGAGGATGTAGCAATATGGAAGCAATAGAAATATATTCCGTAAATAAATTTATACGTTGATAATTGTGATTTAAACAATCTGTTTTTATATTAATTACAAATTTAAAAAGAAAAATAACTACAAGGATATTTATTATAAATTATCATTTTCGGTTCATTTCCGTTGTTATCGACGTAAATGTGTTTGATGCAAAGCTTCCTTAGCCACCGCAGTTAGTAATGGCGTTAAATCGCCATCGACGAAAATTGAAAGTATAGCCCAGCCTTAGTGTTCAACTCGATTGAATTGATAGTGTGTGGAAGTGGTAAAAGATCGGTTCGTGAGACGACTGTTGGAGACACAAAGCAATAAAAAAAAGTAGAAATAGCCATTGGAATATTGATAAAACTAAATACTTAAGTTTCTGAAAGTGATATTATTTGGTGTGATAGTTGAGTTTTGAGTGCCAACAGCTAGACGATCGAAAAAGCATCTTGAATCTCGACGGGAGAGCACTCTCGGGGCTCGCGGGGAAGGAAAGGCACTGTAATGGCCGCCGTGTCATGAAATGAAGGTACCTAGCCAGTGTTGCGGTTCCATAATGGAGGAAAACTCCAGTTCAGTTTCTCAAAATCATAATGGACCACTCCCAGCTGGTGCTAACGTGTCTGCTACTAATGAAAAGCACCAAAACAGTGACAATGCAAGTGGTAACGGCACCAAGGATCAAAGACCACAATACTCAATGCCTGGCATCCTCCACTTCATTCAGCATGAGTGGGCTCGCTTTGAGCTTGACAGATCTCAATGGGAGTTAGATAGAGCAGAGTTTCAGGTGATTATTCTGTAACTAATTGGCATTTGAGTTGAATATTGACTTATTTTTACACTCCAATTAATTTTTAATCATTTAGTTATTTATTTGTTGTTTTTCTTGTCTCAACACAATTATGAGCTTCGCTCGATTGTCACAGTTTTAAACATTAATTATTGATTTGACCAAATGATTATGTTTTAAACTGTCTTCAAAAATGAAATTTATTTTCAGTTATGATTTATACTTTTTTTTTTAATTTTGCATTGTATTTTCATCTGAAAATTATTGTTTTATTCCTATTATAAATACTTTTATCGATGGCATTTTACCTTGACATTCATCTTCTTCAGTATACTACAGTATAGAGTGAGCTTTTTGAGTATTATAACATGTATATAGATGTACATCGATACATATTCACGAAGACCCGTCGATTAGTTTGTTTTTTATCCTAATTATCTATCTCACAATCTAAGAAAAATTATAAACTATTTCTATTAAGTTTAAATGGTAAAATGAATCACGTGAAACATAGATAGTGATAAGACCGGTATTTAAAACTTTTATCAATCTTTAAATATCCTTCAATCGTATTTTAACAACTATTTTTGTTTAGAATTGTAATTAAATAAATTTTCAAACAAGTGTCATTTCTTTCAATTATAATGATTATTACTAATTAGTGTTCTTTTTTTAGGCACGGATAGCGTTTTTACAAGGTGAACGGAAAGCTCAAGAAAATTTGAAAAATGATCTTGTGAGAAGGATAAAAATGTTGGAATATGCGTTAAAACAAGAAAGGTAAACACATGAAGTTTCTTACATAATAATGAGTGTGAGCTGTCATATCATTTATAAATGATGTACGATGTTTATTGAATTTGTGTCTTGAGATAATGCTTAATGTAAAACAATGTTCCATCGTACATTCGAAGTAACAATAGTTGTTAAATAGAATTTTTGAAAGTCAATTTAGAACTTGAAGTTTACAAACTTCAGTTTTTTTTTATCAGTGAGTGAATAGTATAACGATTATTTTTCCAAACATTATACTAAAGGTTGAAATTCTGTTTCGATTAAATAGAGCAAAATATCATGTATTAAAATATGGAACGGATATTGGAAGAGACATGGAGGGTGATGAAAAACCTCTTCTTTATGAAGAAACAACCACAGGTGGAGGAACAGAAGGAGGTGGAGGTGATGAAGAGGCAATATTTTCATCTGTCAGCGATATTTCCTGGAAGCAAGGACGTCAACTTTTAAGAGAGTAAGATTACTGTAATTAATTAGTTACTTTCCATGTTTTTATGAAAGTAAATTCGATGATCAATATTTTTTTTTTTTGAGTTTTATTGCCAATTTAATATTAAATACATAATTATATATTTTTCTTATTTTTTTCAGATATCTGCAAGAAATTGGTTATACCGATACAATTATTGATGTTCGGTCAAACAAGGTACGATCTCTTCTTGGGCTCAATAACAACACAGAATCTGATGATATCCATACACCAGCGGTCAATGGTACTGAATGGTCATCAAAGCATGGCCGTTGCTGTAGGCGAAAAACTCGAGATGATAAAAAAACAAAAGTAAATAAACTTCGTAGATTTTATTTTCTTTTCTTTCTTTTTTTCACGATCACTGTTCAACAAATGTCATCTAAATTCTCAATAGTTATGTCAAGAAGTAGGTACAGTATGGAAGCAACAAAATCATTTTATAAATATTAAATCTAACGTAAATAAAGTGATAAGTCCTGTTGACTAATATAATAATTATATGATAAATAATTTTTCAATATTTCAGTATTAATCTGTTATTATTTTTTTTTAAAATCATACATTTAGTTGCTTATTTTAGTTCATTATCGGGGAAAAATGGATAACTGCTTTCATTGTTCTTCATATACACATGATTTTTCTCTTCGATAATTATTACTATATTATGATTTTAATTTGAAAATGATTTTAGCCAATTCGGATGGCAGATGCAATAATCTTCGATGCGGAAGCATCAGTAACGGCTAACTTTGAATTTCTTGCCAATGCTGATATTGATATGGAGGAAGAAGAAGGAGAGGCAGAAGATGACTTTTATGATAAAGATAATAATGAAGTTAAGCAGAATGAGGATTCAAGAATGATGGCAGAAGAAGTTGATGTAGAAGCTGAAGAAGTATTCAATGAGCTGAATCTTTTGACAGAAACTGAAGAATCTATTCCGAGCTCAATTATTCGAGTTAATCCGGAATCAGCAAACTGGAGTAAGATTATTGTTTCGTTTAATTATCATAATTCTCTTGTAAAATATTATATCTGAATGATTAAGGAGTAAATTTAATATTTTAGAAATTTTAAACCGTGAGATGGGAAGAGATGCTCAGCGTCCGACTGAAGAAGGTGATTCGGCACTGGGATTAGGAGAACTAGCATTATTAACAGTTAGTAATGATGCGGAGGTAGCGTATGATGTAAGTACATTCATTGTTTTACCCATTATTTATTTTTAGCTCCTAACTACTCTCTCAATATGTTTTATTATTTCAACTTATTAATATTAGAAAGTAACAATTTATTGTCGGAAAGCAAGTAATTTATTTTTTAAAATCTTCATTAATTTTAGATGACTTCAAAAACAAAAGAAACATTTAGAAAAACTTGGAATGCAAAATATACACTTCGCTCCCATTTCGATTGTGTTAGAGCTCTCGTCTTCCATCCAACAGATCCTGTTTTGATAACTGCTAGTGATGATCATACTCTCAAATTGTGGAATCTTCAAAAAACAGTACCAGCTAAAAAATCAGCATCATTGGATGTTGAACCTTTGTATACCTTTAGGTCACATACAGGTCCAGTTTTATGTCTGGCAATCTGTAGTACAGGCAGTCGATGTTATAGTGGAGGATTGGATAGTATGATACACTGTTGGTCTGTTCCTTCAGGAAACATAGATCCTTATGATACTTATGTACCAGAAGTTCTTTGTCAAACACTTAAAGGTCATACCGATGCTGTCTGGGGTTTGAGTATGTTTCATCCACGATCCCAATTGCTATCTGTCAGCGCCGATGGTACTGTTAAACTTTGGAATCCTCAAAGTAAAATTCCTCTTCTCAATACATATGTTTCCGAGCAAGGTACGTACCAATTAAATCTAATAAATTCAGTTTCCCTTTGTATTTAACTGAAGACTAGTAAATTAATTGTTAAGTTATTCAGAATATTACAATAAATATTATTTTATTTTCAGATGGCATTCCAACTTCTGTAGATTTTGTGAAAGATGAACCTCACAAAATAGTTGTAGCTTACGAAGAATCATGTTTAATATTTGATGCAGAAACCGGTTCAGTAGTATCACGACTTGAAGGCAATGGAACTAGAGGTGTAAATCAAGTTGTTGCTCATCCAATTCAACCATTAATCATAGCTGCTCATGAAGATCGACATATTAGATTTTATGATCATCGTTCAGCCTCGTTAGCACATGCAATGGTTGCGCATTTGGAAGCTGTTACTAGTCTTGCTGTCGATCCGTATGGGCTTTATTTGCTTTCAGGCAGTAAGTTTTCCTTTATTATTTTATTCACAAATAATATTCATATAATTAATGGTAGAATGTTGATTATCACTTCATCTCTTAGTTTCTTTAATCAACATCGGTGTTATTAATTATTGTATTATTTTTGTAAAACGTATAATTAACGAGAAAGTTTTTTTCTAGGTCATGATTGCAGTATAAGATTATGGAATATGGATAATAAGACTTGTGTACAAGAAATAACAGCACATCGTAAGAAATTTGATGAGAGTATTTTAGATGTAGCGTTCCATCCGTCGTTGCCGTTTATCGCTAGCGCTGGAGCTGACGGGCTTGCCAAGGTATTCGTGTGAGTGATAATAAAATATTTCAGATGTGACTCTTTGTTAGAAACGAATAACGTGAAGCGGTTTTTGTACTCATATTCTTTTTTAGATAGTTTTATTTGTATGTACTCTACCCTTCCGAATTTATTTGAATGTTTTATCAAAGTAACTTCATTGATAAATAGTTGAAATCATTGTAGCTAAGTATATCAAAGTAAAAAAAAAATTTCAGCATATTGAAATACTCATATAAATACATAAATACATGATTAATTATTTGATTAATATTTAAAAAAAAGGAAAACATAGAAAGAGAAATATAAAGAAAAATCTGAAAAATTTTAATATTGAAACGTAATCTGAACGATAAAATCATTTGAAGAACAAATAAACTGATTGTTAATATAATCGTCACTAAATAAACGTCTAATCAGTCGGTAGCGTGAAATAAATAAAAAGTTCCGACAAATAGAACGAAGAATGAAATAAATTGAATAGTGACAGACTTTTAATGTATTGGAGGTGAATTATATGTTGAAAGATACTAAGTAAATAACGTGGATCACTGATTTTTATTCTAATTTGAAATACAGAAAGCCACTGCCGCAGTAGCATAAATATGTTCATTTAAATTATTTATTATCATAATATCACAGTTACTGTTGCACTAGCTACTGAGGATTATTTGCAATAAAAAAAAAAGCATTAAATGATGAATAAAAAACAAAAATGCAGGTCAGTTGAATTTTTATTGACTAATTGTGAACGAAACAAGCAAGAAACAAATATAAAATATACAAAAATATTAGTCTCCCATTACACGACTTTCGTGCTGTCCCATAATATTAGCCAAGTTCAACGTACTAGTAATTCATAAAGATCAATAATGGATAGTAATAACCATTATTATAATTAATTAATATTAATGATAATGATAATTATACAAATAATGATAATAATAACAATAATAATATTAATAATAATGAAATAATTCCTAAGGTGATTATAAAAAATTTAGACATAAAATGAATAACAATAAATTATAATTGTGTGTTTCACTGTAATATATTGTATTTAAAAATAGAAAAAGACGTGTAACTTACTCATAATGCATACATTTCGTTGAAACGAGCTCTCTGTCTTGTTTTTTAGTAGCTTTTTATTTTATTTTCACTATCGTATCATTAATTATAAATATAAGTTAGTATAAATTCAATTAAATGATTAATCGAAAGCAATTTTGAATGCATGGGCTTTATCTTAGAATAAACTGCACAATAAATTATATAAACATTTCTTGACTGTATACGTTTATGAAATACACGAAGCTGTAAATTTTTTTATAACTTCACTGTTAATGTTTATTGATACGCCAATTAACTTTTAGTAACATAATTTTTATTCAGATTTTTTACAAAAATGATCTTAATCAACGTTTAATAATTACAAAGTAGTTCTGATAATTACAACAACCAGTTAAACTGTTATAGTAACTTTAATAGAATTAATATTCATAATTAATTTCACTTAATACTATTTGTATTTTTTGTTTCTTACTCAATCATTTGGAGATTTATAAATACATTCCATTCATGAGATAATCAGCATCATGAGCAAAGGGACCATGACGACGTCCACGTTTTCTCACTATTCTTAATCGACACGTTATCAACATGATCATTATTAAAGTCACTACAACACCAATTGAAAGTGATATAACAGCACCTTTAGGCTTTAAAATGGCATTACTATTTTTATTATTATTTTGTTGAAGATGTTCCGCAACAAAATGATGAATTCTTACTTCTTCATGTTTTTCTATAGGTTTGTTTAAGGTTTCTATTGATTTGTTCGGATGATTCATTGTAATATTTTCTTTATCATGTGAAGTTTTAGAAACTGATAAATCCAATTGTTTAGGTGGGTGGACATTTTTTTGGGTTTCCAATTCTTTTTTAATATTTGAATTTTCTTTCAATGTTGAAGATTCTTCAGGTGGCAGCTAAAAAAATGAACGGATTTAAATAACAATTTAATGCATCATGTAAAATAATTTAAAATGAAAATTTTTGAATAATGAGTAAATTATTAAAAAAAAAATACCTTGTTTTCTTTTATAATGGGTCCAGTTTTCTTTACATCACTCGTTTCTTTAATTTCTTGTCTTTCTATTGTTGGAGATTCTGTTGGCTGAGATTTTTGTTGTATTTCTACAGCTTGATTTTCATGCCAACTTTCATGATTCTGTCTAGGATAATACGGTTCATAAGGCCTTTCAGATTCTATGTAAGGTCTTCCGACTTCTCTATTCTCTTCAACATTTTCCACCAACATCCCTGGTTTTTTGTGGTTAAAAATATGTGATGACTCTTGATCGTAATGAGTTATGTCATTTTTTCCATGAAAATTATTCAGTGATGGATAAGATTCTTTGTTTTGATCATACATTTGACGATAATCCCAGTTATTTGCATATCCTTGAGACCCATAATTATTTGGAGACAAATGCATCATTTGTTGAGATGGATACTGAAGTCCTGGTTGCTGAGGAAGACTTTGCCATGCTTTTGCAGGAATTTCTGGGTTATTATAAAATGGAGGATAATTTTTATGATGAGGGAGAATAACAGGATATTTTGAGAGTTCTGGAGCTGTAAGTATTTGTTCTTGAAGCACTGGTGGAGGAGGTGTAGGTTTTTCTGTTGGACATCCAAGGTCTGAAGCTTCGTCAGATCCATCAGCACACTGGGGAATTCCATCACAAACATTATAAATTGCTATGCAATCATGAGAAGTTCTGCATTCATACTGATTGCGATGACATATCGTTTTTGGTGGGGATGTTGTTGAAATTAATGATTGTGGAGATTCAGTTATTACAAGACCACTTGCCTCTGTATAAACGTATTCTATTGATGATCTGTCCCTCATTTTTCGCAAAGATTTCAACTCATGTTCTTGTTGACTTCTCCTAATTTGATCCTCATGGTGAATCGTATTACGATAATTTAAATTTGTTAACACAGCACTACTGTAGTTCGCATGGGTCGTAAACTTACACTTGAAATCATGAGGTGGACCACAATGAAACAGATAACAACTTCCTTGTTTCTAAAAATGAACAGAATTTTTAATAATAATTTAAATTTTCTAAAGTATTGCTAAAATAACTTACTTTTTCTTCAAAAATAAATACATCACATTCCTTAGTTTTACAACAAAGTTTTAAACAATCCTCCCTATTATCCAACTCAGCTTCCATTATATACTTGGCTCCAAGCATGAGAGAGTCTTGAGTTCTAATGATTTTGTCTGAATGAACGGAAAAACTACTAATACACATTTGCAATTCATCTTCAGTAAATTTATTAATTTCTTTTAGTGAATTTTCACTATTAACAAACTGAAAAATTATAATAAATGTCACAAAAAACCGAAAAACACAAAAACAACGCATGATTCTGGTCTGTATGACAGAAACGATCGGCGCATGTCTATGTCTCGCGTACTACTCAGCGATCAATATTCATGTTCATGTGGTGTTTCTAATAATTACTTAGTTTTTTTATTTGTAAACGTATCCAAATTTTTAATAGTTAAACATTTTAATAGTTGGAAATTCAAATAAGGCTTATTTATTATTACTATAGGAATTTGGAACATATGAAAATTAAACAAATACTTTAAACTAATTGGTAAATTGAGCAACTTCGTATTATTTATTATCAAAATATGTTTTTTGTCAACAATAAAAAATCTGTAAAAATTAGTACCTAAATTAATACCGAGTTTATTCAATTTACAAATACATTTTACGACAGTTGTTTAGCATTTTAATGCCATAAAATGGTTAAAAAGTTATTTCAATATTATTCTTTACTGCACATGAACAAGTTTCATTTTATTTTTTTATGACTGACTCTTATTAAGAGTAAGAAAAATTATTTATTTCACAATAATTTTCTATTTAATATTGTTTAGTTATCTTATCATCATGCATATATTGCATAAACCCTTGAACTAAACAAAGCACATGATTAATACATTCAATATTTTTTTAAAAATAAATTATTGTAAGTTAATAATATTTTGAATTTCATTCGCCTCTAGATAATTGTTATTATTTAAAATATATTTTCTAGAATAGATTACCTTGTTCAAGTGTTCATTTAATAATTTAATGTTCAATAAAGGTATAAAATTATTATTCGAACGTTGTAAAAATACATGTTTTTCATATAAATTATTTGATTTAGAATAAATTGATACTTGAAGATAATTACAATTACTTTCAAATTTTTTATCTTCAATAGATATTTAATTTCTAACAAAGTATGCGCTATAATTGACGTTTATTTTTTTAATAATTTTATCCTAAACAATTTAATATTTTCATAAACGGCAAGCTTATGGAATGTAAAGAGGTAGAATAAAAAGGCCAACAAGAGAGCATTTTCACAGAACACCATTCTATCTTCCACTTCATATTTTGTTCACTTTGAATTATTTTTCGTCACTTCTGTGTGTGTGTTCTTTTAATCGATTACTATCTTAAAGGTCGAGTATTCTTGATCATTTATAATTATTTAATACATTTTCGTCTTTAGATAAAAAATATTATTGAGCACAATGAGCATTAAAGTTCACTTAGTTTACACTTTCAATAAAAAATGTTAAAATATTATATTGAATTATTTATCATTAATTGTATTAGAATCACAGGTCGACGATCGGCCTTGCATCCTCGGCATTAGAATTCAATAAAATATAAGATTCTTTGACAACATGGATTCGATTTTGGCTACTTATTATCAATGATGATCCTCGTCTTATAGTTTTTTTGCCCAGTTCAATAGCTTCATGTGTTGTAATAATATCATTTTGTGCTTTAGCAAATATTGCACTGAGGACAAGTAGACCGACTAGAATCATTCCATACGTAATGCATGGAACTGCTATATCAGCAAATGTTGTCGACAAATAAATCCATCTTCTTATCGCTGGTGTTAATTCATCAATTCCTTCTTCCAACCACATTATTGGGAACACAATGTCTGGAAATTGAGCTACAGCATTGATATCTGGCTGCCGTTCGACTTTTAGATTCAATTGAACTCGTACTTTCCCTTCTACCGGCACGCCTAGTTTCTAAATTAAGTACAACATAATTAGTATAACTCATTATTTTTTATTTCGTTCATCAATTTATTTTATTTAACATACCGGTTGAATTTTAAAATAAGTTTCATGTAATTCTGGCACTGGATTCAATCCTACAACTGCATCTACCAGTTTTGGATCAGCTTTGTAAAAATGTGGAAAAGATAAATAAACTGGAGCACCTTGAAAATCAAAATTCTTGTAAATATTTTGTTTTTATAATGATGATTCTAAAAATTTGATAATATAGAAAAATTATTAACTCACTGTATTGACAAGGACTGATATTTTGAAGACCTTTAGGCGGACAACTCTTAGGATCGTCTGGACAAAAGCATTCATTGTCTGGAGTTTTAACAGTAGGAGGATCAAACACGTCATCAGTTGGAGTATATAAATCTGCATTTATACCAGCTTTTTCTACTGGACCTCGATACTGTAGTGGTAATACTCGACAGAGATCTTTGTCGTATACGTGAACTACATCTGCTCCTGTGCTTTCCCTTGGTGGAAAGAAAGATCCTAAGAATACAAATAATAAATTATAACATAATAATTTATAACTATGGATACATAAATTCGTACATTCTTTTAACATTATAAATAAAAAAAAAATTTTTTTAAATAATTTATCAAGTTTCTTACCCTCAGAAGCTGTAATGGAATTGCAAGGTTCCTCCTCCCAGTAAGGAAGACGATCCAAACCATTGATTCTGTTAATTAATCCAAATTGTTTCATGTCTGTATGACCAGTAAATATTGTTGACACCTCATCTAATGTTCCATTTCGCTGTAAGTCGAAAGCAAAAAAAAATTATAAAATTAATTTTTATTTCCAAGAGTGTGTAAGTTGAATGCCATATCTATTAAAATACTTTAAATATATTCTAAAACTAATGAAAAATACATGTCATTTGCGAGATCAATACTTAGTAGGATTACATAATGGTACAATCAATTAAGTTATCAATTCAAACAGTTGATAGATTAAGTGAAGGTTGCTGAAGCCGTTCAAGAATGTTGAGCATCCAAGAATGCAAATATATAACTCGAGCTGACTCTATGTACTACTTTCGCGTTCTACAAAGATTGATTGATAAATTCTTGGTTATTACTTTAAATGAGAGTAAAGTTAATAGCTTCCTCATATATAACACATTGCTTCCTTTTTTTGATCAAATAAAGAATGTTGATTAAAAAACTGAATCATAAACTATTGAATTACAAATAAATAACTAAAAATTTTTTCAAATCATAAAATAATTTTTTATCAGAACTTACAGCAAGAAGTAGTCCCATTTGATGCATAGGTCTTCTTGCTTTTGGAAAAAATCGATGGGCTATACTGACTAATGGGTCGTCATAACCAAAGACTAATTGTTGAGCAGTCACTGGAACAAATGGCTTCTGGTTCAATCCGCTAATAAACATTGATAGTCCAAAGTTTAAAAGACGAGGTAGACTCTTGCTTTGTGTTGACAATGTCTGGAAATAAACGTCCATTTATAATCGATGTACAAGTACGTTCTACTGAATTAAATTAATAATTTATGAGTCTAGACATACCAAAAGAGGAATATTTGGAACTAAAACTTCAAGGTCACTATCCTTAGACAACTCCGGAACAAAGTTTAGAATTTTTTTATGTCGGTAAGATACTGTTCCATTATCATGAAAAACAATGTTGACTTTTTCCATGTCTTCTCTGAAAAATAAATATAAAACTGATATTAATTTTTTTAAATTAATGGTAATACTTAGATTCATTCAAAAGTAAATGGAGTGTAAGTTCTTAAAAATTATTTACTTAAAAAATAATATACTATGTTCTGAAAATTACATTATATTTGAATGAATTTTTCATTGACCTGAAACGTTAATAAGACAATCAAATTACCTTAACGATGAAGGAAACATAATGATCGTATGTAATTTATCTTTCTCTCAACAATTTTTATGATGGGACTAATTTAACAAAAATTCAATTAAAGATAAATAAATATTATATACAATGAGCATGAAGAGTTGGTATAAAATATGAGTTGATATGAATTTCAACTGATAGATATTAAAAAAATTTCTCTAGGAAATCAAGGCATTGAGGGTAATTTCATTTCTCGAATCATAATTTTTCAATATTTTTTTCTAACAAACGAAAAATTGATATAACTTAAAGAAGGCCAAACTTTCTCATCCGTACATATACACTAAGGAATTGTTCCTATTCTATTTATGATGAAGAAGCATCAGTCTTGAAGAAATAATTGCTGCAGAGAGCTTTCCTGATTATTCTGCGTGATACTTAATCATTATTGTTGAGAAAGCAACTGGGCATAATTTAGAATTCTTCCTTTTTATTTACGGATGAGAAATTAGGTGAATATGATTGCAGAATGATTCACAACAATTCATCAACTATCTTTCATTAAATCCTGACAGTTTAAATTATTCGTTATCATCATCATCGATAAAATAATAAAGTCTGACGTGAAGTTAAAACAAAAACAGATTTGAATATTTATGTTAACATTACTATTATTTATAACTATTCTTATTTATTTAAAGTGAAATATTAACTGATAGTTATACAAAAATAATCGACTAATTATAATTAATTTGTATCTAAGTGAAGTTAAAATTTATTACTTGCTAATATTTTATTAGAATATGGTAGTCGAGAATTGTCAAGTTGATAGATTTATGATGAAACATGGATTATTGATTACAATTAATAGATTCCAATGTCTGACCATTCACTTATTTTTTCACTGGCATATTCGAAATTTATCTAATAAAATTTTTTTAGACAACAACAAATAAAATATTGATACAGATTGAAGAATAGCTGAGTTCATTAATTGATTCAAATTGAATTATGAATAAAATGGAATCTTCAAATACCTGTTACACACCTTAAGATTAAATTCCATACCCTTATGGTTGTGATAGGTACGTTAATATATAGCTTTCTACGGAAGTTCGTGGTACAGGTCGACGCTGGTTAGAGGAGTTAAATGTGTGTACAAATACGCAACCATTACGAGAAATTGCTTCTGTCATACCGCGAACAGATTATATATATAATACATAATAGTATGTAGGATTATTACATTATGCCACGTAATAACAGATCATGATTCAATCCTGCGTATCGTATCGATAAAATCACACCAAGGATAATTCGCCGAAGGACTCGAGTCTACGAATGTTGGCTAATTGGAGAAAGTAATCCTAGAACATTTCTACATCTCATAAACATAGATCCTTAACACTTATGTCTTCTATTAATCAGTTAAAATTTATTGCCGAAAGTATCCATCAAGATAATTTAAATTTTGCTTCTAATGATCAATTGAATTTTGAAAAATTTATTGACAAAAAAAATTTTTTTCTTGGATACATCATTGAATCTATTCTTTGAAATCATACCAGTTCAATTATTGTACAGCGTTTTGGTACTTTTCACTCAATGAATAATTAAATGATGATAAATATATTCGAACATAATTTATAAAAATTTTTTTGTTATGAATTAATGTAAATTTATAACATATAACATTTGTTTTTCTACGATCAAGTTGAGTACCATTGTGCAAGTAGTGCAATAAAAATGTCATGTTGAGGGCAACTTTTACTTTTTTATCTTGAAATTGTCTCCCTGAACGTGAAAGTGATATATGTGTACACTTGTCCGCGAAATTCTTTGTTATTCTGTCCGTGACTTTCCCTAATCATGTGTGGACATTTGACTTGTTAGTTTTTTATCAAGTAACATAAATCGTTGGTGCGTGAGACAACTATCATCTTTTTCCTGCAAAAATTTTAATGAGTTCCAAAAATACTGATGAAGATATAAATGATAAAAATTAAAATACCTTAATGTAAAGCAGTATCCATCAAACACTCTTATCTCTTTATCATTCATCTTCCGTTTCAAGATTTTTTTTGACTTCATGAGAAAAACTTAGTTCCTTACATGATAAAATTCAGAAAAGGCTTGTATTTTCACATGATTTACGAAATCACTTGGCTTCAGATGTTAGAGGATGACATTTTGAGTAAATTTGTTAATTTAGAAATCACACAAATTCATGTGGTATTGAATTATTAAATTACTATAGCGTAATCGATTGAGTCATATCAACTTTGATAATATTACAAATTAAATATAAAAATGAATGAATAGTTGATGGTATATTTCTTTAGTACTACGTAATTGTTAATAATGTAAACGTATCATACTAAATTGTATTGTGTCTTTGATGGTAGTTAAACATACGAATAGAAAGTATTAGAAGGTAAAGCAATGTAGCAAGTGCACATGTGCACTTAACCCTGCATAATTTAACGTATTAGATAACCGAATTACCAGGTCACCGTGCCACCAATACAGTTGATAATATATCGAAACAAAAGTTCATTTATAATTGTTTTTTAACCTAATAAAGTTGAGAGTATAATAATATATTTAATAATCAAATAGATTTGTTTTGTTCAAAGATGAAATTTTCAACAGTTATCAATTTTCACTTGATCAACTTGAAAGCAATAATTAATCCAATGATTTTCTTCTTTTCTATTTTAGACCAACTTTTCTCTCATCTCACTTCATTGATTATTAAACATAATAATAATAAAGGAAGTCTCAAAATGTTTTTAGCACTAAGAAATCAACTGTCTGTTTATTTAACAAGGGAAGTAGATAAATATTTAACACATTTAATCTAATAGATAAAAAGTAAAACAAGATAAATCATAATGCGGAAGAGAAATTCAAGCACGCGATCATCATTGACAACTAGTCTTTACTTTAGAAATTTGCGTCTGTTGGTAATACTGATTCTTTCTTTCTATTTCAAGCGGAAAACAGAATTGCAGTTTCTTTGTTCTTTATTCTTTTTATTATTTTATCACGTTACATGTTTACTAAAGATGTGTACGTAACCTGTCTTATTATATATTTACTTCTGATTCGTAGAAATGAGAGTGCCGTGTAGGGACGATTATCAAAAGGCGTTGGGTTTGGTTCACATTATATTAGACATATTGGGTATCAAGTGAAGTCGTTTATACTCTCACTACATATACTTTGATATAATACACAGCTTCATTACGTTTAGTTATGGACTTTACTCACAAACGATTACTTTCCTCTCAGCTTTTCTTTTTAGAACCTACGTACTAATCAAACAGCAATGGTAATATAATTTATACAATTTTATGATACTTATGTCATTATTTCTATTTTGTATTACATATAATATAAATAATATATTATTTATATTTTATGGAACTAATTAAATTAGGGGTTATCAGCAAAAAAAATGTCAAGATAACCTGTATATACATAGTCACTAATAATTAGGTTATTATGTCTTTGACTTCTGTAAGAGAAAAAATTAACTAGTAATTATTAAAATTAACTTTTTTTTATCACGCTAAAGTCATGACATATTCATAAAAGATGTTCAGAAAAAAGGTTATCTATGAAAATATTTTTTTTAAAACATCAAGGTAATAAATAAAAACTGTATAAACATTCTTCCATTTGAAGTTTTCTTAATATAAGTTGATGTTTTAAATAACCCTGGGAGTTCTTCAACTATGTAGTTACCGTAATGAATTTAATGGAGTGGACATTGTAAAAAGGTAATTTGAATGTCTTCAAGTGCATAAAAAATTATGCTTCATGAGTTTTTTTAACATGACACAGTAGATAGGTTCTCTTTATTAATAATAAGTCCAATTAAAATTTCATCTAGTGATTGAAAGTAAAATACATAAATAGAATAAAATAAAGTTATCCTATATTTGTTCTTTCATTAATTAATAATATTATTTTTTTCTGCCAATATGTGAAAATTATAAAGAATATACAATATCAAAATAATAAACAACTCAATTTAGTTTTACTGAAATTATTATTATATGTTAGTAGGAAGAAGTTAAAGCCTCCGGCAAAGACGAGTATGCACTGAAGAGGAAATAAATTCAATGAAGCTGAACATAAATTTCGGAACGATGCAATCCTACATAAGATACCTGTTGCTATTATTGCTGATTTATTTTGAAAGGTGGCTACATTGAATTAATATACTGTAAAGCAACTAGATAGGAATGCATATATCTACAGATAAATCAGGTACATATATTTATTTCTTTATTTCTTAGCATTTAAATAAATCATAAAGCCAACAATTCAACCGTATTTGTTTGAAAAAACCAAGGTCTATATCATATTGTATCAAATGCCGGAAATTTATTAACATAAGAATATCCAGATAAAGTGTAAACATCTATATAATCAAGTTTTTGTGATTTATCAAACAATCTGGGTTTGTTAAATCAATAGAAATAGTAGATTACTTACTTATATACAAAAGGTCCAACCTCTTGAAGTTTAGGTTTCTCATTATAATTGAGAAAATTTTCTGCATTTGTAACGTTGAATATATATACTTTGGTAAGTCTTACTACTCCAGGTTTTTGCCAATACTGGAAAGAAAGAGAACCATTCCACAACCTTAATTGCTGTAATAATAAGCAAAATATTACATTATATACATTTATTATCTTTGGCTCTATTAATATCTTTCATATGTGCTGATAATCATGATTCATCAATACTTATTGGTGTAATAAAATCAAATTTTTTCTAAGAATAAATTAGTGAAAAATATTTAATCAGCGATAAATAAAATTTCATAATAATATCCAAACATGATGTGAAAGTTTCTGGTGTTCTAAATAATAAATAAGTAACTAATAAAAAATGCTCTATTAAATTTTTTTCGTACACTACTTTTATCATAGAATTAATTTTATGATCATAATTGATTATTTAATGATTACTCATGTTTTTTGTAATTATTATCATGTATACTTACTCTTAAGATAACATAATCAACCCAAGGAATGCTACTTAGAATAATTCCAATAGCTAAAGCTAATAAGCCAAATAGAATAGCAGCTATTCTACCTGAAAATTAAAAAAATTTATTAATATATGAAAAGAATACAAAGAAATTTTATGAGGTTTTTTTATAAAATTTATGTCATAGTTATTACGAAATTTAATTACAATATATGATTATGGTAAATATTATAAAAAGGGTCAAAAAGTTATTTGTGCATCATTGCAACACATTATGAGTGTCCTGAATTTTTTGTTTGCAACAAATAACTTTATTAGGATTCATCAGTTGTTTTTCTTCTATTTGAATGAAGAGATAATACATAAAAAGATGTCATAAAAGTCTTGTGAATATTTAAAGAAAATTATGTATTTGTTGTAGAATGTAGTTTAAGTTTTTATTTAAATAACGTATTTTGTAAAGTATTAATTTCTGAAAAGTATTTCAAGTATTTATTGAATATTTTTATCCATAAAATAGATAATCTTGAGTAAAAACTAGATCGACCTTTAAAAGAAATAAATTTATTCATATAGATAAAGTAAAATTGAAAAATTTAAATTAATAATTATTCAATTGAATTATATTATATCATGATTTTACAGGAAATGAATCTTTCACGAAGAGAACCTCCAAGAAATTGTTCTTATATCCATAAAGCCTGTAATTTTCTTGCTACGTGCACATGGAATAGAAAGAAGAATTACATCTATATAATACGAATAAATGTGAGTACTCTCATCTGATAATTTCGCATTCGACCAGTTCCAATCATCATAAGTAATTTGCCATACCAATACATAATATATAACATTACTGAGCATGATTGTAACTTGGAGAAGACCTTGAAACTGTTATTTGGGAAATTTGAGTGTCACTGACCCCAAGTCTGAATTTAACAGCTTCTTAAGAATATCTTGACATTGGAGATGAAAGCGAAAGTTACTCAGCAATAGCAATAATAATAATTTTAAAAAACTCCTTAACGGAAATGATATTATGAAGTAGATGATATTAATTTACAATTTAACACCCTACAGTTTTAATTATTAAATTAATTATTTAAGATTTAATTCCATTTATTAGTTAAAATATTTTCAACCATTGTGGTAATTGTTTTCGAAATTATCTCATATTTTTGAAAAATCTGTCAGCATAAATATAATCAATTTGAAATAATCATTACGAGGAAAGTTAAGTTGGAAAACGTAACAGTTACGAGAAAGTTAGATGTTTTAATAGTTCAAGAAAGGTTTTGTGAGAAAAGAATTGAGTTATATATATAAATGTTTCAGACGATCTTTCTTCTTACCGACAATCTATTTATAAATTCAACTATTGATTAAAGCTTTTTTTGCATTTTGTTAATCAATTAAAAGATGCTATTCTGAGTATTTTAATTTTTTTACATTCTGTATATATTATTCAATGTTTTTTGAATGTAAATTCATCTTAAACTAGATCCATCTAAAAGGATGTTATTTATACGTTGGTAACTTCGGTCATTTCTGGAACCGTTATCCAAATATTTTTTGCGACTTTAACAATTAAATTGAATGTTTAGTACATGCTAAGTTTTTAATCCGAAAACATGATGCATCAGCTGAACATTATCGTCATGATGACCTACTCAACGTTTACCTGAACATTCTCATATCCTACTTCGGTCCATAAGAGAATAAGAAAAAATTTTTACCAGACAGAAAATCAAGTTTATCTACGTCAGAGACTACAAAAGATATTTTTATTTTTACATTTTGCGTGATCGCAATCTTTTTATAAACATAAAAATAATTTTTTATTATTTTTGCAAAAAAAGAAGTAATTAAAGAGCTAAAAATTACTTTCGTGAAACTTTTCTAATCAGCATAGTATTTTTTTTTAAATTCAAAACTTATTTCTTATCATTACGTATTCATTATCTTGAATAATTTTTTAAAGATCTTGACCTAATTCTTATTAAAGTCGATGCACTTGTTGGAGGAACCTTAAAAAATCAGATCTATCAAATCGATTTGCTCATTGCATAAGATATGTCGTACAAAATCAAGCTACAATATATTGGATTCTGTGTGAGATGTTGTTCATGTTACTGCAACTGTTATACGCAGAGTCATTACAAGACAGGAACATTGCGTAATGGCCATCGTGATCTCTCCTTTCGCGTTTGGCACCATTGGCAAATCATCGTTACGTTCATTTCTTAATCTCAGAAGAATGAGTTAATGGCGTAAATATGAGAAGTTCCATGTTCAGTTATTGACCTTCCTAAAAATTTTATCTACAGTAAATGATTGTCCTTAATGTGTCAATCATAGTACAGTTCATCTCATGAATAGTATAACAGAAGTTAATAAAGTAAATATAACTGTAAAAATAGAAGTTTTTGTATTTTTAGCACTTGAATTTTGACGATAAAATTTATAAGAATTATTTACCAGAATTCTTTAGAATGTAATAACTGCTTCGTAAAAAAAAATTTATTTATAATAAAATTTTTTCTTAAACTCAAAGCACTAAATAATCAAGCAAAAGGATCTTTTTTCTTAAGATTTTTTACTAAATACAATGAATATACTTCAAGGTGTCTACAATCTAAAAGAATATCCTGCTATAAATTTATTCAATTAGATTGAATACGTGAAAAATAAAATTAATTTGAGCACTTTTATTTTCAATTCTCAATAAGATAATGTGGTTTTGCGATGATCTAACCACAAGGAATATATTTAAAATACTTGTAAATATTCGAAGTAATTTGATAGCACATAAGTTGTTGAATTTATTCAATCGTTACTTGATTTTTTCGAGATGAATAAATTAAATACAAAAATTCAACAATAATTACACAAATATTACTTGTTATATCCTAACCAAACCACTTTATTTTATGGAAAAATATTATGCGAATTTTATCACTTTTTTATTTTTGTTTATGTGATTTTATAACTTTTTTTACCATTTTCTTGAGTGCTCAAAAAGTCATCAAATTTTCACTCCCGTCTTCTCAAATTGATCAAGTCATTGACCTTCTATCTCATCATCTTTATCATTTGCTTTCAAACTTGAAGTATATTTATCTTATCGAAATTTTATAATAATAATAATAAGTTGTTCATTTAACAGAAAAAAATAATCAATCTGTCTTAGTTCTACCATATAATGAAGATTTAATGTCTAATTATCGTTCTGACAAATGGTCGTAGAAAAGTAGAAAAATCAGAAGATATAAAAGGAGTCAAGTAGAAAGCTATGAAGATGATACTCATGCGGAAATGTGAAAAGATAAAAGCTGTTAAATGAGGTCTATTCCAAACAAGAATGCATGAGGCATACCACAAGAGACGAAGGTGAATATGCCGCAAATAATAGCTTAAAGCTGATGGATACAAAGAATGAAAATAGTAAAAGAGAGTTAATTATCTTCAAGTGCCGTTATGATTGATGCTTTTAAGGGAGTTTATCACTAACAATTGTTGAAAATGATTATTTGAACAATTGTTTCTATCAATTGTTATAATAATAATCACGATTATAATTATAGTCGTCATTATCATAAATATTAACCAGAATCATTACTTCATGTTTCATAATATTATTTATCGTTCTTTCACTCTGGTTATTCTTCGCTAATAAGATAAAACAATCAACTTAAGGAATGTTTAACAAGCATTACATAAAGTTAACTATAATTGTTGAATTAGAAAACTGCATTTCTAATAGTGATTATTATGCCTTTTGACTACATTGCACCATATTATTTATTTATTGGCATTTAAATTATTAGTGATTTTTAATTTTATCATAAATAAATTGATGAGGAAGTTGGACTTATTAACCAATAAATGAATTTAAAAACAAAAAGATGTAACATTACATTTTAATATATCAGGAGTAGAAGTCCTTCAATATTTCAAAGGATTTTTTTTCATGTTAACCTGTAGAAGAGACCTTCATTGGAAGAGTCTTTGCAATTGGAAATACCCAGTGAGTTCATTCCAGTGCATTATCAAGGGCAAATCATAGTGAAATGCTTCTTGTGGATTATCAAGTTAACCTTCAAGAATTTTCCCAGACGAAAAGCAAGCTCAATAGTAAGCTAAGAAAATGTTCATCAGACAGACGGTTATCGTTAGGTTCATATACCTTGTAATTTACCAAGAGTACTGTGAAGAGTAAACATGGTCGAGAATGGAGATTTATCGTAATATGGTATTTAAGGGAAGCACGTGAAAGTTGAATCAGAATTTAGCCTCGAACTGACCTTGTTAAATGATAGCTTGGAACTTAATCATTTCAGCTTTTTAATTTCATCAAAAGTTTATGAGTGGTTTTGTTTTTTTGCTGTTTAATAAATGAATATATATTTAACAATGTTTTAATAATTTTTGAATATTAAAATTATTTATAGTTTTTTGAATATTCGATTCAATAAATTGAATGGAATAATTTATTCTTTTATTGCTTTTTAATATTTTATTTCGTAAACTTAACTCATCATAAACGATTTTAATGTTAAAAACATTTTTTTAATTGAAATACTTTTTTTCATTATTTTCAGATAGCTCCACAAATCCGTGAATTAATAGTTAATTCCATGAATAATAGTATCAAAGTAATGAATGTCAAATAGAAAGTAATTCCTTAATATTTCCAATTCAATTCATCAAGAGCAGTTCAATGATCAGAGGAAATTGAAAAAAAAACCTGTTTCAAATCCTATATCCTCTAGGAAGGAAGATCAATCAACTTAGAATCTACTGTGAGTGAGATTGATTAAAAAGAAAAATTTTTCAGGTGAGTTCTGTAAAACCGGTTAATATCGAAACTGATAAGTAATAGTTGATAGAATGCATGTTATGATTGAAATTGTATATTTCTAGAATTATAAAGTAAGGCAGAATCTAATAAAAAAATTCCTTTTGATTCATGTCTGCCACATGGAAATAAAATTAATTTTATTATTTACGATCATATACAAAAAAAATCAAACTGTCAGTTTTCATTCAACTATCCATAAAAGATTAATTTATAGCGGAATTCAAGGAACCGTGAGCGAAAACCAGTCTTCAGCTGTTTAGTATTATAGAACAAGATGCCTTGATAGTTGCTTTAGATGCTTCTTCAACTTGTTTTTGCTCATCAAAGAGTCTACAGCTGATAATAGGGTGGGTTCAATACTCTTGTATGATTGTATAATGTGTCTCAGTTACCTACTAACTGACATTCTCGAAGAACTATAATCATCATAGAGGCAGAATAGGAGGGTATCTTCGATCGTAAAATAGTAGAACGATACGTGGGTTGAAATCTCCGTTCTTTTAGATCTCCCTTTAGATCATGCTGAATATTTATTCGATTTGCTACATCATTGCATTTCAATGCAGGTCAATTTTCTTAAACTAACAGTACTTTTAAACCAGTTCAACCAACTAGAGAATTAATCATTTATTTAGGATATTACGTTAATTGATGAATTCATTTTATTAAATGCTTTCTCGATAATTAATAGCAATCCAGTAAGCGGTATATATTTAAAATGATTTAGTTAGATTTTTTTGTTTATTAACTTGTTATTATTTTATTTCAATTTTTATTATAGTTTGCACAACAAAAAATTTCCTCGCTCACTTTTCTAATTATTGAAAAAACTTCTAATAGTATAGTAAACTACTTTTTAATAATTACAGTGTCTCTAAAAAATCAATGTTCAGGGACACAGGTGTCAAGAAATTATTTTCACATATTCGCCAACCTTAAATTACCTTAAATTGCAACATGTGCCAATCAATCTATACAAAGTGAATGCCAATAGCGAAAGCAGTATAGTACACTGTCTCAACCATTTCAATTGGTCTAAATTTCAACAGTCTATTGACAAATCTAATAAAGCAATAGATAATGAGCCTTAATAACAAAATATATTAACACAAGTATTTGGCATAAATTTTTATCGGATTTTTTATTTTACATCTAATGTTGTCTTTTACAGATAACTGGTAGTATGCAATAACTACGTAAAACGGTTTGCTATGGGATCTTGAAGGCGAAAGAGGTGAAGTGACCGGTTCGCATTTACGCACGAAAAGATCTGCTGCTTCTAGTCATTGGTCTTCCAGCATCATGAGGAATGTTGAGGAGTGAAAGTGATCTCAAAAATATCTTGGCATGGAGTACATGTGTAGAGGTAAGTATATTCTCGACTTTTTCCCCTTCTTGGCCTTCTTCTTGTCAATTCCTCTATTACGTACTGTATTTGCAATATGTATATCCATGCGCATTGAATGTGCTTCCAACCAATCTAAACAATTCTCATTGAATAACAGTTCACCATTTTGCAAGTAAGAGTAAAAATGTTTGGACAGTTGAGATTTTGTAATACTGACTCTATGTTCAAATGCAAGGACCACTGCATTTCTATAATATTCATAACTTTTTTTATTCTTTATGCCATTTGTATATCTTTCTGTTATGTTGATTTTATCAAAGATTATCCATTTCTAGTATTTTTTAATGATTACAAGTTGGTCTAACTTGTTTATCAAAATCTGATTAAAATAATTATCTGGAATTCAACTTAATGTACTGCAAAGAATAAATAGGCTTGTCTTTCTACAAGATGCGCAAAAAATATTAAACATTAAATTCTTCAGAAAGGTCAGGCACACGAATGCAGTTGATTAATAACATGTCTGTTGTATTCATAGAGATGAAAATTTATCTGTTATTTGCCTGTTTAATTTTTATTTTTTTATTGTCAGTTTAATTATTTTATTCTTTCATTCCTTTTCATAAGTAAAATGAATTGGACTGAAAGACTACTAGACTTATTTTTCATATCTATTTGAAAAAAATCAACAAAAGATTTTGATGAATATCAACTTCTTGGCCAATTTAGGAATTGTGGTATCATCATGCAATATATGAGGTGCAATGTCCTAAATGTATTCTCCTTCATCTTGATGAATTTTTTTATTTGTTTAAACTTATGTGAACATTCTTCAAAAGAATAAAAAAATTCTCTATCAAAAATAAATTCATTGAATAGAAAAATAAAACTCTTAGATGGAAATTGTAGTTCGTCGTTTACCTTTCATTTCTTTTCAATAATGAAAGTATTTTGCGACGTAATAATTTTTTATCAAATGCTTTTACGAAACAATGAATAGAAAAAAAAATGCTATAATTACGATGAACTTTTTTTTCTCAATTAGATTATAATTAAATATTTAAAAGCCAGTATTATAATACACATCAAAGATATCAACATCTCATCTTGTGTTGTGGTTACAAATAGATGAACATATTTTATGGCTAACCACAATTATCAAGCCTATGAGAATTTCGCTTATGATGTCGTACAAATTCGAAATTTAGTTTGGTCTACAATTTTCCAAGGTTAACTTTGAGAATGCACGTTAATAATTTTATAAACAACTGAATTTTTATATAAAACATTATTGATATTAATATATTCACTAGTCTCTTTTATTAATAATAAATAAATAAATAAATAAATTTGCTTATTTAAAATCTTGCTTACCAATACTAAGTCTCAACGTTTTCTCTATTTGGTTATATTTCCATATTATATGCAGAATACTTTTTCATTAAAGAGAATGTATTACTTGGGTGACATGTAAGTTGTGACCTGCAAAGGTAACACATAGCAAGGGTTCTAGTGATAGTTGAGTTTCAATCAATGATTCTTGGAGAGATATTTATTATAAAAATATAATAGTCAATTACTACTTGTATTATTGATACCAAGAAAAATGTTTCAATGAATTTTTTCAAAAAATTGAAAAGAAATTTACATTTATGTAAACTTTAGACGTTGAAAAAAATAAATTAACTACTCTACTATGGTCATTCAGGTTTCCTCGGTCGACTTATTATCTCAATTACATCATACGACCGGCATCCAAAAAGTTGATCAGTGCAAAATTGCGAAACATCTTTGCTTTCCCTCAGTAGTGAATACTCTACCTCTTTCATGACTGTACTCTCAATATATCTATATACCCGGGAGCTGTATTCCTTTAAAGAATAGGTCAAGGCTAACGTTCTCTGTGAGGAAGAAGTAATGATAAACGTCAGGTCGTTTACATTATTTATTTATTTATTGTTCTTATATTTGTATTGGACCTACATTAATCATTGGAACGTGCTTTTTTTTTATTTCAAAAAATTACAAACATGTTTTTATCGCAGATTTTAAATACACATTCAATTAGTGTGATGAAAAAGAATATGTAGAATTGAATATATTTAAGAAATACTGTAGATATCTATTTTGTAACTTTTATAATGTTTAAAACTTGACGGGGAAAAAATTGCGTCATTGAAAAAAATTACCGTACATTGCAATATTACAATAATGTATTTATAGTGACATTATCTTTCACGATAATCTTTTCTGAGCAAAACTCAAGTCCTCGTATGCTCAGCACGCGTTTCAGTTTATGAGTAAGAAAATTAAAGAGATGCTACTGAAGTGTTCGAAGGATTATTCACCACGTTGAAAAGCTAGAGAGCCAAATGACCCCTCATTATATGTATATTTATTTATAAATTTACTCATTTAGTAATTAATGTATTACGTAGTTGAAACATTGTAAGCTTACATATTTTATTCTACTATCACTATACATGATAACTTTATTTTATCATAAAGAAATGATGTTCTGCAGATAATAACTGCAAATAAATCACTTTAACTCATACCAAGTCAATTAAAATTTGCTCAAAAGCTGTAGAAATTAATTAATTCACAGAATAATTTTTAAAAGTTATCAACATATTTAACGTTTAACAAAGTTTTTAATTTATTTAATTCCTATTTATTAAACTTTTTTTGCTCTAGATATGTCTTAAAAACTACTCTGCAGGGGATAATAAAGAAGTAATTAAATCTTACCATGTCTTAACTTTCCATTTTTTGAAATAAACATAGTTAAAGGTCTAGGAACTCGTTCTGTACACATAGATTCTCCATTCTTATGCGGCCTGATTCCAAAGAGGGCATTTCTTCCGACTTTCATGTACTGTCGGCCCATCTTCTTTGGGGAACCAATCCCAAAGAGTGAAGTGATAAACTTCATTTTCATTGTCTTTGATTTTTAAATGTCACAAAATAATTGAAATCACAACTTTTTTAGTATATAAAAATTAATTAAAAGAATTCAATAATTAAGTCACTCACTTAATTTTATCACAATCACAACTTACTTTTAATTTCTTTAGTTATATTCTTTTTCACTTCCTGTTTATATATGTGATTTACTAATTTATGAAAATATTTTAATAAGGTGACTTTCTCAGTTATTTCATACACGAAATAGAATTTACTCAACTATTATTACTATTGCTCTGGTTGTCACTCAAGATGCCATGTAATATCACACAAATTGTTTTACAATTGGTTTGTAATGGTTTATGTGGTAATTGCATCTTTCACGTCACCTCTCCCAACATTGTTTAATAAATTCAAGTAAATTGTCATTAGAGTTCATTTAATCCAAACAGAAAGAAACAAATCAAATTAAATAATAATTATTTCATAAAAGTTTAATGATAATAAGTTTACTTTATTTGGACTATTTTTCTTCTTTACTTTCCGTCTTTCTGCGTAAACACAAACGTAAATTGCTACTACCTGTTTTTCATTCAACTTTACGTATCACACGTGTTGTGTATTTCCGTTTAAATGTACAATTTCATTTAGATAAGCTTGACATCATCGTCACTATATCACTTCCTCATTTTTTCGTATCTGAAAAAAATTAGAGAATTATTAGGTCAGACTATTGAATAAATGATTAATGAAATATGAAAATAATTAAATACAACAGATTATCAATGAGTTTAAATTACATATAAATGATCTAATTGAATAGTTAATCTCTCATCAATCTTTGATTTGTGTTCATATAGATACAAATTGTTGACAATAATTTTTTTGCCTTTTTGATCAGACGTCGATTCATTTGATCAAAAATGCAAATTTAAATAATAATTAATTTACTTTTTTATCTTTATCGACGGTCAATCATTTTTTAATGCTATGTTAATTAACCTTTCTGCTATTTTTTTTTTTTTTTGTATTGTATCTGATTATTATTTCTTCTGCCTTCTTATGTTGAAAACTTGATGAGCAAAAATAAATTTTTGTCGTATGCTCTGATAGTTATTAGAAGTAAAAGTAGGGCACAATTGTATTTTTCGAGGAATGCAAAAACAGTAAATTGTGTGATGGTACATTGAAGCTTAACTTAAATTATCGTTAAATAGAGCAAGTTAAAACGATTATAGAAATTTTCTGCTTTTGTCTTTGAATTGAAAAAAGTTAATGATAATGGAATCAAAAAAAATTACCTAAACAGTTATAACTCTATTTTTTGATTATTTTTTTTTAAATATAACTGACTGAATCAAATAGAATTGATAAATGATATTGGAAAAAAAATAATTGGCATCTTCTAGATAACAGTAAGCTACCATCGTCCTGGTTAAAGCCTACTTGATGATTCTGTTGCATGTCATCAATTGACAAGAACCTTGGCGTGTACTTTTTCATGGTAGATAGCTCTATGACCGTTATTGTTTACCGGTTTCACTAGGCAGACTCTTTATTTTATTCATTAGTCATAACTCAATGTACTATCAATTTGCAAGCTATGATTTCATTTTTGAATATAGAGATTTAAAAAAAAAAAAATTAATCGTCTTTTAATGGTAATATCGAATTTTGAGCATCAAATTACAGGGAATATTTTGTCCAAAGTGAAAAAGACAAGTGTAGTGGGAAAAAATCCACTTAACTTAAATTTTTGAACCTGTTATTTTTTTAGTGATAATTTACCAAGGGCTCGTCGTCCATAATTTAGCATAATTTAATGTCACCAGACCACCAGGAAACTCTTTTGAATCATCTTTTAAGTTTACAAGAATTTTCGAGTTTGGGATTTCCGGAGGTAGAGAATTGATAGTGATAATTCTAGAGATGGGAAATAAGTATTAGTGTGTGTTATTGACTTACATAATATATAAGATTGTTGGATGCTTCTTTTCGAGCTCCACAAGGTTCGTTAACAGCCCGTCAGATCCAATCTTTCTTTATGTAACTCACTGGTCAACATCGGCACTTTTCTAATATAAAACTCTAAGTTTCTCTCTAACAGAAAGCCACCCGTTTGTATCACACACTTGTGCGCGCAAGGAAGATAGATTGATAGATCGAAATAAGAGAGAATTAATGTTGTGCATACTCTGCACTCATTTACACATGTACCGGTCATCTACTTGAACGCTGCTGCACAACAATTAGTTGATGCTTCCGCGATTAGAAAATTTCCATTTAATTTATTCATGTGTAATGCAAGCGTAGATTTTATTCGTACTCTAATATTTAAATTCAGATTACAATCATAGAAATAACAGCCGAAAATTTGATTAAAAAAAAAATATATCACTAATTCTGATAGAATTATTTTTCAGCACTAGACAAATCACTTGGATGGAAGAACTTCACTTTGATTTCAGATTATTTAAATGCTAGTCCAAGGATGAAAATTAATATTTTTGGAATAAATTATTTGAAATTTGGTAAATATAATCAAAGTTATTTATGCAAATGATTATTGATGATAATTATTGATGATTTTTTAATTTTATTTCAGTGATGGATTATTGAAGCCAATTGAACTCGCAAGTTGCCGAGGATTTAGTGAATTGGTAGCGCGCGGTGGACCACCGTGTGGCATACACACCGGGTAGCAATCACTGACGGGTGCCCCAACGTTGTTGGGCTACTCACCGACCCGCCAGCAAGTGTACAGAGTAGTAGGGAATGGCCAGGTAATACTGCAACGAAGAAAGAGTGAGAAAGGAATCGGTACGAGTATATTATATCTTTCATGAACCGTCAGGTGTATATTTGGGGATAGAATTTCGTAAATACATTTAACAACAAATAAAAAAAAAAAAAAGAAAGACATAAAGACTTTTAAGAAGAAATGAAACAAGACTGCTCTCTGCGTCGGCATAAATTAAATCGACCTTCAGGATTATTCTTTCTTTTTTGCTTTACTTGACTTACTAGTGGTATAACCAAAAATCTTGTATTAAAATTAAGACTACAGAATTTTATCGAATTTATTTAATTATTCATCATCATCAAGGATATTCGTGAGTTCATTGTCGCGTTAAAGGAATTTATTCAAACTCATTTCTATTCAGAATTATGATTTCCTTATAAAATAAATAAGTAATAATTGATTCTTGATATTTTTAAATGAAAAATTCATCAGTTTTGTAGGGATTTTTCTGTTTTAAATGAATTTATGAGGGTTTATATCTAATTCGCATCAATTATTCATCGCTACAGTCTATTAATAATCACTTAAGTTTTTTAAAGTGATAATTAACATTAATGAATTATTTAAAATTGGAAAAAAATCATTTTTTAAAATAATTTTTAATTAAAGATTTATACAATTATTTGACTTGAACACAAAAAGAGGAAAAAATCTTTTCAATTTGAAAATTTTTTTATCTTTATCGTCATGAATAAATAAACTGAGTATTTATTTTTTCCTTATAGAAGGAAATTAGTATTTACAGAAGATGAAAAAAATTGTTCGTTATTTGAAAAATGAAGCATTAACTAAATTAGTGTGTTACTATTCCATTTCTACGAAAATAAATATTAATACAGTCATAAATATAAGTTGTACGAGCAATTATCTAAACGTACTTTCTGCTTTGCATTCAATCTGGCTATATTACGCAATCTAGATCATGAAACATTACATAGAGCAAGTTAGCATGAAAAGTTTACAACTTCAAAATGCCGCGTATTATGTGTAATATACATATACGAAGTTGGACACTCTAGAAATACATTAACTTGGTTTTCACCCTGGATCATAAACGAGTAAGACAAGGTCTGCACACATCCTGTTGCTAAATCTCAGTTTTGCATCCAAGACTGAAGAACATTGCACATACAGGGGATATATTGATCAATGACCCATAAGTTGTTGGAAATTACTGTGGTTATACTTTTTTGTTTTATTTAGTCATAAAAAATTTAAACTTTCCATAAACATAATCACGATCAAGTTTATATGTCTACCAATCAAATGATGTATGAAATATTAAGATTAATTTTTTAATCAATTTTTTTATATATTTTTCAAGTCAATTTAATTATAAGTTGCTGAATGACTTGTTCGATAAAGCATCTTGAGAGAAAATACGTATAGAGGAGATGAAAAAGAAAGCTACGACCTTCATCTCCAGAGTGTCTCAAGGAACTTTTGTAATTTTAGTGCATCTTTTTTGAAAAATTCAAACGATTTTTTGTAATGTGTAATCTTGATAATAAAATGTCAAACATTTCATTATGTTGACTTTTATCATGGGGATGAATTTTTAAAAGAATTCTTTTTTCGATCATAAACACATTTTTATTGTTTTAGCCTTTGAAATAAATTTATACTGATTAATTTTTTAAGTTTAATAATTAAATTTTACAAAAAAATGAAAAAGAATTTTTTTTCAATTCGAATTATTTAAAATAGTAAATTATTAAAACATTAAAAAAATTAGGCAAGTAGTTCATTATTTGCATAATCATTGGGTCAATATTCAATCAGAGAGAAGTCTGACCTATTAGTCAATAAATTCGCATGTCAACAAAATGCATTAAATTTTCGAAAGTTCTTTCAACTCTGGTTACACACAGATAAATAAGACAACTATATTTGCTGAAGATATTTCATTCTAAATCACTGAGAGGAATAAGAAAAAATGAATGAACTCACTAGCTGTCTGAATGAATTCAATAAATTAAATTGTTACTTTAATATACTTACAGTTTTACTTAGATAATCATTTGAACCAACAAATTTCTATTATTTGTCTAATTCCATGACACAAATATTCAAAGCACACTATGTCTATTCACTTTCAAGTAAATCAAAATTGTTCTGGTTTTTCTAGTTTCTGAATTTTAGTTTTGAAATAATGTACATTCACTTTTTTTAACTCAAAACGATCAAAATAGTAGAACTGTGAAATTATACGAACTGGCAAAAATATTAATCCAATTTCGTCATAAAAATTTATTACATACTCTTATTATTTATTGTAATTTTCATGAAATTAAATAACAGTTAAAAATTTAAATCACTTCTTCACTTGCGAAAAAAATAACTGACAGTATTTTAAATAAAGTGGTTGCAAAATGAATAATGAGAGAAAATAAATTGTGTAAAGACTTATGGAAAATGATAATCGTGGATGTTCATCACTTTGAAGAGGGATGCTTGTAAATGAAGCGATCTATGAATCGTACGCGGATATATGTGAGCGGTTCTTTAACATCTACGTCATTCAACGATAAAAGAAAGAATCAAAGGACACCTTTTAGAAGAGGAGGCGCATGAGATGTAGAGGATTCACGAATGGACCAATACAAATGAAGAGAAAAGAAGATGAAGAGTAAGAGAGATGCTAAGAAAAATTTATTTGTCCTCGATCTTTATCCATTTTTACCTACAACAAATTTTCCTTTCTTTTTCTTCAATTTAATTAATTCCTATGGAGATACTGGTTTTAATGATGATAGTTAAACAAGTGAAAAACATATAATTAAATTATTTAACAATTCATTGGATCTGACACTTAATAATTGTCATTTCCATAAAAAATTTTTTTTACAATACTATAAAATGGTGCTAATTGTCAGTATTATCGGATTAAATTAGTATTCATCATGAATTCAAAGAGACAATAGTGTGAAAATTGGTAGGAAATGTATAAACTTATATGAATCCTTTGTAAAGAGATGCTGAAAAAAGAATATCATTCTTCCAGGAAAAGATAATAAAAGCTTAGGGATTTTCTAACATATTAAAACAATTTGAATGAAGCCGAAAATTGATAAATTTATCGCTAAAAAAGTAATAAAATAATGAAGATTTATTTTTTTCAGGAATTAACGTCATAATATTCGAATATTAAATTCAGTTCTTTGTAAGACATGACCTTGATCCTGAAAGCTGATGCTCGTGCCTGTGCAACTTTGTAGAATTGAACTCTTCGCTATTATTTACCGTTAAGGTTCGACTTAGGTCAAGATTATTACTCTATTTGATTGTTTTCAAATGTGATAGGGTAAAGTTGAAATTCGATAAATGTCAAATTTTTTGCCTACTTCCTTGATTTTTTAATTTGAGAGAGTTTACATAATATAATTATATGATCAACATATAAATTTATATAATAGGTTTCCTGTGAAGGCAACTTTTTTTATTATTTTGTTGACTGGAATTTAAAATTGACATGTTTGTGTTATTCTTCCAGGTTTCGGTTCAAAGTCTGTGCATTTTTTTTGAGGAATGGATCATTGGAAAAGTCCGATAGTATTATTAATCAGCTCAAGGAATACCTCATGTCAATAAAGCGTACGTCAGTATGTATAAAATCATTTATTTCAAGTTCAAAGAATTTATGAATATTGAAAAGGGAAGTATATCAATCATCTAAAAAATTTATTTATTTAATTTATTTGTTTCATTTGCATAAAATATTTTCTATTTCACATTTTTCATTACTTTTTAAATTAATTAATTAATGATTAATACAATTATCAATTAATTACTGTTATCACAATACTAATATTTATAAATTATAGCCCTTGAAATTATTTAATCAAATTAATATGAAATTTATTTGTCTTATTACTAACTTTTTGATCTTAAATATCAAGCATCATTGATATTCAAGAACTAGAACATTCTGAAGTAAATTTTTTATCAATTCGTATCATACTTTGTATATAAATAGTCATCATTGAGACCACCAATTTGATTGGCTTGAGAAGTTTCAGAAACTTAGTTATACCAGTTATTAGATTGTTGTGACTAATATTTACTTAATTGTAGCTTTCGATAATTATTGTTTTGGAAATGATTTAATTAATTATAAACAATATTATTATCTATCTAGAATATTCTCAGTGACACAATTCCACTGCCTTAAAAATATTATCCCGTCATCATGAATTGCATAATTAATGAGTATTGCATACTAATATTCTTCATTCGGTTGATAAATAATTAATTGAGGTGAAAGAACAACTAAAAAAAGGGTATTATCATCAGACAAGAAGTAATATGTGATACTCTATCATTTCCATTAGATAACGTCTCTGACAGACGCAAAGGCGTATTGATGATTTGTTTTTGGATTTTTTGTTGTAATAAAAGCTTCTTTGTCCAAAAATAAAATTTTAGATGCTTGAAAAAATATTCTGAAGCAATAGAAGGATGATAAAATTTGAAACGAAATAAAAATAAACTTCTCTCAGTCATTTTACAGTAGTATTAAATTTTTTACTACTTTTCCAGACTTCTTATCATTCGTTTATAGATTTTTTATGCAGTTGTCTTATTTTTTTCCTTTTTTTTTTTTTAATTTGACGTTTCTTTTATAGAACTCGACGTGCTACTTGCCTCATTCCTCCCTGATGCGTTTCTCTACTAACTCGTTTGTGCTAATCGAGTACCAGCGAATGTTTTTCGATCAAGAGTCAGGAAATAAAAGGATTGTTTCTAGCTTAGTAAAACGTGAATGGAATTATGCTTGATGATGAAAATTATCCTTGCTAAAAGTGTAATCAATTTTCACCTTTAGTTCATTTTAGCTTCAGGCGATTTATATGTAGATACTAAACTTTATACCATACTGATTAATAATAAATATTTTGTGATAAATAATTCTCACTATAATCTTTTACTAAAAAAAAATATTATCAATTATGTGTTCATTTACTTGATTAGAATTACACTTCTTGAAAAAAAATTAATTGCATAATTTTTATGACTGTTTCAAAGAATTGAATCAATTTATTTGATTATTCGAGATTTTTTCCATCTCCAATCATTAATAAAGGATGCTTTGATTCTATACTCGAATAAATCAACGAAAAAAAACAAAAGCTATTTAACTTTTATATTTCATCAATGATCTAGACCTGAATTCTTAGCATAACAGACAGTGACTGTAGACTAAAATTTATCTACTATGTATGTAAATAAAATAATCCACTCTCGCTCACACATGTAGGAAGTCTCAGTATGGTAAAAGAGTCTACTTATATTAATACTATGAGCTTACGTCAGGTAATTTATCCCTCAGAGTAACAGGATCTTGGCCCCATTCGAGTTATTCTGAGGTACGCACATTTCCCTGGCAATCCTCATCTATGTGTTTCCGCTTTAGAGTACGCACAATCTTATCAAGAAAATTGGTGAAGGTGAAAGATTACAGTACAAGTTTCTATTATCAGCATCATGCTCGTTAAAATACTTTACTGCTACATTAAGAAGATACTACGCAATGTTCCATCTGATTAACTCAATGTAAAGTTAAGTAGAATTAATAATGTGTTACTATTATCGGTTTATATATCGATATTCAGCATTGCATTAAAGGTTCTCGGAATTTCTACAGAAATGAATATTCCAAAAATCTACATAATTAGATCGACTTTTTGTTCTGAGAACTCGTCGTCAATGTTTATTGAATTCGTTAGCGGATGATGATTATTAATATGCTATCTTCCCTTTATAACAATATTTTAGAAAAAAAGTATTACACAATTTCGAATAGAATATTACTTCCTTCTTTTTTTTTTTGTTTCATTTTATAATCAATTTTTATTTTAAACAATGAGTTATTAGTGAAGAAAATGTCTCATCTGTAACCAAGAGAATTAAATAAATATTAATCATATTCTTATCTAACTATTGATGTTAGGGAATATTCATTTAGTGTCTTTTTAAATGAGTGTCATGTTAATTACTGACTGTTATTAATTAATTGTTCTATAATTTATAATGATTTATTTCACTTGAATAAAATGTAATCGGTTAACTTTTCTATTATTCATACAAAGTGTAATTATATCTTTGTAAAAAAATTTTTTGATGAGATTTTCGAACCACGTCATCATAATTATGTTACGTTTTGTATTAGGTCAGAGTTTAATGATAATAATTGGTATTTATTGTACATTTGTCGAATATAAATTTGAATAAATAAACGACTGTTGATCCTTCTATTGACGTAAAAGTTTCAGTAAATAATTTTTTCTTTATCGTTTTTGCATTCATTAACAAATTGTTGAATTATAGATCTCGAAAATGATGATTATTGGTTCCTGGTGGTGACGAATTGTTTTCAGTTTAGATATTCTTTCTTGTCATTAACTAGTTATTAATGTTTCCATGTACCTGTCAACATAATAGGATATAACATTGAAAATCATCAATAAAAACTTGAACAAACAAAAGTTCATCAGTATTCTTTTCCTGTTGCGTATTCCGATTCTTTTTTTCGATGGTACCAAGTCATCTCAGTTCATTGTCAGTCGACGAAAAAATTCAACTTTGTTACGTAAAGCTTTTGCAAGAACCAATCCTTTGGTTTTAACCACCAATTGTTTGAAGAGTCGGCAAAGTTCTTTTCATCATTGTCAAAACTGTCAATATTAAAATCTAATAGACATCAATGTTCAAAGTTTAATTTATGTCATATCGTTTTTTTCTAACAGACAATGTAAATAATGACAAATGTTTTTCACAAAAGATCATGTTTATTTTATGTATTAAAATAATTATAATAGTTATTTTAATCACACTCTAGCCTTGCTGATAATTTAATTATTTATAGCTGTCGATAGAAAAATCATCTTGTAAATCATCCAACATAAAAGTCATTAGTAAATATTGTTTGTCATTTATTTTAAATTACTTCATAATTTTAACTTACTATATCTGTTATTTTATATATTTATTTTCTCATCAGATGTAAACTTTGTTTACTACTCTACGATTAACTGATTACAAGCTTGAATGGTATTATTTAAACCATTCATCTGCTTTAGAATTTTGCAAAATGTCAAGTCATTTAACAATTTAAATCTCTAAATTTCTAGGTCGAAAAATGAATGATTGATTTCAATAAACATCTGGATAACGTTATTTTCCACTTGTATATAAATATTTATTAATTTTTCCTTACTACTGAATCATATGAATGAAAAAATTAGATTTTGCATTTATAAATTATAAACTATGATATTTATCTTAATCAAGGACATAAGACCATTATTTCATGAAAATCATGTTATTAATCTTTGAAAAATCATATTGTTCATTAAAAAAATCATCATGACATTTTTATGTATTTTATAATTTATTCGTTCTTCATTGAAGAAAATTTATTTATCAATTTAAAATTTTTTAGAAAGTACTTCAACCAGTCAGTGCCACCTGCAGGTATACTGTTTCACTGGGATTCCCAATGTTTGCATTAAACAAATTTATGAAGATAACATTCTCGCTGATACTGCAGAATTCTTCTTTCCAAATGTTTTATTTATTTAAATGAAGTATGTACTTTATATTTAATCACATAATTAAATAGGAAAATAATAATTTTTTTATCAAACAAAAATTTTGTCAAAAAACGATAATAAATAAAGCAATTTTTAACTATTCATTATATGGCTATTTTTTTATATTTTTCAGAAATATTTTTCTTCAGTGCCATTGAAAAATTACATGAGCTATGATCAGATAAATGGAAACAACTGAAATTGTGCTCAACATAACTGGAAATCCTACTCTACAAAAACACATTTAATTAACTTATTTATCTTTGAATCATCAAGTGGAATATTTTGAAAAGAAAGAATAATTACTTGAAATATTGCATAAATGTAAATCGATATCCATGTTGTTCAGCAACTCCAGCACAAACAACATTAGCAGAAGCTCCAATTAAAGTAGCGTTACCTGAAAAAAAGGTAAAAGGTCTCTTAATCAGTAAAACAATATAAACTCATGATATATCTCATGGTAGTAATAAAATTACAGTTGTTAAAGAGATTATAATCACTTATCATTGGCATGATAAAAATCTTACAATAGCGATTGATGCTATCATCAACGTCATTACATCATTGAATCTCGAAATTTCTATAATCACGAGCTTTCTCTTACCTCCCATACAAGCACCAAAGGCCAAGGCCCAAACCAAGGGTTGAAGAGGCAATCCAAGTTCATCATTTTTTGATAGATTGATTACAAGTCTTATCATCATGGTTGTTAAAGGAACATTATCAACAAGAGCACTTGCTAATGCTGATACCCATAGAACAAGAAGAATTGCAGTAGCAAGTCTAGACTCCTCATTAACTGACAAAATAACCCATTCAGTTTGCTTTCCAATCCAAGCAATCAATCCCATTCGTGAAAGCGCCTAAAATATGACTAAATATTTACTCGAACGGTTCTCCAGTAGTGTAAGAGGTCAACGAACAGATAAGCAAAAAAACATGTAGAATAATATTCTAAGAAATTAAAATAAAATAAATCCAGTCTGACCTCCATAAGGATAAACAAGGCCGCAAAGAATATCAAGGTACTCCACTCTACACGTGCCAATATGCCGTCAAAATCCTTTGTATCAGCTGAAATGAGAAGAAGAAAAACACCTAACAAGGTCGTCCAGCCCAGAGACAAGTTTACATATGGCAAATGATGTAGAAAGAACAGTGTAATGATAAACATCAGAGCCAAACTACATTTTACTAATAACCATTTGTCTCGAATAGGATACTAAAAAAATGACAGAATATATTTATATACTTTTTTTTTCATCATCTAAATAGATACTTAATATGGTTATTATTTATTGAACTTACTCTTTCTTGTAATTCTTCAAGTGTCATTTTGTACTTTGCTATCTGTCCATGATGATTTGTCAATTTATTTGATAATGAAGTATACAATCTTTGTACTTTCTTAAGAAGAATTTCACGAACAAGCTTTTCTTCTCGACTATAATTTGACAAACTTGATGCTGCTCTCTGCCAAATAGCTATTTCGTGCCTCAACTCTTGAACGTCTTGAGGTTCATCATATCCTAAATCTTTAGGATCTCGAAAATAAAACCGTAGCTGAACACAAGCTACTAGAAATGCAAGAATAACTCCCATAGACATATGAAGTAAAAATGTGTTAAAATTAATACCCTGAAAATTTTTACAAATATTACTAACATTTCTCGAATAATTTTAATAAAATTTAAAAAAAAAACTATATTTTACCGCATTAATTACGTTATAATTAGATGTGATTATAACGTTTGGGGGATCTCCAACAGGTGTCAGAGTTCCTCCGATATTCGAGGAAATGACGGTGGTGATGAGAATGGGGACTGGGTTTATTTCCATGACTTCACAAAGCCTGATGGTCACAGGGGTCATCAAAAGGACCATGGTTGTATTGTCCAAAAAAGAAGACATAATAGCAGTGAAGAAACAGAGAATAAAAATTAACGGCCACATTTTTCCACCGGTTATCTGTGAGTGATTAATAGCATATTTTATTCATTTTTTTTGATGGATTATTTGACATTAATCATATTTAACTAATCAGCTTAATACTTGGTCAGGGTAATTATTATAAAAAATATCTAAAAAAAAACATTTAAAAATTACTTTATAAGCTATCACTGCCAAGTAATCGAAAATTCCTGTTTCTCCAAATAATGCCACAAGAATCATCATTGAAAACAGGAGTAAAATAGTATCAATGTCAATCCATGATACTATTTCTGTTGTCGTAGGACGCTAAAAAAATGTTTACTAAATCAAAAAACTATTTAAAAAAAGTTTTATTGATTATAATGATTATTGTTAGCGTTATAAAAGATGATTTCAAGCAAATTTACTTGATTACACAAAGCTAAAATTCCAAGAGACATTGTGGATGCAATTATGGCTGCAAAAGCTCGATGAATGACGTCGAAAATAATTAATATGTATAATCCAATGAGAACTATTGTTCCATAAAATATGCCATCATTCTGGTTGATTGGAGATAAATCATAAATAATGGAAACAGGAAAACTCTTCTGTAAATTTGTTTTTAAATTTACAGAAATGGTGATGTTTGTTTGATTATTAAGGCTGTAATTTACGTCGAAGGTTTTCTGTTGTTTTTGAACAGATGTCAGATTTAGCTCTGGAGAAGAAATAGATATGATCCACGGTGTCGATAAGATCTGTAAAGAATTATTTTTTCAATTTTATCATCACCCAGATGAGTAAGAAACAAATTAAAATGCGAATTTGATGTTAATAAATAATACTACTTGCGCACTAGTATTGTCCATGTTGTTCATTTTATCTTTTTCAATCAACTCAAGCCAGATAGTAAGGCTGGATGATGACAAATTAGCATTAGTATGATCTGTTTGCGTGGGAGATATAAATGGACCCTCAAGTTCCAGAGAAACTTGATTACTTATTAGCTGTTCAGCGATCACAAATTCTGAAGTGAGTTAAGGAAAAAATATGACATATGTATAATATTTCATATGAGAAATAGTATACGAATGTGCTCAAGAAAAGCAAATATTAGATGAGAATGAAAGGATACTGTGTACTTGAGAACTTGACACTGATAGCATATGCATCACACTGTGTTTTTCATTCTTGATCATTAACAGTAACTAAAAATAAACATGATTGTTTATTATTATTATCATTATTATTTTATTTATTAAAATTTTTTAATAGAATTTCTAACTTACTGTAAATGTTGCCCAGCAACAAATAAGAAATATTAATTTGCAATATCGAAAGAATGATTTCTGTATGAAAATATTGGACCTTTCATGATGAATAGTTCCATATTCTGTAGATTTTCGTACACTGCAAAAATCAAATTCCTTTTCCAATTAATTTTCTACGATCTAATATATAAGTAAATAAGTCATACTTGAAGTAACTCACTGGGAATATGGAGTTTTATTAATTAAAGGCATCTTTAAAATCACTTTATCACTAATCACAGCATTTAAATTGTTACTATTATTAATATTTAAAATCATATTATGAACATCTTGATGAATATTAATCAGTTTAGGTCTCAGACGTATATCGTCAGGAAGTTGACTTCATATTTATAAAAATTCTTTTGAAGTGGTTGAAAAAATAATGCTTATAGAAGATATAATAATGTATTACTATTATTATTCAATAAATTCACTTGTATTCGCCTGAGGTACTTAGGAGTCTCTAGATCTGTTTCATCTTCACTTGTGTCGACTAGAAAAGACATCTGAAATTAATTGATGAATTATAAATGCAAATCAGACACAGTAAAAATATGTCAACTGATCAATATTATTATTTTTTATTTCTTATAAGAAGTTATTTTAAATATAGATTCTAATTGGAAAAATATATAATATTATTATAATTTTTTGATATTGAATCAATCTGGTGGACCGATCAAAAAACAAGTGATAAAAAGATTTAACAATGAAGGCCGTGATGATTAAATATTTTTATCGATTAATTGATCTTCATTTTTTATTAATTTTTTGTAGTTACAGAGTGATTTATAAAATCTTCAAGATTTTTAAATCTGCTACTTCTTGATCAAAGAACTTTTTCGTTGAATAACAATTTATAAAAAAAATTTCAGTAAATAAAAACATGAGAACAGACGAAGAAAAACAATGATGTTTTTTGTTTTCATTTGAAGTCAACGAATAATATTTTTTTCATAATTTTATCAGTGGACTATACGAAATCAGTTGAATATCTGATCTGTACTGTTATTCTATTTAAAATTTTTATAATTAAATTATTTCTTTTCTATTACTATTCTAACGAATGCATTTCTCTTGATCCTGGAACTCAAATGGATGTAACCATTAAATTCTAATTAAACTAAAAATTTATAATAAATAATGATTATTAATCAACATTTATTGTTTACAGGTTTATATTTTAATATCGAATCTAGACACATTTATAATTCGATAACATTACACAGATTAATCCGGCCATTAAGTCCACAAGCATACGTGACTTATGAAAGCAAATTTATCCACGAAATATCTGGATAGTCATAAATTATCAGTAAAGAATATAAAACATAAATAATATTTCTGAATTTATAAATACCCTAACAAATCTGACAAAAAAGTTTGCAAAAAAAAAATTAGGAAATTCTGAAATAATAAATATTACATAAACATAATTCGTAGAACACACGTGTTGACCCTGACTTATGACATTATTTTATCAATTAAAAAATTTAATCACTACTCTATTTTGGATAATGAATACTTTTTTTTTAAAGCAGTAATAATTACAGTGAAAGTATTGATCAGATATAATTGCAGAATTTTCTATTATTATTCATTTAGTCAATGTAATTGATAAATTGCATCAATCAATGCACTCAATCTCATAGTGATTCATCATTTGATAAATATTTTTTCGAGGTTTTATTTGTTAATTAAAATATCATCTTGAGACGTCGATGATTTCTAAGATACGCTTTAAATAGTCGATTAAATCATCTTTTTAATTGTTATCGATACAATTTAATCATAATTACCTTTTTTGTAATATCGATCATTTTTCTAGCATCTTCTTTCACATTTATGATCAATAAAACAAAAAAAACATGTTAATTAATTAATTTATCATTATTAATTAGCGGAGTTGTTTTTTTTCTGTTTTTTACATAATTAACATTATTGAATTTTTATGACCATATTTTTTATTATACTGAAAATAAATTTAGTTTGAATTATTTACCATTTTATTTTCAAATTTCTGTTATGTCTTGTATAAACAAGAAAAGATAAGTGATGCTGTTGGTACTCTCATCAATTCTCTTGGGTTTTTAAGTTTAAAAGGGTATCTATTAATACGATAATAATATTAAATATTTAAAGTTTATAATGTACATTTTATTAACGGGAAAATCCCATGATACTTACCAAGAAGAGTGGAATATATTATTTATTTAATTGTGGAAATGTAGATCATAGTCTAAATAATAGTTAAATAGACATTATAAGTCATATGCAAAATCTTATCACTGTTACATTTGTTGTTTGTCTTGCAAATCTGCCTCAGGTAAATAAAAAATGTTAGTTTAATCTAATTAGTCTTTTTATAAATAATTATTAAAATTTTATATTGTATATTTAACAACCTTAATCTCATACATGATTTGCAAAAAATGTATTATCAACTAATTGATCTAAAAGATGACTAAAAGTATACATTTTTACACATTTATCCTTTTATGTTGCGAACTAAAAATAAAGACAACTTGGCACAGCCAATATTGACACAATCAAGAGTCATTTGAAAAAATTCTACGAAAGATTATTCACTGGATAACAAGATAATAGTGGTTTCCTTGAGTATTGACTATTGACTCTTAAAATTTATCTTAACAGCGATTGGCTGACTCCCCCACATTAACTGCCAATTTCACCAGTATTTAATTACCCGACTCCGACTGCAATCATCATTCAGATCAAGTGAACAGTTGAAGAAGCAACTGAAAAAAATAAAATAAGTCAAGTTATTAAATTTTATAACTCCACAAATCAAGATGTTTGCAAAAACTGCTGTACTTTTCACTATTGCTACTGGTAAGCATCATTAATTTTTTTAATAATTTATCAAAACTGGTATTTGATAATAAATTTTAGAAATAAAATAAATATGAAATCAATCATTTTTTTTGCAGTCCTAATTGTTGGAGTATACTCAGCAAGTATTAGCAATGATGATTATATCGTTGTTGATGAAGCTCCTGAAAGGTGTGAAGTTGGAAGGAAGTACAAAGTAGATTGTAATACCTGTACTTGTTATGAAGAAACTTCTCTTGCTTGCACAAGGATGAAGTGTGTTCACCCTCCAGAAAAGAGATCTGTATCAGATGATGTTCCTCAAGAGCCATGGGGTCGTAAGTATCTATTTTGATACTATTGTTCAATTTGCAATGAATACATTTTTATATTAACTTATGTGTAATTTATTTTGTTTAAAAGTATAACTAATTCATGACATATCATTGAACTTTGTTAACAGCTCTATGGGTTCCCGGAACTCCTTGTGAACCTCGTCAACGATTCTACAGCGAGTGCAACAGTTGTTTATGTACTCCTGATGGAAGAAATGCTGTTTGTACAATGAAAGCTTGCTTCCGACCTTCAGTGTCTGCGTAGATAACAGTTTTTATAAAATCAAAAATTTTTTAATAACAATCAATAGTGATTGATATAATGATAAATATTATTTATTTATTAATTGTTAAATATAAAACTTCTCATTTTGAATATTTTTCGCAAATTTAAATTTTTTTTATGCTGTAATGAATATAAATTATTTTATATTTATAATTGTATTTTTTATAGTTGATAAATAAACTTTAATCAACAATAATACTCTGTTTAAAATTAAACCTTCCTTTTAAAAAAACTGTAAAAGGTGTAAACAATTTTTTACTTTATAAAAGAAATTAATTTTTAATTTCAAATAGTGCGCTCTTTTTAATTAAAGTTTTAGTACTTATATAAAGCGCTGGCATCGTTTCCCCCACTATCGATTGTTGCGACGGTAGCGCCAAGTTGACTGTTGTAAACTACGATTCGAATTTTCAAGTTTGTGCATGACGCTAACGGTCAGCGATGCTCTTGATTGTCTATTGTGTTAACAGTTTGGATTTTCGTAGAAGATTTCGTTATTTTCTTGACTTATTTATTGACTAATAACAAATAACAATAGAATAAAATATTTTAGTTAACTTGGTAAGTGATCTCTTTTATATAATCTACTCAATAATTAATAAATAGTGTTGTTCATGGTATCTTGGGTTATGCTGTCAAAGAAACATCATTAAAAAGACGTTTATTTTTCAGAGTTTTTATCTTAGTGTCACGATGGTGTTAAATAAACGAGATTTAGAAAAAGCTTTTTCACCTAACAAAGTTAAAAGACTTGTTAAAAGACCTGGAATAAATCCAGCTAAGCCAAGCACAAGTGGAAGTACATCAATGGTGCTTAGTGATGATGATCAGACAAGTATTAAAGTTGTAGTAAGAATTAGACCGCCAAACGAAAAAGAACAACAAGAAAATTTCCGAAATGTTATCAAAACAGTTGATACAAAAATGTTAATCTTTGATCCAAAAGAAGAGGAAAATCCTTTTTTTTATCGAGGCATCCAGCAAAGGGGTAGAGATCTTTTGAAAAAACAAAACAAGGAACTTCAATTTATGTTTGATCGTGTATTTGATATGACTGCCTCTAATGCAGAGATTTTTGATGGGACAACGAAAGAAATAATTTCAGACTTACTTGAAGGATATAATTGTTCAGTGTTTGCATATGGAGCAACAGGAGCTGGTAAAACTCACACGATGCTAGGAAAAGATGATGATCCAGGGATTACCTTTCGGACTATGGCAGAATTATTTACTCAAATTGAAGAACAAAGTGAACATCGAGACTTTAATCTTGGTGTAACTTATTTAGAAATTTACAATGAAAATGTTCAAGATTTATTAAATAAAAGTGGTCCTTTAGCATTGAGAGAAGATGGTAGATCAAGTGTTATCGTTGCTGGATTAAAAATAAAAACAATTAACAGTTCTGATGAACTTTTATCACTTCTTGCATACGGAAATAAAAATCGAACACAGCATCCAACTGATGCTAATGCTGAAAGTAGTCGTAGTCATGCTGTTTTTCAAGTTTACATCAACATTACCAATAAATTAGATGGTCAAGTTAAACAGGTAAAACTTTCTATGATTGATTTAGCTGGATCTGAAAGAGCTTCGGCCACGGGATGTAAAGGTGCAAGACTTAAAGAAGGTGCGAATATTAATAAATCTTTGCTCGCACTTGGCAATTGTATAAATAAGCTTGCAGAAGGTATTAAACATATTCCATACAGAGACTCCAAATTAACTCGTCTATTAAAAGATTCTCTGGGTGGTAATTGTCGAACAGTTATGATTGCTAATATTGGACCATCAAGTTTGACTTATGAAGATACTTATAATACTCTTCGATATGCTAATAGAGCTAAGAAAATTAAGACTCACATGAAAAAAAATATTATATCATGCGAAATGCATGTTACAGGGTATATCAAGCTTGTGGAAGAGCAAAAGAAAGAAATAAATTTATTAAAGCAAAAATTAGCTGCAATCGAAGGAAAATCAACGCCGAAAAAATCATCAGAATCTGAAAATGAAGAAATGAAAAAAGAAATAAAAGAATTGAAGGAGAAAATGATTGAATTACTAGAAAGAAAACGATCATTAAATGAGAAAATTCTTGTACTACAGAGTAGTGATAAAATTCTTTGCTGTAGAATTCAACATAAACTTGCGGCTGATAAACGTTTACAAAATCTAACAATGAACGTTGATTTAATAATTGAAGAACAAAATGCAAGCGGGAAATCACGGGTCAATAAATCTCTTCTTCATTTTAAACGACAACGAGACATTGTTAAAACACAAATGGTCCAAGTTTGGAATGAACTTCAAGAAGTTGAGCAAAATATCAATACTCTTAATAATGAAATAAGGACAAAAGGTTTTGTAGATAAATTAATAGATACGTGTGCATATCAAAAAAGTCTTTTGGATTGTCTACGATCTCAACAGCAATATGAACATGCGAGGAAAGTTTGCAGTCTTCAACTTTGTGAATTAGAGTCACTGGAGACGATTAATAAAATGACAAGCAGCACCTTGCAATCATACTACAATATGATGAGAGGCTATGGAACAATGACAGATAAAATGAAAGCTGAATTCAAACACTTAGTAAAGTCTTTGGAAGGAGTTAGGAATATTAAATGGGCTGATGCCGATTTAGGAAATTCTCAAGATTCCTATAGTCTTACATGTCTATCCATTGATCAACTGTTGGATCCAATAAACAATGAAATGCCAATACATTCTGCTTCCTATTTAGATGAAGATGGAGGGCCAATTTCACCAAATTCTGGGAACAACATTGTGGATAAAACTTTCAATACTTCACCCAGCAGTGATCTTTCTAAAACAGAAGTTCTCGATTCGACAATTACTTTTAGTGATCAGGATTCACCTACAGTCAATGTCACCATGGAATTAAATGGAAGTACAGGCATAGATGTAGCTAAACTAAATAATACATTCAGTTTAATAGAAAATAAATCAAAGAAAAGAGTTTTGAATGATAAATCAGCTATCGGAAGCAAACCTCCAGCTAAACAGCCGCGACGAATTTCTCCTAAAACGAAAACTACCTTAACTCACACTAATGGCATCGCTGGAAAAGAGAATAAAAGCACACAAAGACATATTACATCTATGACTGCTAAAAGTGTTTCGATTATAAATAAATTGAAGACTGATCGATCCAAACCCGTACCACAATTATCAACAGCTAATTTAGATCCTCCATTAAACACTTCTGATTCATTAAAAGCTGTAAGAAGTAAAGAAAGACGTGGAATAAGTGCATCTCATCCGTACCAAAAAAATGTTAAACCGAAGTAAGTTCAATGTATCGAAGAATCTCAAGTTATAACAAAAATCTTTTTTTTCAATTTTCTTTTTATAATATTAATTTATTAATAAATGCTCTTTTAAAGTTTTGATAATAATCATATACTAAAAATGTTACCATGAGAATGTGATTAATTAATAAGCTGCTATCATAACAATAAGAAGCATTGAAAATATATTTTTGATGATAAACCAGGCGTAAATTTATATTTGTACGCTTGAAAAATGAATATATTATTATAATAGAATCTGGAAAATTCCGAAGTGACCAGTTTCTTTTGTTAGTATTGTGTTTTTTCTTTTGTACTTAATAAGATTATGTATTTCAGGGTAAATTCGACATCGAATACATCGCGAGTTCCTTGGTAAACATTTAGAGGCTAAGTTTAATAATATTTTTTAACATTCATAACAATTTAAATATATTTTATATCAATTATTTACAAATGATTATTAACATTAATGGTAAGAACAAACTTTTTTTGATATCGAGTTGACTATAATTATAAAATGAATAAACAAAAAGATATTTTAAATAAAATTGTAAAAATAGATTTAGAGAATTGTTGATACAATGAACAAGTATTTCAAAAATGTAACTGCCATGACAATTTTTTTTAGCTAATTTGGATTGTTAATTACAAAATTAATATTATTGAGAAAACTACAATTCGAATCAGTTTAAACTTAATTAGTCTGACAAAATATCAAAACGACGCTGAAAATGACCAAACTATTTGGAGTACATAAAAAATTTAATAAGTACTATACTTTTATTGCTAAAGAGATAATATTTTTATACTGTGTACAATAAATACTATTTGTCGCACAAAAAAATTTAATAATTTATTAATTAAGTTTCAAAGAAACATAATTATAAATTATATATTAATCGAGACCAATAAATAATTTTAATACAATATTATTAAATATTTTAATTTTGACAGAAGTGACAATTTTGTGAATTTTTTGTTGTTAAATTATTAATTATTTCACTCCTTAATGTGTTATAATACATTTATTATGCACCTTTTTATGTAAACTAATAAAAAAAAAAATTTATATATAACAAATTATTATTTTTATATGTTAAATATTAACTAACAAATATCCACATGTATTTAAAATTTTCCCTTACCAACAAATGGTAATAAATGAATATCATTTTTATTACAAGATGGCGTTTATGGCGGCCAAAGAGGTCGATCAATCTCGAGACGGCATCAAACATGTGTTTGTGTACCTTTCTCTCTAGTACAAATTCTACGTAACCGCATTCCAGTTTATTATTAAAAAAAATACATCAATTGTCTCCATATTGTATAGTGTATTAATATTCTAATAGTATTATAAAAATTAAATAATGTACGATTAAACATAATCCTGATCAAAGGCCACATTTATCAAAAATCGTTACAAGAATGGTGTAGTGACCGCTTAGAGACGTTAATTACAATGCATGATTATATTTTCGTGTGTCTTCGGATTTACTTAAAATAATCCAGGAAATAAGACATCCGTTCAGTTAAACCGAGATAACTTCAACGAGGACACTGAAAGAACTACATTACACAAAGCCGAGAAATATTTAGATCTGAATACATGAGTAAACAGAGTGCAGTGTTTATAGCATAGATAAGCGACAGAATATTCTTTGCCAAATTTATGCATACGTATCTAAATTGATTGGAAATTTTGAGTAATTGTCTCCTTGAAGATTTTCATGAATTATTTGAGTATGCTACGCATTTATTCATATATAATATTACATGATATGTCACAATGTCCTTGAATCATAACAAAAGTAATGATAACGACAAAAATATAGAGACACAAGTGATTGCTGGAAAATTATAATAATAAAATAAATTTTTCGGATCTAACCTAAAAGTTTAATCGGTAAGTCATTTATTACAACGTTTCACGTTAATTTGATTACTTAATTATCACTAAGAAGGTTATTGTGACTACATATCTCACATTTTATTATATCTTATCATTTTTCTTTGTTCTAACTAACTTAAGATTTTCTATTATCAGACAATTAAATATAAAAAAAAAATTATTCGTTCAAGTAACATGAAGTAATCATTTACAGAGAAATAATTTTTACAGATGAGGATATAAATTGTTGAGTAAAATCATGTTTAATATTTACTTCTACAAAAAACACAAAAAAAATAATTATGCAATATGAGAATATCCTTCTTTATTTATTTTTAAAACAGTTTTGAAACAAAAACTTGCTTTAACGTACATCAAAAATCGTAATCAATAACTTGATGAAATGTATTGTAATTTTGAAATTCCACTTTAACAATTGATATTGTGGTTTCAATTATATTTATTTATCTCTATCATATCCGCATTGGCTCGTGTTTTCTATCAGTGAATGGTTAAATCGTTTAATAAGTGATCATATGACTTTTATATACATTTTCATTAGAGACTATTGTATATCCACACATTCATGGTATTTTATAATTTACAAAGTGTTGTTTAGAAATTTTTTTTCTTATTTCTAGTGCGTTCATTGAATTTACACGCAAGGATACTTTAAAAATTATCAAGATGTAAAATTTGAACATTAGCTGCCAAAAAATCCTGGCTGGCAAAGTAAATTTCATGTGAATTAACAACGTGAACACATAAAGAAAATAAGCATGAAGCTCGTTCCAGCAATTTATCTTGGATCTACGGCTATTGATCGTCGATTCAGCAGTCCTATGCTACCATGGATCACGAAAGAGATCAAAAGAAGGAGCAGTCATCAACGAGTACGTATAAAAATATGAATATTCATAACACTTTTTCATCACACTTTTGTTTATGAATATTCAACACTTTTTTGAATGCTTCTACCCGCAAATATTTTCACGTAAACAAATAAATATTCTTAAAAACCTCTAAGAAATTATTTCTCAATGCAGTAAATTTTTATTAGTTTTCTATTAAATTTTTTTTCTTTTCAAATTAATTTTAATCTACTGAGTAGTCATTTTTACTCCAAAATTAATATCGTTTGTTTTTTTTTGAATTTCATTTATGTAATTTAAAAAAATATGAAAAGTAATCGTTAAAAAATTATTATGGACTATAATGTATTAAATAAAATGCACGGTCATGATGATAGAATAATTTTCCTTTTAACAAACATTCATGAACAAAAAATTTTCGCTTTCTTTGTGATTATTATGGCAACTCAGAAAATAATAACAAATTTTTTTACATTCCTTATATACAAATAAAAAATGTCCCATAATCATCATCTCATTATAAAACCGCCCTTTAACTCGAGGTCATTCATGCTGGGAGCGAATGAGGCTGCAAATTGTGGCATTAAATTCTATACCTGGTTTCCTCGCGTGAGTTACTTTCCTCAGATAGCACATAGAATCTTATAGCATGCACTGGGAATAAGTATGTAACAAGAGCATGAACAAGTGGATATTTTTTATCTTTCTCTTACTTTGTTTTTCTTATATTACTTTTTCACATTCCAAATATATTTATGTATTTTTATAAACCTTCTTTGTTTACTTTCAGTTCTCACATTAGTAAATTTCATTAATAATTATCATCATAAATTTTCATCAAGTAATAAACACTTGCAAATAATTCAGTAACTATAATGGAATTAAAATTAATTATGAACAGACTTGAATCGTAATTTTTCCTCATTATTATCAGCTTGTACTTCATATTATTGTAAAGAAAAGTTAATTTAATAGTAAAGAGACGTGTGAAAAAATTGTTATTATCTAACTTATGGTATTTTATAAAAAAATTTATTTTTGTAATGTTATTCAGTAAAAACAACAACGATTCATAAATTATAATCAACTTCCATCTTATCTACTGTGCGAGCATATGTTCAAGAACTCTCACTTTTTATGTTCTGTCAAATTAAATATTCAATAACTACAATTGATAATTTATTATCTAAATATATTTGCAGCTCTTTCAAGTATTATTTCTCTTTTCAATTAACTATGTAAAACTGTGAAAAGTAACCATACAATCGTATTCTTTATCTTGAAGTTTAAGATTATGTCCTTCGAACTATTCTATTTATGATTTTTTTTTTATCGTTTTAACATGAAGTATAATTTTTGCTACAATCAGTCTAGTACAAGAACAGGGTAATCTGAAAGAGAAAAATTACGTAAAGGTTTTTATAGCTGTCGATAAACATTAGACGTTAACGTCATTATTGAAACCCGCAGACGTAAGTAAGAAGGCTGATAACAAATATAAATGATTGAAATTTTTTAAAGAATATGTTTGAGAAAGATGATGAAAAAAAAATTGATTTATGTAGCATTTCAAACAATAAAAATAATTTATTTTTTACGCGATCTTATGAAATACTGAATTATAGTTTTTAAAATATTCTATTCTATTTATTATTCAATTTTATTTAATAAAACGATTAATTAGTAACTCATCAATTTTATATTAATTTTAAAAAACAATTTTTCCAGGTAAATTTACTAGTGGCTTCTGGATATATTTCTGCATATTTAAATGATAAGGAGCAGCCATTATTTAGACATTCACTTACCGGACCGTCCAAGCCTCAGCCACTTTCAGCGAATACTTCGGATTCCAAGGGTGGAAATTTCTTATATCTTATCAAAGGAGATGATGGACTTTATTATTATCATTTATTCAAAGTTGAAAATGCAGAAGTCGTAAGTAGAAAATTTATTTTTTCTTTAAAGAAGAAGTGCAGAAAATTAGATTTATTTTTAAGTATGACAAAATTGTTTATTCTCAAATTTATTCTTGAAATGTCCTTCGATTTATCACCATTGATGGCTCCTCTTGTTGACGTTTGCCATTTTAATAGAATCACTTTATTCTTGTTGAATGTTACACGCGTTTATATAATCTTTTCAAAACGTTTTATATTCCGGTGAATGAGATGACTCGAACGTGACGTTTTATCATTTAGAAATAGATCTACGACGAATCGTGCTAGACAGTTTGGCAACTGGCAGCTTAGATATTCCTTTTGGCAAGGGCTCATTTGATTGTTAATTTAAAAAATGATTATCCAAGTAGTTGAGCTCGTTAGTTAATTATTCCATAATGAAAATTCTCGAAAATGAGTAGATTCATTAATATCTTTATCTAATGTGTTATAAAACATCTTTTTATTCAATTTAACAAAGAAAATTTTTTTCACCAACAATTTCACTTTATGACATGAATTACGTCATCGAAAACGTTTTCTTTCTACTTTTAATCGTGCAGAGTTTACAAATAATAGTTAGCAGGTTGTTGCAAAAGTTGACAAATAAACTACGTAATGTAAAATTGTTTTTTGAATTATTTATGAAGGTTGCTTATTAAGAGAACTAGGAAATGAAATGTTATTGTAACGCAAAAATATTAAAATAAAATTCGTATTTATTGATATGTTTTCAGTGTCATTTCGCAGAGTTTGTTGATTGATACTGATAGACATAGTACTAAATATAAATTTTATATCTGTGTCTTTAAATGATGATCCAACTTCTTGGCTTAGCTCTTTGACCTATCCATAGTTACTTATAGTCGTCCCAATTGGTTGAGATCACCTCGAAATAGATACACGTGTCTTGCACACTCCTCACACGTGAACCGGTGACCAACTTCAGCGTGGCCAGCCACGCAGACTAGAAAATTAAAATTTTCATATCATTCACTTTTCTCAGGAATATTTTGACAAGTATAATTTTTAGAAAATCTTTATTTAACTTAAATTATTCTTCTTTAAAGTCACAACTTCAGTAAGTTCTTGTGAATTAATATTTTCTAATGAAATAAATTGAATTATAAATTTATGAAAATGTTTCAAGTTCGTTAAAGTAAATCTAACTTAATTTTATAAATCACATGAGAAATTTTTTTTTTTCCCTCTAAATCAGTTAATAATCTCAAAAACGTGAAATGCCATTTTAATGATTAATTATACTATTTGATTATTTGTGATATGAATATTCTTTTATTACATACAGTGAACAGGAAGAGCTCAATTGTGAAATCATAAAATAATATTCCCTCGAATACTTGAAAATTTTATGTTATAGAGAATTATATGTTGTATTGTCAGTCATAAATCAAATATAATCAACAATGCGTAAGACAAATTATCACGCTTATCGAGCGGAAGGATTACAAAATTTTCAAATTATTTATTGGAATTTATTAATTTTATGTTCAACAATTATTTAGTAGTTCATTTGTCTCATCAAAGTGCTACTTAGAAATAATAAGAGAAGTAATTAAAAACAATTAAAAAAAATATTATAGTGAATAAAATATTATTCATTGGTATTTTGTGAGTGTAGAATAAACAGTTATGTTTTCATATGAGATTGAATTATTGATTCTGTTATAACCTGGTAGTTAGAGCGTAAAACATTTTAAAAGTCATTGCAACAATCAGTTTGATAATATCAATATTTGCTATATATAAAGTGCTTATTACTTAATTATAATTGTCGCATTGATTGAATATACATTCTTTCTATGATATTAGTAATTATAAAATGAATTTTATTGCATAACAAGTTTGGTTGATAGAAAAAAAATTCTTATTAGAAATGTAAACGAAGTCAAACATCTAGTTTTATGAAACCGATAAGAGTATTGAACTCAACAACCTGCATCGATAAACCTTGCATACATTAAGCTTTATTCGAGTCATTTATAAATTGTATATCCACGTGTTGGACACGTACAATATGATGTTTGCAGTGTCAAGCTGCAGAAAATGAGCTATAGGTAATATTGGCTTTTCTCTTGGTTGTATGTTGGCTCTTTTGACTTGAGTGTCACATCTCTCAAGTGGTAACCAATCATCCAACTGATTTCTTTTGCCCAGTAGCCAATCGTTGATTCTTGTTTGTACATCCACGAATGAAGCATGCACCGTTAACTGGTTAAAACGTTGTGACTATTATTAAATTCGTCCTCAACGTCTTCGTCAAATGATCAAACGACATTGATTACTAAAATCATTTACTTAACAATCACACAAATGGACACAAGTATCACCAATAAGTTAATGAGAAATAAATCTCCTTATAAAGTTTTTAAACAACGTGACAAGTTCAAAAGTTTAAATTTTAAAATATTGAGTAATTAAAAAGTGTAAAGTTTTTTTTTTTATTGTTATTTTATTAAAGTTTGTATCTGTGAGTGTTTTGTACTTAAACAGGTGTAAGAGTTGAGAGAAGAACATTTTCTTAGTAGAAGAAACATTTAAATACTTGGGAATGATAAAAAGAATAATACAACATAGTTGAACGTACTCACACGAATTATTATTCCCATCGTAATACTGTGAGTATATATATGTGTTGTATTTTGCATAAGTTCTTCGTGATTCTACCGAGTTTTTAATCGAGGATAACAATCTTTACTGCAACATATTATGAGGAGGGAAAAGGTCGTCTAGTTCACTGTCTGAGAACTCAATTCTACTTCATAAGTAGTTGAGGATTTTTTTTTACCAAGTCCTTCAAGTTTATAAATTTGTGTAGTGTCCTCGGACATTCAAAATCGGGTTAATGTTTACTACTTTTTTTTTATAAGTCAACAAAAAATAATAATATTTTTAAAGAGACAAAAATATTTACATCGTGATAGTTTTGTTAATGTACTTGTTATTTGAAGGAAAAATTTTGTTGTGATCCAATTGTTGACTTCATCTTCTGAAATAAATTTGTAATATTCATTACTGAAAATCTTTATTTATAATTATTGTTTATTTATTATTGACCAAAATCTATCAGTCAACAATTTTTATATTTGTAAATGTGAAGATTTGTTGCATTCTCAGCGTTCTACTTTTAAGTGTATTTCTTGGCTATTTTTTATTAAGCAAACGTGTTGAACAAGAATGTTAGAGCCACGTTAGCATTTTATGCAAAGACTAATGAGTTATTTCAATGTGTTACATGCAAAGAAGTGGGTTGATGAATCTCAGTCTCATATCACGTCTAAGAAATTGTTCCGATTTCACTTTGACTTTAATCCAATCCTTGTAATCATCATCATTTCCATGTATTTTTCTTATCAAGTTGCAAGGAAGCATACCTAAATCGTATAAGTAACTGGGTCGACAGGTGAAAAGATAAAATTCAATGCTTTAGTAATTTTAGACTTAGCAAGTTGTCTATGGTCAAGAATCTTTTTTTCTTCTTATTTCAACTCTCTTGTCTTCATTTTAACTTTATTTGTATTTAGAAGGTCGTAATGGCTTTTCTTCTTATATAACACTTAATGTTTCCCTCAGTACATGCACATATACTTATCAGGAATTGTTCCCTGTGGCTATTATTACGTAAATACGATGGTCCGTATACTTGTGCACGCAGCGTTGGTGGTTTATTTTGGATCTGAATGACAAAGATATGATGTGACAGTATATTGCATCTTGTAACTAAGTACTGCTTTCAAGAAATTTATTTAACAAAATTTAAAACATTTATAATATCTAGGAGTATTTTCATTTGATTAAAAACATAAAATAAATATAAAATTCCATTATATGATAATAACAACAATTGAAATAATTTTATAGATAATTAATATTAATTAATATAAATATTTTTTTAATTACTAGAAGTATATTCACTAATAGAAATGATAAAAATAGTTCTTGCTGTTTGACGATACATAAATTTTCCTGTCTTTATATCAGAAAATAAGATTTAGATAAGCACGATTTGATGGCTTATTTTTCATTTGCGTCACTGACAAGATTTGTTGTAATAAATTTTCAATATAAAATATATTTCTACAATCTCGAGAATAACTAAAAGATTGGAAAAATTTCCTTTACAAACAACTTAATATTGTTAGAATGTAAAAAAAAAAAAAAACGATCATTATTAACATAATTTATTTAGTTGAACGATGGATCTTTTTTTCATTCAAAAAATAAAACGTAGATAAGCAGGAAAATCAAGTTCATGGCCTAACAACCCACGAACATTAATAATTGTCTTGACGAGAGCAAGAACAAGCATTTAAAAAAATTTCCAACAATGACCGGGTGCATAGATATGTTTCGTAATAGTCCATAGTCTTCTAGGAAGTCTTCTTTTATTTTCATCAATTGTATACTTGACTCTTCTGGCCCTGGATATGCGTTTTGTCTCTTCTCGAATGTATTAAATTGATACTCGTGCAATCATCATTATTTAAAAAAAGGAAAAACAATATTAAAAACTCAAGTATTGAGGATAAAACACAAAGAAAACATTTTCAATAAATTTCCAATAGACCTAAATACTTAACACCTCTTTTTTACCCTTAGTCTATTGTAGCTTGTTGTCATTTCTTGTAAAACTTCAACTAAAGTTTTTTTGTACTGATAAACCGCTTTCATCTTTTCAAGCTTCAAGATCAATAAAAAAAGCTTTTTTATATACTTTTTTATATTATTATTTACACAGTCTTTGATTAATTGTTTTTCGTTATCAGCAACGAATGTTTCTTACGTGAATTTTATTATTATGACAAATATGAATAAACAGTAAATTGTAGCAAGGAAACTATAAACAACTAAAAAATTATTTTTAATAAAAATAAAATAACTCTGGAAAATAAGTTATCAAAGTTACACTATTAGGGATAAAATTATTTTCAAGTTTATTTTGTTTAAGAATTTTCTGGTATGTCTTCTACATGATGAAAATCTAAACAGACAAGAATTATCACCTCATGTTAAACTGCAACTAGGCGTTATGAATAATTAGAATAATTATGCTTTCAGAATAATAGATGAGTTTGATCAGTAGAGATCAAATAAAACTATCATAATAATCAACAGATTATCAATATAATCAAAACAATCTAATGAGAACAGATATAGTTCTACCTTCAATTCCATATTATTATTCTTTACACGAATTCAATAAATTCAATGACAAACAAAAGTAAAACTAACATTTGATTAAAAAAAAATTCTAAAAAACAGTTTAATACTAAAATATCTTATGTAATAATGTGACTATTGCTTATTTTTTTTTTTACAGAACAATTGTACGATAATATGAGGAAAAAATTTGCATCTCAGAAGAAAGTATTTGAAACTTGGAAAATATTTTCTCGAGTTTGCTTGTCTGAATTAAATTGAGAAACTTTTGCTTTTTTTCATATTTATAAATTTTGAGAATAGTTTGAAATTTTTTTTCAAAATTCTAGATAATTCTGGATATCATTCGATTGTTTAGTGATTAGCATTGCTGTCAAAAAGTTCATTATAACAAATTTGTACAAATAAATGAGGACTAATTTACTTTAATCAATTGATTCGTTGTTAAGTATACAATAAACATGATAAAGAAATTCTGAAGATATGTATGAAAGTGTAGTGATAATATGTTCATTATGGTCTGTTGATTTTGTAAAAGCCCTCGAGGGCTTGTTCTCTTTTTCCCTCGGGATAAATGAGCATTTACGTCACCTAAGCATTGTAATCTAACTAAGTGTCATGCAAATAGTTCACAACAATTTGTCATTTATTTTGATATCAAAGGAAAAAAAAAATAATTACATTAATTTAATTACTTGATTGTAATTGATTCATGAGAAAAAAAAAAACAAATTTATTGAGGTAACTGACCGTAACTCTGTCAATTAAATTTTGCCTTTTGTATTTATGATATGTATATGATAATGACGTTATGTAAAGTTGATGAAATTGTGATCATCTACCTGTACAGGAAACATATTAATACTAAATTGAAATTATTAACAGTATAATTATTTACAAATAACATTTTCTTCAGTTAAATAAATATTTATAGAATAATTTAATTTAAAAATATTTTAATTTTTGGAAATTATTTTAAAATTACTTAGATTTATAATTTCTAATGGATTTTTAATCTTTAAATCACACTCGAAATATATTCATTTTCCATTTAGTCATTTAAAATAAAATTTCTAAAATTTTTTCCAAAAAATAGAACGTCCAAGTTGCCATTCGAGAGTTCTAAAGTAGACTATAATTTACATAATCATTTAATTATCAAAATTGAATTTAAAAAAAAAATTATAACAAATATATGAAAAATGAATTCTTAGATAATTTCAGAGTAGTGACTTTCGGTTAATTTTTTCTTGTCTCTCTTCTTTTACCTCTGCGTGTCTTTTATCCATGTGACGTTTTCATATGTGAGAACACGTAGAACACGCAAGGCAACTCTCAGAGACAGTCGCGGTATTCTGACACGCCAGTCTGTGTCTATACGTGCTCCCTTCAACAAGGGACATTACTTTCATACTCTTGAGAAAACCATCAAACAATAGGATTAATAAAAATATATTTTTTTTAATTAATTAAATTTTTTATAAAAAATTTTTTTCTTCAATCCAATATACTTTAGTGTAATTGACAATATAAATGTGCCAATTTTTAATATTTTTCGAGTGATTTTAATTGTTTAGTTTCGGAAAATGTTTTTATAAAAATGTGGGTGCAAAAAAGCGCCAAAGTTTTATATCAAAGTGAATGACATATCTTAAAAGTTTATTTGTAAATAATATGATAGATATTGATAAAAATTGAAAATTTTTCAAAAAAGATATTTTTTAATAAACGATGATTACGGTGCCAATGTCTTCATCTAGTCCTTATGTCACAATCTCATCACATAGTGATGCTAGTACTCTCAGAAAAAGACCATCGGTAAGTTGATGATCTTGAACTCATGACTTAAAGTTTCTTCCGTCAACAATAATAACATTTATTACTACCTATAGAAAATTACAGTTTTTTTTTAAGATAGATAATTGAAACATTGTTACATATGTCTTTTTTTGCATAATTGATCATTTATGAAATTATTTTTTTAAACCTACAGATTATTAGGGACAAAGAATATGAAATAAACTTTGAAATATTCCATTATTCATCTTCAGTTGGGAAATTTTTTAATTTTTTTTCGAGTACATATGATAAATCACTATGTGCAAATTTATTGTATAATTACTATTTTCCTTTTTTTATCTCAAATGAATATGCTAACAACATGTTGAACACTTGAGCAGTATTTTAATAATCTAAAGTCAGTATTTATAAATTTTCTTAAATAAAAAAAGAATAAAATTTTAAATATGATCGTTTATTTAAAGTAATGTAAAATATTCTTCATAGTAAACTCGAAAGTTCCTTATGCTATGAAGCTAAAGCCAAGAGCAAGAGAGAGATTGTGCGTTTCTAAATTCGTATCGACCGTTTTTAACGACGAGGAATTTAAAGACTACATACCTTAGTGTATAGTCTTGGTTGTTGTAGCAGTTTCCATTTAATTTTAATCGTCATTGTATGTATAAATATCATTCTTGAGTATTGCAAAAATGTTACAATAAAAAGAATGAATTAATCAAATGAAGAGAAAATAAAACAATAAAAAAGTTATAAGTCACTTATTTGTTTGCAACCATTGTTATTTCAAGGATAAATCTCAAGACAATTAAACACGCAGTAATACAAGAATGACAATTCTTGGACTAATATTAACTATTAATTGTTCAATTGATATTATTTAGATATTACATGAAATGGTATGATGAATCTGTTAGGGATGTTCATCTATTGATTAGTAATCCTCAATATGTCATGTGAAGCAATGAAATTGAATCGATGTCACAACACAAATTATAGGATAATGAATTTTGCTATGAGTAGGCATAAATGGAGGTAACTATAAATCAAATCTTTGAAGTTTTATATCTGTTTATAAATTTAATAGATGACTTAGATTAACTTAATCTGGTTTTCATGTATCTTTACTTCTAATGATATGTCATATCAATTTATAACAAAGTTATTTGAATGAAATATAATTGAATAATTCTTAGAAGTAAAGAAAAAATTATTAATTAAGTTAAATCAATTCTGATGATGAAAACTCTCTATTATCTATTTTTTGTTCTATTTAAATTTGATATCTACATAGAATCCCAGCAAACAGAAGTCGTTAATGGCAGCTGGTGATATTGTAGGAGGGAAGAAATGATAGGTAGATTATTAAATGTTGGCCATATGCAAGTTTCCTCGTCAACATGCTTGATAGTAATAAAGAGCTTGTATATAATTGGATAAAAGAAGCCAGTTGGTTCAATGATTTTTTCTGTGTCATCAACAATCGCCACAAACTTGTCTTATTTTCTCTTGTAAACTAAAAGCTATGGATTCTATAGAGTTTATTGGCCACTTGATAAAATACGTGTTCTAATTAAAGGCTTGGCGAAAGGGACTCAATCAATAGGTCAGAGAAACAGACTGTTATTTATCACTAGCTCTCTAGGTAAAATTTTCTCAATAAAACATTGAAGATGAAGTTCTTCCAATGTATTTCATCTACCACGAGAGTTAGAATGTTTCTTTGAATTTATTTTAGGTTTGTCCTTCAATGAACTGAAGTGTTTTTAGTTGCGAAACTAATTTTGTTTATCAATAACGAAAGAAGTTGATTTGTAGATCATCATTAATTATAATGAAAAATCAACGATGCTAAAATTAAACTTTACTTTTAAGTGCAGAAATACCAATTAAATATATTTTTGTCGTTTGAAAGTTATTTTATAATTGTGAAATTTTTGGTTTTAGGTTCAAGAACTTTTTAACGCCATGAAGGAACAGTCATCATTAGCAAAAATTAATCGAGATCGTGATCTTCAACGGTCTAATAGCAGTACAGCAGCCTTGAGCATAGGTGCTGATATCTCTCCAAGTTCTTCGCACTTTTTTGAAGTGCTGTATATCGCAAAAATTCAATTAGCTCATCAAAAAGTACCGGAGTCATTTATTGACGATGCTATGGTTAAACTCAAGGCTCATGGCTTGGAAAAATCCAAGTCCACTGCCAGCAATTTACTTGCTGACTGTCAAAAATTAAAAAACCGTCAAGCTAACATTGGAACTCCTACAGACAATAGAAGGGATAGTGGGGTACGTTACTTTACTTTGCTAAAGAAAAAAAATGATAAATGAAAATAGTCTTTAGAAATAAATTATGATAAACAATTTTTAATAATTTTTAGGATTCAGTAACGAGTGATTTAGGAAGTACAGATAATGTTTCATCGGGATCGAGTGTAATATCTCCATCATCACCGCTAGGAATAGCGTCAGTTTTAACTGGATCAGTAGAGTCGCTTCCAGTACCGAGTAAAGAAAAAGACTCACAAGAAACTTCAAAAAAAGGCAATAATTCTACAATACCAGTACCAGAAATGATGAGAAGTAGAGCGGCTTCCACAGGCAGTGTTTTAGGCCCGAGGAGAGAGCCATCGACAAAAGGAAATGAAGATCATAATCGTACTATGCTATTTCAGGTAACTGAAGTAGTGTTAAATATGGAAAAATGAAAGTTTATCATCTAACAACTTTTAAAAAGTAAAAGTCAATGATTGTCACTAATTTCAGGTTGGACGCTATGATCTAAGACTTATTAGTCCTGATAAAAAACAAGTTTTATTCCATAAACAGTTAAAAGATATTGCTAGTTGTGTTCAAGGATTAAAAAATCCGGAACATTTTGGATTTATATGCAGAGAAGTTGCTGCTGAAGGTTTTGCTGGATATATTTTTAAATGCCAGTCAGCTTCAGTGGCAGATGATTTAGTAGGAGGTATTTTTATTTTATTAGTTTTTCATGAAATTTATTATATTGTATTATCTATTCATGGTGTTTAATATTAATTTTTTTCTACTCTAATTGTAGCTATAACGCAGGCGTTTATAGCAACATGTCATGGGAACAATCCAAAGAAAGAAAGACATCCAGTATTTTCCTGTGAACATTGCCCTATGGTGTGGTATAACAAACTTTGCCAAGAAATTGAAGGACAAAATGATAGAAAAGTTCAAAGTATAATATTTTCCCGGATGGAAATGTTACCGGAAGATGAGCAAGAAATAGTCGTAACCAAATATAAAGGAGCTGAAGCCGCAGGCGGTTCGGGTCGTGAGTTCAGTCTACGAGAACAAAATAAATTTTTAATGTTATTACTACGAGCTCACTGTGAATCTAAGCAGACAAGACACGTTCATGATACTGCAGAGAATAGAAGTGAATTTTTAAATCAGTACTTGAGTGTAGGAGTTGGTAGCACAATATTTATGAAGGCAAAAAGATCTTTGACAAACAGTTTTGACCATTTAATGAAACGAAAAGGATCTAAAGATGATTTCGGACTTGGATCTCATCTTGTAAGAGAAGCTTCTGTGCCTAAAAGTGATCGTCAAAGTCCAGTTAATTCAAATCCCTCCGTTGGAGATATTAATTCTGAGTCCAATAGGCCAAAATCATTACGTGTATCTCCAGAGCAGCAGTTAATTGTTAATACTGGTCCAAAGAGCCCGATGATGGACATGTAAGTAATTAATGCAAATGACTAGAAAAAAAATTATCTCAGATTTATTAACAAAATATGAACAATACTTTAATTAAATTGTAATTGATAGTATTTTAATGATTAAATATTTAATTTATAAATAACTTAAATTTACTTAAAGAGTAATTTTAAAACTTTCTTTGGTAAATGTTTTAGTTATTTTTTACTATCTTTACCTTTTTTTAACAGATTCTTAAAAGTGGGCAACTCGCCAAAAATGTCGCCTACAGAATCGGAGGAAAGCAACCGAATCCAATCGAATAATTCTTCTTGGCGTCAAGCCATTTTGAACAGAGTAGTAACCCCAGGAAAAGACCAAGACGTTAGAGATGGTGATAAAACAGGAAGTAGCATCAATTCTAATCAAGGATCAATGCCCAAGAGATCAAAGGAAGAATTGCGGGAATTATGGAAGAAAGCAATAAACCAACAAGTCTTGCTTATTCGAATGGAAAAAGAAAACACAAGGCTACGAGTTAGTCAAGAAGAAGCAACGATGAAGAGAATAAAGCTTGAGTATGACGAGTTAAGCAGTTGTGCTCGAGAACTCGTTGATGTCTGGGACCTATTAGTGAGCAAGCAGTCGAGAATATCGACTAAATGTGACAGCAAAATGCTTTTACAAGCAATAAAACAAGGAGTTCCAAGAGGAAAAAGAGGCGAAGTCTGGCAATTTTTAGCTGAACAATTTTGTTTGAAGCAACCACCAATCGATACACATGAATTTCCTAATTATAATACTCCTTACGATCTCCTACTAAAGCAATTGACTTCTCAACAACATGCAATTTTAATAGATTTAGGAAGAACATTTCCTAATCATCCTTACTTTAGTTCTGCTCTGGGCCCAGGTCAATTAGCTTTATTTAATCTTCTCAAAGCCTACTCTCTTCTGGACCATGAAGTAGGTTACTGCCAAGGGCTAAGTTTCGTTGCGGGAGTTTTACTTCTTCATATGTCTGAAGATCAAGCCTTCTTTCTTCTTCGCCATCTCATGTTCAGAAGAGGTCTTAGAAAACTGTATCTACCAGATATGGCAGCTCTTCAACTTCATCTTTATCAACTTTCTCGATTACTTCATGATCGATTACCATCAATATACAATCATTTTGATAAACATGAAGTATCTCCAACACTATACGCAGCCCCTTGGCTATTAACTCTCTTCGCCAGTCAATTTCCTCTAGGGTTTGTTACAAGAGTTTTTGACCTTCTCTTCTTGGAAAGTTCCGAAGTTATCTTCCGGGTAGCGTTGGCTTTACTTGAAGAACATCAAGAGCAATTACTTCTATGTGACAGTTTTGAAGAGATAATGGACTACTTGAAGGTTAAAGTGCCGGCTGTTGATAAATCTATGCTAGAACGAGTGATGAAACACGTTTTTCTTCCAGACACAGAAATTGCACGGCAGTTGAATGAATATAGGGTTGAATACCAAGTTCTTCAAGAAGAAATGTTATCAGTAAAACCTCAAATTGAAAATATGGAAAAGTTGGAAATGTTAAATAAGCAATTGACTCAACAAAATGCACATTTGAGTTCACAATTAGAGGCTGCTGTAAATAATCTTCAACGACTAGAATCTACAAGGTCAATGCATCAAACATCCGTACATAAATTAGAGTCTCAAAATCGTAGCTTAGAAGTCTCAATTGCAACTCTTGGTGCGTTTATTCAACAGTTAGCAGAAACCAGGTCTGATATTGAAATTCCTGGTGATGTTAGAAGAATCGTAGCTCAATTGAGTGTTGCTGAAAAGAGGAGAAATAGCAGTGCGCGATCTTTTCCACTTAAAGTTATTGAAGATAATAATAAACGATATGAACCCACAAAAAGCAATTCTACAGGAAGAGATTCAAAGAATTTATTAAAAAGCAGTATTGAACCTCCATATCCGTTAAAATCGGCTCTAAGTCAACCTAATCTTGGAACTAAGTTAGAGAAAATGTCTTCATTCTTTGCTAATTCTCATAATCATATTCGACAGCAAAGAGCTCAGATTGCTGCATTAAGAAGCGATAGTTTTGGATCTCCGACTGCTTTAAATATTAATCTTAATAACAATAATGATACTAATAACAATAATAATATTAATAATGATGAAAATGATCCAAAAACTGTTAATATAGATATTCAAATAACTGATGTTAACCCGACAACAGATAATGTAATTCAAAGTGACAGTAATTTAAAAATTGACACAGGGAATTTGGAAAAATCAACTTCATTGCCGTTGAATGTAAAAATGAAATTAAAGCCCACGAAGTCGGCATACGAGTTGGGGTCTGTTAGAAAAATTCCAACAACTAAATTAGAAGATACTAGTGATGGGATAGCTAGTCTTTCTGGTACTATTCATCCATTGGATTCCTGTAGTGATGTTAATTTTAAGTATGGTGGAACGACTAAGCTTAAGTCGATTAAACCGATTAGATTGTCTGGACAGAGTGGACAGAGTGAGAATTTGAATAAAGAGATTCAAAGTCAAAATCCTGAGATTGTCTCTAGATAACAGATGATTTTGGTGACTATTTGAGAGGAATAGTTCAGTTAAATGAAAAAAAAAAATGTGATTACCAAAAGTTTATCAAATAGTTTTAAGTAGTTAATATATAGATACAATTTATATTATTTCATCACTTTAAAATATTTAGAAAATAATGAGAAATAAATAAAGTATTTTTTGTTTCAATATCTTAGATATTACAGAGTAATTAAAATTAAAATATTGTATTATTGTTGATATTGTTTATTAAGTTTTTTTAAGTTAAAATTTTTTTTTATCATTTAACTGAACTATAAAAATTAATAAAATGTAACATATAATCATGTCTTCGAAATATATAAAAGTAGATTTAACGAAAATCAATGTCAATTATGATACTTGTCCTCGGCGTCTTTCAATTAGCTTTACCAATATAAAATGAAACATTCTTGGTTGTTCTTATCATAAAAAAAATCATAATTTCATATTATTTTCTTTTTATTTCATTGATGAATATTAAGGCTTGTGGCCTAAATGAGAAGATAAATAGTAAAGTAAGTTAGTAAAAGTTTATGTTAAAAAATATTATTATAAATAATTTTTATTTATAAATATTTTCAAGACAAGTTGTCATTATTTTCGTCCAAGTAAATGCGTCCAAATTATTTTTTAATATTAGAAGAAATGAAATCGGATTTTACATAAGAAAAAATAACTCGAAATAAATCTATCAGCATGTTTTTTTTCTATTCTATGAACAGTATTTTATCTCAGCTGATTATTTTATTATTATTTAAAATATGTCTGGCCTTTAATAGAAAATAAAGTAGAAACAGAGTCCAATTCAGTAAGTTAAAAATTAAAAAGTACATCGCACAAAGTACTAGTAATCGAAATTAATTATAAAAAAATTTTCAAAATCATTTCTTTGATAAAGAAATATGGAATCTCTGGCATTCGATCAAGGATATATCCTTGAATAGAAGCTGATTACAAATAATATTATAAATAAAATATAAATAAATTCCGATTAATGGTTAATTAAAGTCTTGCCGTACAGAAAATCTATTGGAAAAAAATATTGGATTTTTCGTAGTTACGTAGAATATTGATATAAAATATTAATATAAATCAGCAGTGTGCCAATGTAAAGTGGAATAATTATTAGAATATTAGAATGAATATGTAATATTGTTAAACTATTGTGGATAATAGAAGAATATAATGTACGTAATTTAGAGCGTAACAAGTGATTCAAAAGCAAAAGATACAAATTGATCAGTTACCATTACAAAAGGCGCATTACTGCCAAACTTTCCGTAATTATCACTAATTTAATTCGTATAATGAAGAAAGAATATTTAGTACTTATACTTTAAGCTATCATGGATTTACAGAGTAGTACAAATGATGATAAATACTTATATGTAAATTTTAACGTATTAAATGAGAATTATATCCAATAAAACCGACTGTAATTTCATTTTTCTTGTTTATGTATATTTATAAATATTTATGATTTTATTGCATGTTTATATAAAAAATAAATATATTATATAACGGCAAACAATCATTCATTATTTTTTTTAAACTTCATGCCTGATTCTAATACACGGAGTTTTCCATTAACCTTTACAATATAAATATGTTTATTTAAAAATAAAAATTATTTATAACATAATAAATTAATTGCATTGATTATTGTTTATTTATTTATTAAAAATCATGAGTTTTAAGTCAGGAAAGTCACTTGTTTTTTAGTTTTTCTACGAATTCATTTGGTAAAGTTGGGCGGCCATACCGTCGTCATACCGTCATTTCAACCTTTCATAGCTCAAAAAGTTTCCACTTGTATCCGGATCACAGAACAGCAAAGGAGGTCTAACATGGAAATTGCGCGCGAAAAAATTTAAAAAATTTGAATTTAGTTTTTAAAATCACCGCCAGGCGGCAAATTCAAATTTTTTAAATTTTTTCGCGCGCAATTTCCATGTTAGACCTCCTTTGCTGTTCTGTGATCCGGATACAAGTGGAAACTTTTTGAGCTATGAAAGGTTGAAATGACGGTATGACGACGGTATGGCCGCCCAACTTTACCAAATGAATTCGTAGAAAAACTAAAAAACAAGTGACTTTCCTGACTTAAAACTCATGATTTTTAATAAATAAATAAACAATAATCAATGCAATTAATTTATTATGTTATAAATAATTTTTATTTTTAAATAAACATATTAAATATGTAAAAATACGACGATAGACTCCATACTTGCCATGTTCATCTTCATTTTGTGGATTTTTAGAAATAAAAACTAGGAATGAATAAATTAGAGGAATAAATTGTTAATAAATATGATTGAATAATTTTAATATATATATTTCGTATTCAAAATATAATAATGAACATTACACATGATGCTAGATCATATCGTGACAATCAGCACTGATTGACACTTACAGTGGTACCGTGTGATAATCTAGTCGAACGGCTAGCGTCTGGAGAAGGCAGATATGAGATCGGAAATACAAAAAGCTACCGAAATTGGCCTTTTCGTTTGTGTTATAAAAATGGCAAACGTAAAGTGCCAAATAGGCAATAGTTTAAAAACTGGGTCGTTGTTTTATCATTATTATTTTTTAACAATTTTTTTTTTCTATTATCCAAGACGTATCCGTTCATCAAAAGTGTCGACTCGATTATTTTTTAAATTTCCGTTTGTGTTCGATTGAATTTTTTTTTATTTAGCAATTCAGGACAGTATTAATTAATACGAAATGAATTTTGTTAAAACAGTATTTTTTTTTGTCACATAATCTTTTTTTCTTTTTTTTTTAAATATTATATTTTATTTTTTAGAAAATAATAATGACTGTGTATTAATCGATAACATCATAAATACGATGTAATGATAGATAGAAATCTTTATGATTGAAATAAGATTGATGAGAATAAAAAATCAATAGTCAATACAGATGACGTTTGTTGGTGCATCTGCATGTTAAAAGACGTTAGCTTCAGCATTCCTCCACTTCTTACGCATATAATTATTATAATACATATCGTAGTTATGTAATAAGATCCAAATTTCTTATGTAGGCAAGCAAGAAGCCCACTCACAATTTTTTATTTATCTTATCTTTTATATCTTCTTTATAAGCCCCAAAACCCTTAAGAATATTTAATTCAATATTTCGTTTTTTACTATACAAGTGGCAAGAAAAAACAACACTCAAACTGCCTTATCTACTAATATTTATAATAATTAGGTAATCATCACAGTGATAAACGAAAAATATATATATATTTATTCCATATATATATATATATTTATATATATGTTTTTTTACTCCTTGTACACTTGATCCATATCATTATCGATTATTTTTTTAAATCAATATTTCCATTCATTTTTATTTCAAGCGTCTTCCTGTGGCACTTAACACACACATACACATCAGTTTTATTTATTTAAAATTTATTTTTTCGTACTATTATTATTTTACATGTTTTTATTAATTTATTTTCTCCGCTTATACTTATGACTCCACTAAATATCTAGAAATGTTTTTTTTGTGTTAGCAGTATTAAAAATTACTTCAGGTAAGCATACTTGTCTTCCGGTACTCGATAAGTTATTTACAAAAAGACTCTTGTTTAAATAAATGACGAAGAAAAATCGACATTAATAATTTTTTTCTTTTTTCATTGATTCAATGTATAAATGCCATTATTGATATGATAAACTCTAATAAATTATATTAAATAATAATCTTCATTTTTGCTTCTTTTTTTTTTAATAATTTTTTTGTTATTTTTTTTGTGTCTAATCTTTAATGAATTTATCTGCGTATACCAATGACGTTAAATGATTGTTCAATGCTTCTTTTAATCAATTTATCGTCAATTCTTGCCACTTCTATCTTAATTATTAACTAATTAGCAACACTTATTATTTAAATATAGCATAAATAAATTAGCAACGACAATGATTTTTATGCTTGGCATAAAAAGATTTTTCCTTACATTTAATTATTAATTAATCAATAATGTTATCTGACTTATTAAAATATGGTATAAATGAAGTGACTATCGAAGTATTGCATTCTCGAATACCGGATTACAAGTTGTTTATAAAAAAATACCTAATTATTTACAGTTAAAAAAAAATACTTGACAAATTCCATCTTTCTGTATTTCCATGTTATTTTTTTTATCTTTTTTGGGGTCTATTTGTGCTTGCGCGTGTCGGATACCACAGAGTTTTCTCGATATAATTGGATATACCTTTTCGATAGGCCACGATAATTGCAATCGTTAACAAATATTTTTTTATGGCTAAAATTACATTTAAAAAATTCCAGGCTTAATATTGCATGGAGTTTCGAAACGATGCGAGTCCATGAAATAAAATTGAAGCTATTAAAACTCAATAGAGTTAAAATAATTAGTAAAATGTATACAAATAAAAAATTATCAACTACCAGTGCGAGTCTTTTGCCATTATCACTCTGTGATACAGACATTTTAGCAATAATCTTTTTCTTTTTATCATCTGATAAGTACAATACACATCTTTTCGAATAATTCTTTTATAAGAATTGTTTCTTCATCATTGGCCTGCCCTTAAAAAATCTTTAATCCTGTAAAGAATCGATTTCTTGATTTTAAAAACTTTTCTTCTTAATATATCAATAAATCTAGCAGCCAAACACTTTCTAGTTTAGCGTAAACTTCTCAATATATTTCCTTAAAAACAGTCTTTATACATTATACATTATTTAAATCAGTATATACAGATGTGCAACTAGCTAGTGAATAAAAATTTTCTTATTTTTATTTTAATTATTATTATTATTTTTTTTTTTTAATATTTATGTTTAATTTTTTTCGTCGCATCTTTCGATAGGTAACGACGCTCTGCGGTCAAGTTAACTCATATTTATCAAGAGTTTTACTCCAGTTTTTTTTTCAAAAAAACGATCAACCAACCTTGAACGTCGATCACTTATACCCTGATCGTATTTACAAGTTCATGGTTACAAATACCATTATTCTTTTCATTTCAATTTACTCTTTTATATTTAATTTTCTCTTTCTAGCCAACGTCTTCGATATTATTTTATCACATTCAAAGACTATCACATTATCCATGACAATTGATTCAGTTCAATAAAATAATATATTAATTATTATTGCTATTAATCATTACTGATGTGAATAAAACACTTTTAACTTTGTTTTAATTATTTATGTCAATGAAAATGGAATATATGGCGATTATTATGAATATTTTGATTTGAAAAATTAAAACAATAGATTTGTTTAACATGAGTTATTGATTAAAAACATATATCAGATTTCATTCATAAACATGACTCTTGGTATAAAATTAAATACATAAAATAATAACTACTGATAAACTTTTTTTGTTTTTCAATTCAAAATATTCTTTGATATTGTTAAAATAGAATCACATTTTGGATAATGAGAAGTAGCTAATGACCTGCGAATGAATATCTCAAATCGAATTAGTTAGCGTGCCGCTAATAGATTTGGATGTGATGCAAATATGTCTCTAACATCGTCTAGGACGATGACGACGACGATGGTAGTAATTGCGGCTCGATCGACGTCGGAATCTCGTTGTCCAGGCGTCAATTGAGACGTCTGTCTCGATTAGCCTAGGAAACACAGCTTTGACAGTTCAAGCAGGACAGTGTGGGACAGCTCGTAGTCCTTTCATCATTTCCACTAATATCAACTTCTCTTTCCACGCAGCTTCTGTCTCTTCTTCACACTTCACTGTCTCTGCTTTAGTTGTCAGTAGGATAACATATGTAGAGTGTGTATCTAGGCCTGAAGTACCACATTTCTATCAATTTAGACATATCATCTTGACAATAGTTTGCAGAGTATCGCAGCGCCCGCAGAAAGTACTAATGAGACTCTGGACATCGACGATGAAGACGTAGCACTTGCTCGAGTAAGGTCCTCGCACATACCTGAAAGAAATATTTTAATTGTGTTTACCAATTTTTTTCATTAAATAAAAATTAAATAGTTTGGAATTTAATGGTATATTGTAACTTTAAATTATTCTACTGTCCTATAAATTTTTTTAACATTTCCAATTATTACATTTTTGTACAGTATTGATCGATTAAACTTGGTGGTTATATTGGTAAATTGTTGAAATAGCTTAGTGTTCAAGCAAATAATTTCTCACCTTGGCTAGCGAGTCTGTATCCGGACCATTGATCGGTCGCACCTCTTTGGAACTCGCGTGCTGGTTGTGACAGCCATAACTCTTGTTCTTGTTGCTCTAGCCTGGCGCCTCTACCTCCAGGTAATTTAGGCGGTGGATTTGCCCAGCGCATTGAGAAACATAATGTCTCTATGGGTTCCGACATTGAATCTCTACTCTTTTGCGACACTATCGTGTACCATACACCATCTTCCTCCCAACTGTCATGACAAGAGTACACTGCAAATAACACACCTTCGTTAGTTTTAATATTCTTTACATGAGATAGCTTCTACTCGACTATTTTACAGTAATCTTTACTTTAGTAGCAGGTCTTTATTCAACTAATATAAAATAATACTCAAATGAGCATGATGAGTTAAAGAAGGCCAAAAATGATTGAAAGTTGTTTGTAAATATTTTAATTAACTTTTGTTGAGTATCAAGGAATGGAATTTATATTTACTTTAATCCTGAAACAATAGTTATTGTGGGATATAACTTTAATAAGTGGTACACTCACCGAGTTGATCCTCACAAGTATAAGTTATAATCATTTCACTCTGATCCGGGGTATCACACCCAATCTTAATATCAGAGACAACATTGCATGGCTCATCTTCATTTCTTTGTTCATACGTCCTCTTTTCTGCTGCTCGTTGTATTTTGGTATCTCGTATTTGAAGACTAGTCTCCTTTCGTTGACGTCTTGGTGTTGTTGACGACAAAACATACGGAGAAACGTAACCAATTGCTCGATATCTTCCTGGCAGTGGGCACTTTCTTTTCTCTGGAGTTGATGCTATAATGAAAATAAATCAAACATTAAAGTAGTTCATGTCTAGTGTTGAAAGTTTTGAAATAGTTTTTTTTTTCACTTTTTTGAATAATATTTCAGAAAATGTTGGTAAAAATATGAGTAACATTATAATTTTTTTAATGAGAAGATTTCAAAGTTGAAAACTGTTAAATACAGTTAGACAAGAAGTCAAACTAGTATACAAACTTTTTTTTTATAAAATATATATGAAAATATATTAAATAAAAGATAAAAAATATTCAGAGAGTAATGGATAAATGATATTCAGACGAAGAAAAAAGAAATCAATTCAATGTTTAAGATGATTAAATTGATAGAAAAAAAGTTTTCGAAGGAAGAATAAAATGAGCAAAAGACCAGTTAGACAGTGTTGAATATTTCACGATGCATCCTGAAGTAGAAAAGTAGAGAAAACGACAGCCAATGAAAATACACGTCCATCGTGATATGTAAAGTACAATGATTCCTAGGGCATTTATCTTCGTCCTGCGATACAATCGCAGCCATTATTGCTCGACAGTTATTCATTTTATCCAGTCATCCATAAATCAAGAATTATTATTAAAAAAGAAACGAAACAAAGAATAAAAAACAAGAAAAAATCTAAACCAAGGGAGAAAAGGGAAAAGAAGAAGAAGTAAAATTGCAATATTTCTTTTTCTACGGTTAGTTCTAGACAATGATTTTTACTCACTTATTAAGGTAATGTATGGTATACTTGATAGATTTGCCTGCTGACATGCTTCTTCGGGAATAATTGTTTTAATACCTGAAATGATAAATAATATGATTTAATTAACATGATAATAAATCACTTGAAAGTAGTGAGATAAAAATATGGCTATTTTTTATTGATTTATTTTATCATCTCGACATATATTTTTCTTTTGTTCTCACTGAAAAAATTAAATATCGGAACATCGATTTATCGTATCCACTTGTATTAAAACTTTTTTAATATCATAATAATGATTCAATAAATCAATTTGAAATTATGCAATACATAAATGTCTTCTATTAATTTTTTATAGTGAAAAGATTATTATCAACTTTTTTATAAACTCTCTAGTTAATCATAAAATCACTTTTGTTAAAAATTCTTAGTAAAGTCTAAAAGTTTAATAAAAATGATTTTTATCTAAATAACACCTAGTTTATAAACAGTAGTTTTTCTGTATGACAATTGACTGTAATTTTTTTTTTTCAGTATAATATGTAAATAAAAAATTAATTTATAAGTAGCATGTCAACGTGATAACTTTATTTTTCACGTGCATGAAACTATTAAATGCTGCCTATATTAAAATTAATTATTCATACGTAAGAAAAGTAGAGACGAGATTATTAAAAAGTTCGTCAAGGAAATATTAAATATTGGATATAAAAAATGAAGGATAGGTATCAGAAGAATTAATGTCAAATATAAAGAAGATTTTACTCACTTGATTCCTGAAGTTCAATCACCTTTCCATTTCTTCTGTGAAAAATCATGCAAACGTAGCCAATTTCGCTGCAATAAGAGCAAAAGTGACGTATATGAAGAACTGAATTTTTATATCAAAGGATATTTTATAAAAAAAAGTCCCATTGATGAGAATCATCAAACGGGTTTTCATCATAACAATAGATGTCGAGAATGAAAAATTTCTGTTACTTACCAACCACTCGTTACATGAGCTACGAGCATTACTTTTTGGCCGTCTGAGCTTTCATTCACACGATTATGACAGACGATCCTTTGCTCATGTTTGTCTCCTGTTATTTTTAGCGTTGCATTCCCTGACGTGAAGTGGTAAGCTCTTGTACTATCCACCGAGTGCCATGCATGATGCTTAGTTATCCAAGGCGGATACTTGCATTTACTACGTTCCTTATCCACTGTAATTGAACATAATACTCTGTTAAATATGATGAATATAAATCCTTTTGTCATGTAATCTTGTTAGACATATTTTTAAATGATGTACTTAAGAAGAAATAAAAAGGATTCAATGATATTTGTGAGGTAAAAGAGATGAGTTTCTTATGTAAAATTTAATCTACTCTTTTCAGATTTACTTTTCAGAATAAAAAAGAATCTTTTTATTGAAATTTTTTTTTCTATCTGATTAATCTAAATTAGTAATTTTATTCATCATTAGATTTTTACAAAAGAGAAAATTTTCTATTGTTTAAATCCAATTTAAAATATTCACATTTTTCTATAAATATATCTTTCATTTTTATGCATAAGAATAAAAAATAAAATAAATGGTTCTATGAAAATCCATTCAATGCATATTAAATTATCAATAATAATAATAATAATAATGTGTATTTAACAGGAAAAGATTTGGAATGCTCAACAAAGCATTTTAAATTTAAAATTATTTTAAAATGGATATTTAATTTGTCATAAATATTGTTTTGTTCGAATATTTCACTAAATCACAAATAAAGCAATTAATTTCTCAATTATATTTCACTGAAAAAGCTATCAAAAAAAAATAGGAAATGTCGACGTAAATAAATAGTCACTTTTACAACTAAACTAGTGGAGCATGTGTGAACATTCAAAGAGCAAAGCATTAGTTTTAAATGATGCTCTTCTTTTACATACCTCTGACTAGTTTGATGGTTCGAGAGCCTTCTGTAACAGCAGTCAATGCAGCACATGTCGAGTCTCCTGATTGTGCTAACTGATATGCTACCTTCTCTCCTTGATGATGGTTTGATTTCTCATATAGGAAGCACCTGGAAAACCCAACAAATAATTATCATGGTTAGTACAATAACATAATAACAGAATTATACGGAAACATAACTAATTTGTATCCTTTATATACTTGTTTCAAGTGTCTCTTGGGATGAAAATCATTAATTGATTTATCTATCAATTCTGCACTCTATACTAGCGGCAATTTGGCTAATTGAATGTTCCCCTTCCAATTAGGATCATTGCGTATAATTTGTTAGATCGCTCTGCCTCTCGCATGGGTGCCAGTTTAATTTTTTTATTGTAACAATTGTAACCAGTGGGAAATAATTGTATCATGATTGTCATTTATATTATTAACTGGACCACTCATTGCAAATCACAGTAATTAATTTAAATTGATATTAATCAACTGCTTTACAAAATTTATTGTAGAAAAAATTTTTATGCATTAGATATTCATTGCCAAAAATTGTAAATTACAAGTCATATCAATTAGCCTTTTAGATTTCAAAGCACGAAAATTGTGAATAAATAATCCAATCAACATTTAGTCTAACTTTGAATATTATCAAAGGTTTTTTTTTGCTTAATTGATTACAACATCAAATAATTTAATTGTAACTTGAAAATACGATATTCTTGATCCAAGAATATGATTTTGTCAGTGGATACTGATATTTTATTTTAATAAATTATTGGTCATTTTATTTAGACAATTATTTCACAATTATTTTGATATTTGTTAATGAATAATTTCCTTTGGAAAAAATAAATATAAGGAAGCTAATAAAATTACCTAAATGTATCCTCATTATTAGTAGCCGCATTTCTCCCAAACTGTTTGAGAGTACCAACCAAATATTTGTCCCTACCATCCTTCCATGTTGCCAGACACTGTAGTTCTTCGGCTGTAAAATAAACAAATTTACTTTTAAAAACACTGAAAAAGCTTTAACTATTTCCTACATTTTATGTTAAAGATACAACAAAAAATTGTTAGTTTACTTTAACTAATTAAACTATTGGCTTCTACTTGAAGTAAATAAGTCAGTATTTATGTATTCATCAGTTTTAGATATAACAAATGAATTCAACGAATGATAGAACTCTATCAGGGAGTATAAATGTTAGGATACGTGGATATAAAAGAGATAGAAAAAGAAAAGACTTTTGAAAGGGTGAAAAATCCCGTCGGGAATCGACGGTGCATGAAAGAATGATAATCGAATTAGTTTATAATCCATTTAGCGGGTTCGATCTGCGCGCCTACCCTGTGCATTGTGTTTTATTAAGCTACAATCGACAGAAGCCCCAGTTTGTTATGTAGGGGACATTTCTGAAGTCCCCTAGATCATCGTCTTGATTTCAAATAGTCTCACGGATAAATTCAATTATCTATTTGCTTCATGTGTAAATAGAACTGAAATCATTTTAACATTTTAAAAAGCCTCAGCTAACATTTTTTATCACCATTTGTCACTGATTTATATCAAATATTTTTGAATTAAAACATCATAGAATCATGAAAAATCTTTAAATAAATTAATTTTGTATTTGATTTATAATTATAACATTTTTTTAATTTCTATTTTATCTATTTGTTATGCACTAAAAAATATCTATAAATAAATTATTTCATTTCAATTTTATATTATGTTATGTTAGAAAATAATGAGTAATTCTTTAGAATAAACATGACTTAAAATGATGATATAATGTGCTTTATTTTGCCTTCAATTCAATGTTGGAATTAAAACCATGTTGAGTATATTAAGAGTGAGATTTTGAAACAAAGCTTTAGAAAAAATAACACGTAAAATAATAAGGAATAGATAAAGATTACTTCAAGGGTGGTCTAAGATGAACTTTAGTACTAGAAAAAATGTAGATAAATAATTTTTGTGTATTACATAAATTTAATAGTTAATTTACAGCAGAAAGTACATGGTAAAAGAACCTAAGAGCTTTACTACAACGTTTTACTATGAATATCTCGTCCAGTTTTTCATTTTCTCGTCTCGTGATGGAGCAAATGAGTGTGCAGAGGGTTTATACATTGCATCTGCCGTAAATTTCAATAAATATCAACGCAACGGGCGCCAACAGCCGCAATTCAATTTCAGATAATTAAGTTAATATTTATATTTCTATTTTTAATATTTACTCATTTGCTTGATGAGCAGTATAAAAAAGTATTTTTTTTTTCATTCGACTTTTTTATGCAACAGAACAGATAAAAAATGCTTTGCTAATTTCATTTATTGATTATACTCATTAGTCAGTATATCATCAATAAAAAACTTTATAAATAAAAGTTTTTAATGTTTATGAATAAATCAAGTGTTTTATTAAAAAATCTTTTTTTTTATTCAAACAAATCAGGTCACTTTAAAACATTTTATTCTTTGTTTCATATATAATTAAATATACTTCAGAGCTTGATGTTGAAACATTTTTTTTCTGATCATTTCGAGCAATTTTTGATATTATAAAACAATTAATATTCCTAAACAACTGAAAATTAAATAAAGGTCTCGGAGGATATTTTCATAAATGTTCCAATAACTTGGCTACTAAAAATTGTTTCACTCAGACATGAAGAGATGAATTTTTTATGACTTTTTATTAACGGTCATATTCTGCCAAATGTAATAAAAAATTCATAGCTAAACAATGAAATCAATAATAGAGTAATAAATTATAACGACTATTTTAATGGGACTTTAGCAAGAATTATACTTAGAATATTAAAGATTAATCGTAAAATGACTTACTTGTGCTTTCGGAGTACGGAATATCAGGACAAGCTTGATACTTGAGAAGAAGTTTACTGGAATCAGAACAGCTTTCGGCATAACTCACTGGAGAAGTACATTCTTTTTGGCCACGATTATAAGTAAAAGTGTATGATGCTCCAGAGAAAGGACATGGTATTGGTTCAGGATTTAAACGAAACATTGTATAGAGATTGTCATCAGTCCAGATTGATTCGCACAATACATCAAGACTTCGAACATCAGTTGAGCATACGCCTACTGTAACAAATGTTATTTTTTAAATAATCAAACACAATAATTGAATGTAAATAAATAAAACAAAATGATTGAAATGATTATATCAGAATATCATTTGCCAGTTAAACCCTCAAGACTTGCACATTTTTCATCATAAAAAATTTCTATCTTGATACCTTTTTAGATAGCAGCAAGAAGAAGACTATAAAGAAATGTCATAAGATATTAATATTAATGTAAAATATTGAGTGACTTTTGAAATTATATAAACTTGGCTTTAATATGACAGTAAAAGAAAAAAATAAAAGCTTTGAGAATAACCAATAAGTGTTCGAAGAGGGATTTACTTGAGTTTACTAAGGAGCTTAACTCTCCTTTGCGTCTTTTGATAATTTATTCACTCACGATAATCCCTCACGTAAGCATATTATTTATAAAACATTATATTAGTCAAAATTGACGCTGAAAACATGATGATTTACTTAATGAAATTTTCATGAAAGAAAATAACTTGTTCTTCTCTGACCTTTAAATGCAATCGTGAAACGTCCATGAACGTTAAGATAAAGTTGGCGGTTGGATTGAATTAAATGTAAAAGGTATATTTTCCAGGGGAGAGAATCGTGCGCAGTTGGTTGCATTTTGCGTAGAAGAGTCTGGGGTTGTTATACCTAGTACGGAAGAGGATATAGTTCTCTATCTGCTTTGATAATTTATGCATTTCCCAGGATAATCCCTGTATATGAAAGATAGTAGCCAGAGGCTTCCCTCCGTCGTCCTCACTCCTTGTCTGGTCGAAATAGAGGGTTGAAGGTTTCCAAGGGGTTGGTATGCGGGTTTAAGAGGGGGCAAACAACTAAGTGGGGATGGTGGGGAAAACTTTGCCGTTACTTGGCTCTCTGAGCTCACGCTAACGAGACATTAACGGAACAAAGAAGCTTCCCCCCCATCATACACTCCGTCATTTTACGCCCCTCTTTACTTCTTTTACTCTTTCCCTTCTCATTTACTCTCTCTCTCTCTCTATCTCTCTTGGATGCTTTCTTCTTCTTCTTTTTTTTTTACATTTGCCTGATCATGAAAGCCAAAGTCAAGGATCTAGACCTCTTCAAATGTGAGTGCCACTTTTGGACGATTCAATGCCAAATAAATATATCTTGAGGTCTTTTAATTTCTTCATTGGACTAATGCAAGAGCTTTCTTTTATTTCTGTTAACATACTTTTTCAAATGTTCTTTTTCTACTTTTTTCAATCAATATTTTTGAGTGATTTGTGAGTTTTTAAAAATTGATAGAAAAAAGGCTTTGAAAGCTTGCACATTTCCGTGTATGTTCTGTTTATATTTTTTTTTTCTAGCTTTTACTACCATTTAAAATTGGATCGGTGATTTCATTTCATTTTTAAAATCAATTTTAGAACTTCCGATACACTTGTTTTTTTTTTGAATAAAAAAGTTGGATTTTGGCTTGAATAATTTCAGGAGACATTTCCTATTGCTTTTGAAATATAAATCTTTTATGTTGAAGATTGATTGAAAATAGCAATTCTTGTACTAAATTTGACGTTGATTTGGAAATAAAAAAAATATAAAAATGTTGATATGATATTTATTATATAGACTCTTAATGATGATATATTAAATAGTAAGGGGACATTTTATGTGCAATAATATCTACGCATTAATGAAATAACATTATTACTTTTATATTATCACTTACACACAATCTCCGACCATCATAAAAGTGTTAACGTCTTAAAGAAACGCGTTAATGTTCTAGCCTTAGGATAAAAGTGGAGAAATGATTACAAGTGAAAACTCGACTGTGTGTTATATAAAATACAGTTGAATAAAAATGCTTCAAGATTTATACTTAATTACAGTGAAATGAAAATTGTAAATGAATTTAATTCGTATAGAAGTCACAAATCACGCTAATTACTTTTTAAACTCGTAAACTGATGAATTTTCAACATCACGAAAGGATTATAAATAATTTCATGTCAGTGTAGATTGTGATTTTATGTAAACAACCAACGTTAAAAGAAGAGAAAAAGAAAGATGACGTCCATTGTTTCCGTTTCAAGCAGGGACTATGATTACCCAACCGCTGGTGGCTCCATTCACAGCCCTTTGAGATGCAAATGCTAATTGAAATGTAAAAGTTGGCGACCTCTATCGACTCAAGAACCACCACTAACTTTACTCTTTCTTCTTCTTCTTCTTCTTTCCTTCCAAGAAAATTTTCACTTTTTATCATTTAAAAATATTTTCATTCACATTCAAAATTGATTTGTAGCTTAGATTATTTTTTGATTTAATATCTAATTTATCAGCATGAAACTTTATAAAAATTTATTTTTAGATAAAAAAAATAATTCAAAAGGTTAATTCAACTTAATTTCTCCATTTTATCATGTGACATAGTTGAAAAAACATTTCAGAGGAATTCATTCATCATCTCTAGTTTTTCATATTTTACTCTTGAATGCTATTCTTTGGCTCTTTTTGTTCGGTGCAGTTTCGTCAAATTTTCGTTGAAAATTCTCGGTACCTCGTCGTTGCTTCAACCGAGCCGAAGATCCATCGGGTCGTCTTTTAGTAATGCGCCACACCGAGCTTTTAAATCCGTAGAATCGACTTTACTTCAAGTTCGCGCGATTAGAGAGAACTCTGTTGAACAAAAAAAAAATAATAAAAAAGGACGGAACGAGTAAAGGGAAAAAAGGTTGAGGCTAATCACGGTCTATTTGCGATTAATTTAAACTCTTTCGCGCTCATGAATTTCCCTTTTATCCGATTTTAAATGCTGTCCCAACCTTTCTCTGTCCTCTGAATCGAATTTTTTGTTTAAATTAATTTTTATTTTTTTCTCTGTTTGCTTTACAAGCTGATTTACATTGATGAGTTGAATTATAAATTATTTTCCCATTTTATACCTCGTTTTTTTTACGCAAAAAAAAAAAATTTTTTTAATTACGAACTACTGTAATATTTTTATAATAAAATTTATTGCTCAAAGTAATTTTTGTTCGAATTGAAACAAATATTGAGTGAAAAGTTTATTTTTATTTTTATAACTGTTTTTTTTTTTCAATGTATGAGAAAGGATACAAAATTTCGTGATACCCATAAAAATAAAAGTTTTTTTAGAGATATTTAAATTTCATAACATTCATAACTCACAATTTACATTGACACAAAAGTGGAAAAGGATCGTTAAGTCTTACATTCAAAAATATGATTTTTCATGAGAATAAATTATTTTCCTGCAGCGAAAGCCCTTTGCAATAAAACTTTTGCATGGTTGACACATAGATAAATTTTTCCTACCCTCTCACTGCCCCGTAGGGAATTTTTTGGTCATTTGGGACAACGTGTGTTATCTCAAAGCCAAAAAGCACTTACGGAAATTCGACATTGCGCCAAATATATACGAAAGTGTTACGAATACGTAACAAATAACATAATATACCTTTTTATGAATACAGTTGAATTTTTTTAGATTAAAAAAAAAACAAGAGAAAAAATCCAGTTACATTCTATTATTATCTATCTGTTTTTTTTTTGTTCTATTTCTATGAAAAAAAAATTAGTTTTTACTGTTGTAGATTTGAAATAATATTTCATTAAATATTCAAGAATTCCACCATGAGTTTTTGCTTATTTAATGAAGTTGCAATTCATACTAAACGGAGCTCGAGTATTTTGTGTGTATTTTTAATCCTAAGAAATACCAAAGAAAATTCAAATATCATTGAAAGCTTTGGAACACGACAAAATTCTCATTGCAAAAGTTCCACGGTGTGATACTCTCAAGCATTTCCGGTACTCGTTGATACGTTATCACACGGAGCGTTAAAACCGTTTAGTGACTTTCGTGACTCGATCCACTTTAACGAACCACCAAGGTGGTTTGCAATATAACTACCGGAATTTCTTATTTTATGGTTTCTATCGCACCAAGCGACATCCGGCAGTGAGTCCCCTGAGAGTTACCCCCCTCTTTAACTCAGCTATATCCTTTAGTGAGCTTCACTATAAAAATGTACCTGCGTCGTTGTTTTCGTGCAACTATCTACTTCTTTAAAATGCCAATCGCTCCATTTTATTTTTTTCTCTCGTGAAAAATAAAAATAAATTCATTTTCTCATCAAGGAATGTTCCCATTATACTCACAAGACTATTTGAAAATATAAATGATTTAGATGGTAAATAAAATAATTAAAGCGATTTTTAGAAAGATAAATAACAAATTGAAATGACAGTTAATCTGTCAAATGTTTTTGGCTACTTGAAATTCAAAGAGTCAACTCCTTAATTAGCTTGTTAAAATAAAATTAATTAATAGCATCTTTAACTGACACTAATCGGTCTTCTCAATTAAAAAAACTTTTTTAAGTACACTTGTGTAAGAAGTTCTCACTTTCTATTAAATAAATTCCAACATAGAACTTGAAGATATATTACACACAGTGAAAAGAAAAATATTTCATCAACTTAAAATAATTGATTCGAAGAAAAATAACTGAATGAGTGAAATTAAATGAATTGACTATAATAGATGAGTGGATGAATTTAATAAGAGATCTTTCTTTATATAACTTAGTTGTTATTCGACCATCAAACAATTCAATTACTTTTCCAACAGACACTCGAGTTGATGAAATAAATTTTTCAAACAATTTATTTGATATGTGTGTCGAGCCACATCTAACCCATATAGTGAAAACAATTAGTGAAGAAAATTGGTTCCAGCATGGAAAGTAACATTCATCCAGATCATTCTAATACCACAGAGATGTTGTTCATGTTGTTTTTGGATCAATTCAAAACTAATTGGGCACGACGTAATCCAGCATGACGAAGATCGAAGGGACTACCCGCGAGTACGATCGAGTCAATTCACCCTGTAGATTACCGTCATCGCGCCAGTGGTTTTCCTTGGTGACACGTTCGCGCCCCCGTTCCACCCGTTAGGTTCGAGTCCGAGGGGTTGAAATATGGGTCAATATACAGAAC